AGCTGACGTCTTTCAGTTGCCACTTCTCTCTCGTGACTCCTCTTCGCAATAAAAATAGTTGGTATGCTACCCACAATAAGGTTCTTTCCTTTCCTGTCCTGCCTGAAATACAATATTAATAAATAAATGTCTCATGTGATAAAAAGGTCATATTGTTACTACTATATCAGAATCGAGAAAAAATTGACTTTAGAAAGAACTGTAGAATTACGGACATCGATGTCTCAATAAAATTAGATACTTCTTGAAAAGCAGCCAGTCTTCGTTGAGTCTGATTCTTGGTCGCTAAATACCAAATGTGAACTAACCTGTCTTGAAACAGTCCGATTGAAGTGTCTTGAACATATGTATGCCCTCTCTGAGTTAAAACTGCTGTCGCATCTGTTTACAACTCTCAACAAGCGTGCTCTCCACTCTTTCTTGGCTTTACTCTTACCGAATTCGATGGTACTTTGTGAAAACTTAGAAGAGGGTACCTTGCTTTACTTTCATATGTAGTGCAAACCAACCATACAACAAATTAACGACCATATTTCTCTACAATCCAACAAAACTAGCGCATTTTTTCATTCGATTGGTTCCGTACGCGAACTTTCATTGCGTGTTAAGGTAGGCCGGAAATGATCATACCCTACCAAACTCTCAAAATCAGTGACCTTAACATAGCCTTTTGTATAGCGCAGTGTCCTATCCAGTCTCCCTTCCACGATCTTTGATATTATGTAACAGTTTTCAAAATGTACGGACTATTTGTTAAATTTTAACGCCACGATGCCTTTGACCTATTCATAGCTGAATTTGGAACATTCAAAGCTTTCAAAATTGTAAAAATTTCTTCCCATTCCTAGGCTAAAATCAACAAAAAGCTTACCAAGAAAAATTCTTTTGGTTTTGCCATGATCCAGAATTCTCAGCTCTTCGTCACAAGGTGCCTGACCTGCAATTGATGTCAACAATCGCATTGCAAGCACAAGAATGGCATTTGAGGCACTAAGAAAATCGAAGAAAAATCCCCAGGATTCTGCATCTACGAACTGCGCATTGTCAACGACAAACATATTTGGCATTTGTCAGTTACCTGAAAGAAATTTTCTCTTATAATAATATAATAATAAATAATAATAATTATAATAGCTCGCCAAATCTCCGTTTCGGAGCAGTTACGTAACTCAACAAAGAATTGCCAAGAGAAGACGTCGTGTGCAGTATAGTACCACGGGCTATTTTTCACTTAAGTTTGAAAAGTTCAACCAATCTCTCGATTTCTATCAGACATCTTGCTTATTCTCATGTTTATAATGTTCTTCTCAGATAGCAATGGAACATCTGACAGTTATTACAATGCCTACAATGCTTATTACTGGAAATAATTTCCCTAAGATTAAAAAAATTTCGGTCTTTGATTTTTTATACAATTGTAGAGATTATGCATTGAACACTGCCACTGTTTTGTGCAATCACTCTCTAGTTAAAAGCTGTTACGGGAAATAAAACAATTTTGAACAAGATTGGTTCTTCAAAACGAAACTGATTTGATGTTTTTCATCCTTTTATTTAAAGAAGAAATTAATGTTATTTAGTTAGATTTGATTCTCTAGGTATTTTTTAAAAACAGATTATTTTCAGTGATGGTGGAGGGATGAAATGTACTTGTTCAAAATGAGAATAATGAACAAAAATTTATTAAAGTGAATCCAAACATGGACTTGCCCACTCAGCCTTCCTTTAGCTAATGTAGATGAACAAGTTTCAAGTTTGTGCATTACATGTGCATTACGAATGTGCTAAGTGCATTACAAATATTTCCGGGGTGAATCTTTGATAATTTTCAAAGTGAGAAAACTTTAGCAGAGGGCTCAATGGCAATGGACAAAGCTATATTTAAGACAAACCATTCATTAACCTAAAAAAAAACAAGAATTATCTTTAACGAACAAATTACAGAATAGGTCTAAATAAAACCTTTACCATTTTGACTATATGAAATAAGACATCATGAAAACGTGAGTTTCGTTCTTCCTCTTCCATTGTTGTGAATTTCTGATCTGGTAAGATCTAAAGAGAAATTGCGAAACAATCAGCAAAGAAAAAAACAGCGAAACAGCGAAACAGCGATGGAAAGACGAAACAGCGAGAAAAGAAACAACGAAAATGCTGTACAAGCAATGGTGAAACAGCGAGACAGCAAAATTCAGCACTGTAGCTAAAATTTTTTTAATCGTATTCACTCCTAGAAGTACATCGCATATAAAGGCATAATGTAAAATTTCTTTAATAAGTAACAATTCTAAATGAAGACAAGTTGATTTTTCAGGTAATGTTTCCGATTTTTACGATGATGTGTTTCGCCTTTAGAATATCTCCTGGAAAGATGCTGAAATCTGATATACTTGCCTCGGTTCCAAGGAGGTCATTGAGTAAAACACATCTTCTCTCATCTCTGGTTCTTGAACGACATTAAACAGTAAATGCTCCTTCTCAGAGCTGCATCTGCAGTGCTCTAGATTAAGCAGGGTGCGATGAAGCTACCGATTACATAGTAAGGTGTAACGGCTTGGAAGAGTCCAGTTCAAGATAGTTCATTAAAGAAAAACCAGTTTGTTTTAGAATAGAGGCAGGTCATGCGATTCAGTAGCATCCGTACAATAAAGGGTTATAAGTTAGGGCTAGAGTCAGGGCAGTAGGTGGCAGGGCAGAGCAGGCTAGAGTCAGGGCTAGAGTCAGGGCTAGAGTCGTTTTCATTTTATAGGTGCATGTTGCTATGTAGGTTGTTATTCCAATAGGTGATGCCTATTGAGAAACGGAGCCAAATTATCTTCTACAAAATACCTCAGTTCTATTTTCTTTCTAGACACAAAATTATTTGTGAATAATCAATACAGAGTTTTTAAATTGAGCTTTTAAAAAAAGGAAACATTTTGATACATACAAGCTTTCCGCTGACACTCAAAAAGTGTTTTAGGTTAGAGGAAGAAGAGGGAGAGAGAGGAGAGGAGAGGGAGAGGGAGGAGGGGAGAGGAGAGAAGGAAGGGGTTGTAACTCAAAGTTGCTAGCACAAAGACTTCAAATGCAACAATTATCGATCAGCATGCAAAGTTTCAAAAAAATGCAGTTATATCAACAACCTTTTCCCAGCCTAAAAGTTCTTATATACATATTCTTTAATGAAAAAAAGAAACATGTTGGTTCTTAAATTCTTAGGCTCTTTCTCTGGGGATAAACTACATGCTGAGCCTGAGAGAGTCTGGGCTACATTTCTATAGAAGTTCTCATATACCTTACCAGTCAGTGCAGATGAGCAATCTTCTTGCTATTTTGCCAACTTTGTTGGAAAGGAGCTCCTTAAGACACCTCTTTCCTTATTCTGTTGCCATTGACACAAAATCTGCGAAGACGTTAGGAGCAGTCTCTTATCAAGGGTTGTGGAATCGTTACTTAACATGTCACTCTCAAGCATAATTCATCATTCACTGATTAATCTTTTTTTAACCACTTTGTACATTTAAAAAACATCTACGGCTATTTTCAATTTGAAAGATCAACAGGTTCAAACAAACATGATTTCGTACATCTCTTGAGACTTTTTAGCATGTTATGTATCTGAAATCGAACAGAAATGAATATAAGGTATGTTAGGCTGAAGAACTTATAACTGGGGCGTTAACAGCGGAAGTGCAAAACAGTACTTTCGTACCTAAAATTCTTTCCTCGGCCAGATCCATGAATTCTTCAAGTAGCCGGTTTTGCCAATACCTGCCTCTCCTTCATGATGATAATATTTTCAGTAGGCCTCTTTTGTTGAATTTCAGAGTCTTTAGGATTTCATTGAACTCGGCTATCTCCTTTTCTCTACCTATAGAAAAGATCAATGTAAGCCACATGACAAGGCTAGACAAAAAAAATATTTTATGCATCTTCCTTTGGGGATGTCTACACATAAATGTTCTTTTTATCTAAATAATTAAGGGTTATGAAGCATTAAATATATCGATATTATCCCTGTACACTCACAGGAAGGGGAAGGGGGGGGGGGGAGAGCAAATTGACCTAGGAACTCAAAGTTTAGGGAGCCTCAACGAGTATATATTAAGAATGCAATTAAAGACGTAAGAGAAGCATGCCTGAAAATTGTAAAACGTTTCAAACGTTGTAAAAAATTGCAAAAGAATGATTCATAAACGCTCTGAAATATATTTTAAGCTAGTCTTTAGGCGTGCTTGCAAAGATTTTCCGCCTGCTTTGCTCGCATGCTCTTTTCAATTATTTGCATTGAATTATTGGGTATTTTTGTTTAAACATATTTGTACTTTTTAAAAACTTAACACATTTAATACTGACTTAAAAAACTTTCAATTCAAGGTTATCATGCCAATACGAAATAAAAAAATGCTTTAAAAAATTAGTTTTCATATGTGAAAACTCCTAGCAAATTGTAACGATATTTTATAATGTCAGCATACCCTCAGATAAAATGACAAGAACCGTATCTTGCAAATTTCTCAAATTTCATTTCAATGCTCATGAAGAAGCTTACCTAGAATCGGGAAATCAAAGTCTTTTACCTCTTCTTGTGTGCTGCAAAAAATCGAAAATGGTCTTTCTAAAATTGACTTTTGGAAGATTTTCATTTTGGTACCAGTTAGTCGAGCGAAACATTTTGGTACCTTCATATTAGCTTGACTGTGAATAAAAATGCATGATTCCCTGAGAACTGACTTCTGTTATTTGTACAACAACGTAAATTTGTCAACTTTAAATTGTTTTAGGTATTTTAGATATGTTGCTAAGTTGCAACAAGATTCTTGCATTGCATTATCGAAGTTAGAATAAATTGAAGCTAGAGTTGTTACCTGGAGCTAGGGTTGTACTCTCTCACTACCCCTGGATCCTTTATACCCTTTAGGGGTTTAAAAGGCAATGCAATAAAATCCGATCTCTTCAGCTTTGACTTGGCAACTTCGTAGGTTTCCGAATCACAAGATAATTTGCCAGGATAATTTGTCATCAAACGGGCAGCCATGTTGACTTTTCTACCAATAACTGTCGTGATAAAAATAAGAAGAAGAATCAGGAACAGAAAAATAGGTTCAGTTATGATAATCTAAAGTTTTGTCTTTCATTCTGAGCAGGATTTTTAGGATATGGGGATCGAATTATTAACGGCTCATTTTGATATGAAACAACTTTTTTGGCGGTACAAAATTTAGGAATGGCTTAAAAAAGGAAACATTTTAAAAAAGATACTTAAGGTTTTCGGTTGACACTCATTAGAGTATAAGATATCAGAACAATGATCGAATATTGCAACAAGAATAAAATAGAGGAATAAAGATATGTATATTTATGTTTATCTTAGGGTCCTTAGGGATTCTAAGGAGTCCCAGTGTGATAATTGAAAAAAAATTGCCAACGAGGGAATGATAATTGATAAAAAAAATTGCCAACGAGGGAATGATTAGAATGGTTGGAATGAAACAGGAGCAAGCAAAAAGCAGGATAGATACCAGTATACTCATGCCTATCTTTGTGTCCCACGACACCACAAAATGCCCGACCTGTAGTGACACCGATGCTCTCATCACTAGAAAAGAAATCAGACAAAATCAGAGATGGGGGAGTAGATACATATGAAATGAAAACAACATCTACAAATAGCAACTGTCCTTAAATAAGAAAATTTTTAAAGACTCATTGCTAACAATGGGCCTTTGCGAGCGTAGCGACGATCTAAAAAATGGCAGTAAACTTCTACGGATTAACCAAAATTGATTTCAGACAGTCTAAAAATGCATTATGGGATGCTTACGTGGCGCAATGGCTCATTGTTAAGAAAAGAAAGGGCGCCAAAAAACTTCTGCAATTCAAGTAGCTTTTATCACTGACCAAAGAAGTCATGTTTAGTTGGCAACATAGATATAATAACATTAAAATGCAAATTATGTCAAAAAATCAAATTTAATACTCAAACAGCTCTCGACACAAATTTCTTAGTAAAATTCCCAGGAAAAATACCTTGCCCATTCGGTAGTTTCCCTATTGTTGGCAAAACAGTTTTGAAAGCTTGGAGGAAATATAATCACAGACAGATAGCAAACGATAACTTTTTCAATTTAAGTTACAAAAAGAGAATGATCCAAATCTATTCAAAAATTTAACCCCAGTGCAATCCTGCAGCTGAAGGGATAAACTAGATACGATTTGATTTAATAGAACAGTTATAATTTAGCATGGTTCTTATATAAATCCAGTATATAGCTGCCCATCGAAGGCTATCTTTCTGTTTTACTATACTTCAACCTACCGTAACTAAATTTCAGCTCAAGTAGCTTGTGTTCGCCAGTCTATTTACACAAAACGCGCGAAATGAAAGCATGAATTAAATTACACGAGACCACTCTTAGAATTCTGATACCTATTTGTGAAATATAGTACCATTGATAACAAAGAAATTTTCTTTTCAATACTAGCAATTTAGAGAAACCTCTGGTCTGAAATAACAAATTTTGTTGTTGTCAGTCATAGAAAATATGGTATAACGAATCAATTCAGAAGTGTACGCACGTGATCTCAGCAACTGCATGCAACGATTCATAGATCATGTGACTAGCTTTCAATGCTCTTGCGCCGTCATCTTCATGCTTGCCCCCAGGCAAACCAAATATGACTACAAAAGTGCACCCCTGGAAATTTAAGGGAAGTAAAGATGTAACAATTATGCATAACATGCTTTCAGAATTTAGGTTTGAAATTTGAGTTTGGTTGTAAACTGAAGAGGAGAACTTCAAATCACGATGTTATCGGAAAAATGACTGGGAAAGAGCAAACATCATACGTAATTTTGTTGCCAGAACCTTGGACCACGAAAAAAGATTTTGGCAAAGAAGGTATGAAATGTTAAAAAGAATGATGAAATGAATAACAACAATTTGAAAACAGCATTTTTCAAAAATCAGGTATTTTCAGATTGTCGATTTTACTGACCTTATCAAAACTGAAAACTTTATTCAAGTTCCCTAGAACAAAAATTAAGACAGTTTAATCAAAATTTGTTAAAAAGAGAAATTTCGTTCAACATATTAAGGCTGTTTCCCTGCGACAACTACCCGGTTGACAGATTCAGAGCAAAACATTGTTTTACGTTTTCTCGAAAATGGTCTTTTAGAGGCTATTCACAATTCTCCATTGTTTCATTTTACCTCACTTTCTTCTCTCTACTTCGTCTTTCTTCGCTCTTTATCGTTCTTCTTCACTCTTCTTCTTTCTACGCTATTCTGTCTTGTTCTAATTCCCGCTTGTTTGTTACATATCTTTCTTTTTCATTCTAATTTATTTTTCCTTGCTTTCTTTTCTCTAAAGCTATACTTTCCCTCAGTTTGCATTTTAAGAAAGGATCTGGCTTAAAAATTAGGCTAGCTCAAGCTTAGTGGATCGGTATCCTTGAAAACTCAAATCACTCGAAAGAGAACGTTCAAGGAAAAGGGGCGGGGAGACTTTTCGGACACTTTAAAGATAATGTTCCAGAGCGTGATGTCATAAAATATTGAGCCCGTCCCTAAAAGATTGCGGCCTTTTAAAGTGATGTGTTCATAAATTCAAAAGCTTTTTGAAGTAAGAAACCCCTAGTGTGACGTCATAAACAAACATACATTCAAGAATGCATGCATATTTTCCTGCTCTTTCCCGATTCCTCAATCACAAATGTTGATGTATCCCAAATAATTTTAAAGCCTGTTGCTGACACATTGAAACGAAATTCGTCGCTACCTTGCATTTTAATAGTGGCATCATAAATCACTTCGAATGCCTTTTGCAGTGCCCTTGCAGCATCTTCAACTCCATCCGGCAATTTCATGTTTATAAACATGACTGATACTTGACGCATCTCCGACAGCCACTCCAAATCTTGTCCATGATCAAGCTGCAAGTCAAAAAGTCGGAGTCGTAACAGATGACTCAACATATTGTTATCTGATTACGTTGCTATTGCTTATGATATAGAAGTTGCTCCGATTAACAGTCTTACTACAATTGAATCCCGTTAAGTCGGGCCTTCACAAGGTTAAGGAAACGATCTGACTTAGCGAATGTCTGATTTATCCAAAAATTACTTTTGACTTGAACAAAGTAAAAAAATCAAGAAAGGAATTGAAGATCTGTCCGACTTAGGGAATGTCTGACCTATCCGAAAAATGACTTTTGACATGAACAAAAGAAAGGAAATCTTATAGGAATTGAGAGTCAAACCGACTTAGTGAAAGTCCGACCTATCCGAAAAATGACTTTTGACATGAACAAAAGAAAGGAAATCTTATAGGAATTGAGAGTCAAACCGACTTAGTGAAAGTCCGACCTATCCGAAAAATGACTTTTGACATGAACAAAAGAAAGGAAATCTTATAGGAATTGAGAGTCAAACCGACTTAGTGAAAGTCCGACCTATCCGAAAAATGACTTTTGACATGAACAAAAGAAAGGAAATCTTATAGGAATTGAGAGTCAAACCGACTTAGTGAAAGTCCGACCTATCCGAAAAATGACTTTTGACATGAACAAAAGAAAGGAAATCTTATAGGAATTGAGAGTCAAACCGACTTAGTGAAAGTCCGACCTATCCGAAAAATGACTATTGACTTAAATAAAAGAAAGGAAATCTTATAGGAATTGAGAGTCAGACTGACTTAGTGAAAGTCCAATACACTCTGTACGACTTAACATTAACACTATAATTCTTTACGGGGTTCAACTTTAATAGAACTTCAGTGAAAATCTTAGATGCTTTATAATGATAGTTGTCTGACAGGGGGAGGGGGGGGAAACAAATGGAAGATATCATTTTCCACCAATCAAGTAACGACTTTTAAACAAAAAATTTTGTTACGACTTTTAACTTCCAACTTCTCTGGAAGGAATACAATATTATCAAATACATACTTTGTCAAGTACGGGCGTGGTGACGTAAGCTCGAAGTTGCTGCACCTGATCTTCGTCCAAATTGAAAGTCATTCGTAGTCGATCTGGCAAAAGCATATATATCAGGAAAATTGCAATGAAAAGCTATTTGTGTCTTAAAGATTTAATGACAAAACAAGAAACACTTTTATGCATTTTTCAAAAAGACATGTTCTACTTCTTTAAAAATGGCTTTATTTGTATCAGCTATATATATATATATCTTAAGTTAAAATTATTATGAAAAATACAGATCTGAAATTTGTAAAAGTATTATTTATTTTTAAGTTGACATTAGCGTCTCTTACAAGCATACTACAGAGTAAATCTACATTATGATGCTGAAAGCAACGGTAAGGCCTTTGAAACTGGATATGTAGTAGCTAAAACTTCAAAATTTTGTTTCATCAAGACAAATGGAAATATCTCCAAGAAAACTTTTATAGGAAGGAGCGTGACCTAGTGGTGCATACCAAATTTCTTTTCTTTGTCTCTAGCTGTATGTCGATTATTTCGACCGCCAACTCGCGCATGCCCATAGCCACCTCGAAATTCTCCATCATCAGTGTCCGGTAGCAATGCCTTTGGAAGGCCTAAGTGGCAAACCGGACACTCCTCAATCAGTTTGTCTATTTCAGGGCATACGACAAGTCTTTTCTTCGACGTCAGCTCCGTGCTTTTCATATCGTTGAAGACAAATGCCGCTGCGAGGCCTTGGCTGACTTTGTGAGGCTCAACAATACGTTTGTTTTCAGATACCTATGGAAAAAAGGAAAGATTTTACTAGGCCTAAAATACCATGCCAGCTCTACTGAATTCATAAATTCCTTACGAAAGAGCCAATCTTTCAAACACGGTAAAATTTTCTCTAATGAAATCCTGTATTCCGGGACCAAACTTTTGTTAACTCTCTCACATAAATATTACTTTTACAAAATAATTTTGTTGTGCTGCATCCGTTGTTTTGGGCTTTCCTGCTTACCATATTCGTTAGAACAATTGTAGGGTTCTTAGGATTGGCTTTATTACAGCGTGCCTTAAGGGGGATGAAAAATATTTTAAGTCAGTCAAAATGCTTGTTTACATTTTTCAAGCCAATGAAAACATACAGACAGGGATTGAAATCTGAGGAAATACCCTTGCTGCGTGTCTTTCTGTGTTTTTAGGTGCCTTTTTGTAAAATTTTGATTGACTTGTATATTTAAATAAAATGAAAACAGTGAAATTCAAAGATCTAATATTTATTGGGGAAACATTCTACCCAGGTCCTTTGTTAAGGCAACAATGAAAAGCTTGTGAGACTCTGCTCCTTTGCCATCTGTCCCTTGGGATCTGAAAGCTTGCCATCTGTCCCTTGGGATGAACATCTTTGGTCGAATTCTTTGCAATATCTTCTCGATCCCTTCAAACGCTATTTACACGTTCGAGAACCTATTCCTAAGGGCTCTTTGTAATCCTTGGAGCTTTCGGTATTAAGGACACTTTTTCTGTTTATCCTGTCCTAGTTATTTCTTTGCAATATGTTTGAAAAATCTATTACCTGTCCCTTGGGATAAATATTTTTAGTCATATTCTTTGCACTAAATCTTCGATCCCTTCAAACGCTATTCACACGTTCGAAAACCAATTCCTAAGTGCTCTTTGCCTTACGAATTTACTGCGAAACCAAAACGTTGAGAGCAATTAGACGAGAATCATATCTAAAAAGAACACATTATAACCAAACAGATAAAGAAAGCGTGTTTTGTTACCCTAAACAGATTACAATCCTCCAGTTGCTCAACCTTGAAGACATCTTGGTCACAATTTGTCCAAGCAAGTGGCGTCAAGATGACATCACTTGGCTGCGCATGCTTCTCCGCAGCGCCAACTTCGTCAATGGCAGAGCCTGATAAATCGAACTGTTTTGATTCTTGTTCACCCACAAACGTAATCACCATAGAACCGACCGCCATTGCTATCTTAACACGCAACACAATTCCGACTTCGGTCATTTGATTATCGCATTTCTCTTGAATCGATAGGCCACAGCGGATTGCTTTCGTGAGAACGGTCTGAACGTTGTGACCTGAGTTAGAAAAGACCCAGGAAGCTAATATGGCGTCACCTGAAAAAGAATGATACAAACTGAAAAAGCTTTGAGTCTTAATTTCCTTTTGTGTTTAATGGATGATGCTAACAAATGAATCCTCCATAACATGGTTTTGGACGGCACGAAGCCTCAATAACAACTTCCCCAAGAGCACATGCCTAGATAATCTTCTTAAGTACATCTCCTATAACACAATGGTTGGATTGCAATGCAACATATTATGTGATGGCATCGGAAGGTTTTTATGCAAACAAAACAGAAAGTAGGACATAAATGACAAACAAATTCAACGTCCATACCTGCAAATTTAAGAACATCTCCACCATCTTTGATGATACCTAAAAAATTATGTCAGTTAATATGGCCATACTGTTCAGATGAAAAAGTGAAACAAACAAATCAATGTTAACATGACAATTGTCATTTCAAATACAATGATGTCATTACAAAAGGGGATAACATGACTTGAATTCTCATCTCATAGAATGCTGTTTTCTGTTACATTCCAAATGCAGATTTGTTTATATTTGCTTATTACATAAGACACTCACAATCAACAATTTTTCCGATGTAGCTGTTGAGTGTGGCTGTCAGTTTGTCTGTTCCACACCCCGAGTTGTCCTTTGTCACCATGTCAGCATATTTCTCACAGAGAGCAGTGAAACCTAAACGCAAACAGCCATAGATTAAATCTTTAGGAGATATTGAAACTAATCGATGTAGACATTGAAAAACATGCATATTCTGAGAGGATTTTTTGGCAGTGACCTCAAAGCAAGGTGGACAAGGACAAGGATTGCAAATTTTTTCAGCGTGTCAGGAGGAAGGAGAGGATGAAGAGGAGGAGGAGCAAAGAGGGAAGAGAAGGAGCTATAATCAGTACAAGAAAAGAGGATCAAGAGGAAGGGGAAATGAGGAAGAGATCGGGGGGGGGGGGGAAGGAGCTGAATGAAATGGGAAGATCAAAGTGAGAAGAGCAAGTGGAAATAACGAGGAAAGGAGGACGAGAAGGATGAGAATGAGGAGGAAGGGGAAGAGGCAGGGGAAAATGAAGAAGTGGATAATGAGGAGAAGAAAGAGGAGGAATAGGAAGAAGAGGAGGAGTAATAGGAAGAGGAGAAGGAAGAGGAAGAAGAAGAGGAGTTATAGGAAGAGGAGAAGGAAGAGGAAGAAGAAGAGGAGTTATAGGAAGAGGAGAAGGAAAAAGAAGAGGAGTTATAGGAAGAGGAGAAGGAAGAGGAAGAGAAAGATGAGTAGGAAGAGGAGGAGGAGAAGGAAGAGAAAAAGGAGGAGGAAAGGGAAAAAGAGGAGGAGTTATAGGAAGAGAAAAAGGAAGAGGAGAAGGTATATGAAGTGGAAAAGAAAGAGAAGAAGGAAGAGGAAGAGGAAAAGGAGGTGGAGGAAGAGAAAGAGGAGGAGTCATAGGAAGAGGAGGAGGATAAGGTAGAAGAGGAGAAGGAGGAGGAGAAGGAAGATAAGGATTAGAAGGAAAGAGAGAAGGAAGAGGAACATGACTAAAAACTTATTTTACATTTGTATAAATCAATCTTTTTGAAACAAATTTAAGAAGAATCCTTACCAGAGATGTCAGCAAACATAGCAACACCGATGCATTCTTTCCTTGCTGGCATCATGACCTTCTGGTTGTAATTAATAACGATATCCGGAATGTGTGTCATTAGTTGCAATATTGCATTTGAATCTTGCATTGGTCTCTTAGTTGATTTATTTTCACTATCAAGGTCTTCGTCTAAAATAAGGAAACATGTACTAAGATCGTAGGCATGTCTCGTAGGGACAACAACATCCATATTACGATAAAAGCTGTTAAACCTAATCAGCTCGAATGCAATTATGTTCACCTAGTGGTATACCAGCAGCTTATTTAAAATCCGCCTTTTTCTTTAAGTATCTTCAAAGATTGCAAAACGCTGTGGTTAATGCCGACCAAGGTTTGGGCCTGGCGAGATTCTCGCAACAGCTCAAAAATATTTATTATGCACGTACAAAGTAGGTTCGTTTTATGAGGATCCAAGTATCCTTTACAAATGCTCAGCCCCCCTATTTTGAAGACGTCAGCCCCCGTTTGAAGAAGAAGTTCCTTCATCAGAGAATTTATTGCGCTTAAATCTCGGACTGTGAAGCATGCTAAGCATTTACAGAACTAGACATAATTTAGAAGCATCTCTTCACAAAATCCGTTATAAAAGATTTTTAAGTTACAGATACGGTAATCGCTAACCTATGCGTTTTTATCATATCGCAAGATTAACACAAAATGTTCTTTTTTCAAATTTTAACTACTCGCAAGCTATATTATCGAAGATCTTAGAAGATCCAATATAAAACTGCGAAGCCTTAAAGGCTTGCATATAGTCATGATAAAAATATAGACACAAAAATGACAATACTTTAACTGTGAGGGACAATATACTGTTTATCGAACCTGATAGTATCAACGACACTTTTCTTTCAACAAGCTCTTCTTCTTCGACAAGGCCTGGGACCATACAGAGACTCAGTCTTGCGGCTTTTTCTGTTGCCCACATGTTGTGGATTGGTGGGTGATTCCCTTAACGCCAAAGTTGGTAGGGCAAAGCTTCTCGTCAAACAGCGCGTGGTACTGACAACGTTTACTATTTCAACCAATTTGTTGCCTTGTTTACTAATTAGGCGTAAGATATATCAATCACGCGTATTATAGAAAGCGCTGTGAAGGAGGACCGGTGATAGCAATGTTTGAACTGATAGCACTAGCAGCAGTCAGTTTTTCAACCTGCCTAAATTATGAGTGGATTTTTGGTGGATATAAATTTTTCGGGGGTTAATGTAACATTTTGAGACGCATATAATGAAAGCTAGGAGAAAAAATTCATTCGCTTGTAATATAGTTAGTCTTCTTAAAACAATGAGTTCCTAATAAACAATTGGAGTTCCGATATTAGACAGCAAGCATAGAGATTTCTTAGTATTTTAAGGTCTTGACAGGCTCTTTATGCCTAATCAAAAAGAAGAGAGAGGCACAGTTTCTAAAAGCCTGAGAATTACCTGAAGTGCCAGTGGTAAATATTGATGCTTAAACGAGCAATCATTTTCAAAATGGCAATTTCTTTTATCTTACCATCCTTTACCCCTTCAAGTACAGATTCTTTTATATAGGTTTAAGGCAGTATATTACAATTATTATGCATTTCTTATCATCTATCAGTCAAGACTAAAAGATTCTATAAAAGCATTGAGACTTTCATCATTACGCTCCTTTTTTATTCGTTACAACAATACGTACAATTTTTTGAGTGATGTTACAATTAATATCCGTGTCTTCGAATAGGAGACCCGTGTGATACATTGTGTCTTAATTAAATCCAAAGTTTTACGTTACAATAACGAGGACGAAAAACATTTTACTGAAGAACATATTTAGAAATAAATTACAAAATGCAATTTGAAACTGCACATTAGATTTTAAGAGTTTCTCTTAAGATGATATTATATTAAGTACAGAACCTCACATTTCCTAATGCAGCGTCAATCTACAGATTATATAAGTACAGATTATTTTAGTAAATTCCTAATCTAAGTACAAGCTAAAAGTTTTATCATATATCCTGGAAAGGGGCCACAACCACTTACATCTCCCCAAAACAAATGGATTTAAATCTATCAATAATCTGAATTTAACCATTTGAGTAAGAATAACTCTTAAATTTGCCAGAATAATATTCCATTCAACATCTCAACTTCAATATACGGTATTTAATGCAATGTCATTTGAAATCAACGGAAATTTTACTTTTCACGTGAACTTGCTGTTGAAATAACTACGCCAACACTATATATAGGAAGAGGTACCTAACACTCTCTTAAATACAATGTTGCTATTCGGTTTACAGATCTGGATGAAGCTATGGTCAAGTTTTATATTCCTTTTATCTAGACAACAGCCATCCAAACTTGCAATGTAATGTGAGTTTGATTAAGTCCCCAGATTTATAAAGCCCCTTCATAACACGCTCCTATCACAAAGAAAGGCAGCAAACAAATATAATGTGTGAGAAGGAAGTGCTGCAGGATAGGCTGTCCACCAGATTCTATGAATCTTGCAATGAGTATAACATAAATACGCGGATAATATTAAGGAACAAAGCAAAACGGCGACGAGAATCCAATGTTATTAGATAAATGTTCCAAAATAAATTAAATTAAAGGAATACTAATATTTCGCCCCGGCATACAGGGCTTTATCAGAGTAAAACAAAAGTAAATTTAGGTCTTTGAACTTTTAATAAATAACAACTTTGAGGAAAAACTTTGTTCGATCAAATGTTTAATTAAATTTTAAAAGATATCTTTATTTTCTACTGAAACATATTGAAGATCTAGTTCAAATAAATTTTTAAAACAGGCAAAGATATTCTAAATTTGTGGTTCCTAATGACTTTGAACAGTTAAAAAGATATTTATATATTGAGTTGTTTGTGAACTTTGAATTATATTTATCTTTTATGCAACGTTTGTTTTTAAACATCATATTCTATACTTTGTCATTGGATATCATTCATTTCTAAAGGAAATATGTTTTCTGCAACCATCATAACTGATGTCGAAAGTTTTTAAAAACATGAGAACCTACATAGGAAAATGGTAAATCAGATGCATATATTTGAACTGTAAATGAAAGCTATAACCACAATGTGGGTGGACGACCAGTAGGTATTTGAAATAAAAATTTGTTATATCTTTGTTTTGTTTTAAATCTGTTGAATCATAGTTACAAGAAAAGAAGCGGCCTAAAATTGTGTGCATGTAGAGAACTGGGTACTTTTCTTGATTTGTCAACAAAAAGATAAAACAATGCACCATTGTTCCTTTCCAGATTATCCTTTCTTAAGACTATGGTTGAACATTGAAAACCTTGCGAAGAGTGATTTAATTAGATGAATTATATACACTTCTATTTATTTCCATATATAATATCTTCTTAGGAGTAGGAAATCTTTCAGAGTAACAGATGCAACACCTTCAACTGCCCAACATCATCTAACAAATCTTCTTCTCTTTAAAAATTTAAATAAAGTTTAGTGGTGAAAGTGGCTAGCCGATAAAGATGAATATGTCTCCAATAAAACATTTTAAAAGGAATTGGTGTTTTTCTTGCATTTAAAAATCTTTTGAATAAGCTAGGGCTCTGCTGTTGAATTTAACAAAATATATTTAAATGCAAAGTCCATGCGAAGAGATCATCTAAAAACTTTAAAAACTTAAAAAGCAGGGCACCCGTAGTATCAACGTTTCTAAATGTACAATACCTACCACGATTATCTGTTTAATTTCTTCCCCAATTATCACTACTCCCGCCCCACCTCCCCCAGCAAATTGCTGGTACTTTACACAATATTATCCGCGCATTTTAGAAAACTAGCATTATTGCCAGGGAAGGGGGGGAGGGGGTGGCTGAATTTGCTCTAAAAACTGACGCTAGTGTTTTAAGACTTTTGGCAATATGGACAAAGCTCGAGAACGCTTTAAATTAAAGGTATCAATACAACTGTGCAGCTGTTAGTTGACTTCGTGTTTATTGCATCATGGAAAATTTGTGACGTCACCTCGAGCTCAAGACTAAGCAACAAAATACCTTTGGATCTACATGTCTTGGTAACAGCGAACCTCACCATCAAGGCTTCCAGTGACCAGCTAAAAGGAAGGCGCAAAACGTGAGAATAAAGCATTTTCTTCGGCAATGATGCTTGCTAACAATAATGCGAAAGGAACTTCAGATTAATAGAACTTTGGGCCTAGGCGCGAAAAAAGCTGCCTTGCGGGGCACCAAATACTTGTGTTTCATAATAGATTTTTTACAAACGAAAAATCATAATCTATATATGTAAAATTTGAAGTTTATAAACGATATAATAGCTGCCTAAAAACTGCCAACAGTACCTTAAGGATGAAAAAGTGATGGTTTCAAAATGCGATTTATTCTGAAGTGATTTTCAGGACTCTTGGAAGCTGTGCTTATTGAGCAGTATCCTGGTTCATCCCTGACCTTTGAATCTATTTCCACGATCCTGACCACTGAGCCAACCTAACTTCTTGAAGTCATTAAGAATGAAGAATGAAGTCATTAAGAAAAATAAAAACCAGAACGCTAAGAGAGCCAAAGTAGAGACTCACCATTGGAATGTGCGGATGGAAATCGACACACGAGACGACGTCCGATTGGCCAGATAGACGATGCAGATACGAGCTGTTGCGAATATCAAAGACATAGGCCTAGGAAATTAACAAAAATAGATGCCTTAAAATTGGCCCCTTTTTGCACTTGATGAACAAAACCAATTGCAACAGAATGCATTCCCAATGCCACAGGAAGGGCTGTCTAATCGACAAAAAAGGGCCTATGACTTTCGAGTGTTTACTTAACTAAGAATTTGAAAATATGCAGAATATGCGACATTTATCGGAATATGCAGATGAAATCTTGCTTATCATCAAGAATAGCAGATGGGTTTGCTTCATTCCATTTCATTTTTTCTAACAAAAGGTAGCCCTATCTGTAAATGTCGAACTCGTTTTTTAATTCGTGAGCTAATCTTAGTTTCTTGTGTATTTATGTATGCTTATGTTCCTATCATTTAGCTACAGGCAAAGAACGCGATAAAAAATACCGTCAATTTAAAAAGCTACGTAAGTAATCACAGTGGAAAAATAAAACAACATAGGTATTCTAAATAATCAGTTGTTATATTTCCCAGAGAGCACTTGACCTAGCGAATTACTTCTTGCCAATGGTCCAAGTAAGCTCTGTCTCGAAAATGACATCTCAAAAAATGAAATCTTACTTACTTAGGATCTTTTTTCAACATGTTCTATACTTACAGGTTCCCATTTATATATTTGGTTCTTTTTCAACTAATATTCAAAGCATTTGCCTCTTCAAAAATTGATATTTTTTAAATGACCTCGTCTGTTATAAACTCTTGACTTCCAACCATACATATCTAGACTCTAAGAATAAATTGCACTTACGCTTCGATCTTCTGAACCAGTTGCAATGAACCGCGAACAAGGGCTGTACGCGACTCCAACAGTCTGCGATCTGTTCACATGACCATCAAACTTTCGAACACAACTAGAAATGAAAACATAGGAACTGAGCTAAGATTAGATTTGCAACTGATTTTCAAAGCTTGTTTCAAAACATTAAATATTTGTTAAAGACAGTTTCCCTGATGATCGTATTACTTTTGAAATTTTGTATTACAACTTAGAACAGTCCATCTCTACACACAAAAGCGTATTCTTGTTTAGTACTCCGATTGCGGCAATGGTTAAGGTTTTAAAATAATATTTTCATACTTTTGTGAATTCCTATGTTAATGGTTTAGAAACAAATCTTATCTCAAACTGCAATTGACTCCGATCCCATTTACCAACAAAATTAGTGAATCATTCTTTATTTACCGACAAATCTGAATTTTTGCCGACAAAGCACCCCTAGATGGCAGGAAACTCCTTGTTTTTACAATGGAATATAATAATAATAATAATATAATAAATAATTTGTTTAAAGTTGGCGTACTAAATGAACGGTTGATAGCTATAAAGAAGCTAATTAAGGCCAACTATCTATAAAGAGTTAGTATGAAATAAAAATATATGATACAATATTAAAAAGGTTTAAGGTATAATGTTCTAAATAAAACCTAACCCAGCAATAAATTTTTTACACAATCTACAGTCGCATTCTATAGGGTGTGCTCTTAATTCTTTTTTAAATGTTGCCAATGATTGGGACTCTCTTATACTGTGAGGTAGTGTTTGCCACAGTTTTTGACCTAAATATCTCACAGTTTCTATACCATAAGAAGTTGTCCTGGCTTTTGGAATGCAAAGATTATTTTTAGTTCGCAAATCATAATGTACATTTCTTGTTTCAAAAATCTCACTCATGAAACTAGGGTTCAGGTTATGTTTGGTTTTGTATATTTCTATCATCAAGTACTGTAGATTGCGTTGGTGAATTGATACTGCATTATCCAAAGTCAGCAATGCTTCGTAGTCAGCATGACTGTCTTTATAAACAATTCTGAGTGCTCTTTCGTGGATTTTATTTACTTTAGCATTCAGACATCTGTCATGGAACATCCAAATTAGGGGGCAGTAACTAAACTGAGCTTTTATGAAGCTGTTCATTAGGAGACGCAGTTTATCAGAACCCATAAATGGCGAAACTCTAGCAAGAGCATGCAGTTTTTGGCTGGCTCTTTTGCATAAATTTGAGACGTGACTTTTGAAATTAAGATTTTTATCTATTATCACCCCTAGCAGTTTTTCTTCAGAGCTTTCTTCAACAATGGCCTCACCGATTTTGATCTTAAAGTCATCTTGATTTGTTCCAAAAGTAAGAAGATGACATTTCCCTGCATTCAATTTCATAAAGTTTCTGGCAACCACTTTGATAAAACAAGAGCATCAGTTTCTAGCCGTTCTAAAACTTTATCTAATTGACAGTCAGCTGCAAAAATCGTAGTATCATCAGCAAAGTTACATACTGCAGTATCAGTTACCATTAAGAATAAATCATTAATATATAAATTAAAGAGAAGAGGCCCAAGGACTGATCCTTGTGGTACACCTGCAAAGGTTTCTCGCCAAGTGCTGAATGAACCATTTAATTTTACCCTTTGTCTTCTACCGGACAGGTAATTATAAATCAATAATTGAGCATCTTTACAAAAACCATAGGCATTTAATTTCGCAATTAATAGCTCATGGTCTATGCAATCAAACGCTTTTGAGAGATCCATTAGCAAGGCACCAACCACCCCTTTTTTATCTAGGGAATTCTTGCAGATATCCATTAATCTCAACAGCGCATGCTGTGTGTTGAAACTTTTCCGAAAACCACATAAGTAGGGAACTAGGAACGTATCCGCGAAGTCGACCATCTGAGCATATAGAAGCCGTTCAAAGACCTTTGATAATGCGGATAGAACGGTGATAGGTCGATAGTTTCGTTTTTCTGTAGTTTTGTCACTTTTGAATAGTGGAGTTATGTCTCCTAATTTAAGATCTTCAGGAAACGTTTTCTGGAGCAATGAATTATTGAAAATTGTCGTCAGTAATGGTGCAAAAATGTCTTCGTTTTCTTTCAGTACCCGCGGAGGAATACTTTCAATTGTAGACGCTTTTTTTGTATTTAGTCTCAAAAATTCATCATTGACTGCCTGCATTGTAATTGGTTTGAATTCGAAGAATGTGCCATGGTTTACCTTATCCTTAATCTTGCGGAATTTTTCTCCAAGGGTGTGTCACAACCCTACACCCCCACAGCGATGGCCTGCTCGGACCATTTGCCTATCTCCTTCAAAGAGTCTGTACGCAGGTCAAATGAACTTCCAATATCTTGCTGTCATAGGCTATACATCTTCAAAATCAATAAATAAAATCAATGAATAAATCAATGAATAAAACGCACCGATCAGCTCTCAAGTCCCAAAGCTTAATTCCATCGGTGGCAGCTGATGTCAAGAACAGATCGTACGCTTCTGAGGGATGAGTGACGTATGGAGAACCCTAGAAATAGATATATTGGGTTTAACAAGCAAGAACAAAACAAGACCAAAAGTAGTCAAGATATTTCTAATAGTGGCAAATCATAGCACGAGCTGCCAATTCAAATTCTATCGTCCATAAAACTTTGCGTCACTTGCTTTACCACTAACCTATACTCTCCTTATACAGTATTCTCTCCAACTAACGGACACTCTAAAAGGCGGACAACTTTAATTAGCGGACACATTTTTTTCCCGATCGTTTTCTGGTCAAAGTCTCATAAAAAAAATTCTAAAAAGCAGACAACTAATTAGCGGACACTCTAATTAACGAACAATATTTTTTGCACAAAATAGTCAATTAGGCATTTTTTCTTTCCAATTAGCGGACAGTACAAAAAAGTTAGGAGTCAGCGAACACAAAACTGGGACGAATGAATATTTGTTACAGCTTCGAGCTTCTTTACAGTTTACTAAATTTTCTTGTCCATGAAAGTGATAAATTACTGGAATCTCCTGACCATAGCCACCTCCAAGATTCAACCTCTTTCCAGTAACTTCAGCTGTAATCTAAATGTTTGGCACTTTCAAGAATAGAACATACTTTGTCAAATTTGCTCCGACAATAACCTAAAATTTCCTCCGATGGGGGGACTAGATGCTTCCGACGGAGGGGCTGTAGCCCTCTAGCCCTCCCCTGGTGCCATCACTGATTACACCTTTTAAATTCAAAATTCGGGTCTATTTTCAAATTTAGAACTCACATTCAAATTTCCAAAAGGCGGACACTCCCAAATAACGGACACCTTATTCTTGCCCCGACGGTGTCCGCTAATCCGCAAATCCTATCACTTGTAACGTATTGTTTTTGGCACAACAGTAAAACTTTTGCAACATCAAGAAGAAAAATTTCGACCATATTAAAACAAACTGAGAATTCCACGATAATTCAACTAAAAACGGACGACACTAAATAAAATGTGGTTTGCCTACAGACAGCATAAAGGTCCAAAATACCCAATTAGCTGAAATCACCCTCTTCATCTTTTCAACATTGTCTCTTTCTAAAGTATTTTTTCAGGGTAAGATTTTGAAGGCCACTCTACTTAACACTACACTTGAAGGTTATAAATTTCCAAGTTTGCTGATCTATATAGATTCAATGATTTTCTCTCAAGCTATCAGTTCTACCAAAGATAACAGAATTAGCTTTGGTTCTACTTAGTTCTATTGTAGACCATTAAGTTAATTTTATGTTCATTGGCACTCAGAGTATGGCATCATCTCGAAAGTCAACGAAATTTTCACATATTATACAGATTTATCCTCAAGTGACACTATTTGATTGGTTGGTGGCAAAACTACAAGAGTATGTTATTGAACGGATCTTGCATAGCTAACGCATGAGAATTTAAAGGAAATTTGAAACCATTTGGGGATATACAGGGCCGCCGAGAGCCAAACGGGGCCAAGGGGTAGGCAGAATGCCTTGGCTCCTTCCTACCCAAAGGAATAAATCTAAATGCGTTCAGTATGGATTTAAAGTCCATAAAAATTTCTTTATTTACATTTGATTTATCATTGTAAAGCATAATCTAACTTTCAAAATACAGATATGATTTTTGATAACCATGTTATTTAGAGCAATACTGCCAATAGAGACATTTAAATTACCAGCGAGCCCTTTTTGCTTACGGTCTCATAGGCCATTGCCCCTTTTCCCCCGCCTCTTGGTGGGCCTGCGGATGTACATTGATTATGTTAGAAGTAAAGACAGCACAAGTGAAAATAAAAATAAAAAAGCCAACCTGATTTTGGCAGATTGTATGAACATTTCTAGTGTGTGCATTTTTCATTCGTCTTGCAACTGTACCTGTGTTCATATCAAATACCGCTACACTTTTATCAGAACACGCAGCAAGGACAATGTCTGAGAAGCCATTAAGGAAAAGAAAGTACTGACAGGACCTTCAACCCTTCAAAATATATTCAGTTAAAAATGAAAGAAATAACCAACGATTGAAAACCGAACTATGCTAATAATATTTAGTATTCTTGATTTGATTGTAACAGGACGTAAACAAATGACAGAGAAATGAATGCTATTTCGAGGCTGGATAAATGACAGTCAACATTGCACCAGTAATGAGGGTCTGAGGATCTTTACCAATAATAAGGGGTGTTTCTGAGAAGAATAGGGAAGAAGGTGTGGGGGGAGGGTGAAGGGGAGGTGAAGGGGCGATGAAGGGGCGGTGAAGGAAAGGCGAAAAGGGAGATGGTTTATCATCACCTCAGTTTTCCGTGAGTTGGTCAGTAAAATCTTCATTTGGTAAAAATACCGCTAATTCTTCTTTTCATGGCCTTTACCAAATAGTTTGAAGGATCAAGGTCTCTACTTCAAATAACAATTGATAATCACAACCAAAAACAGGTTTTCACAGTTCCAGAGTTCCAGATAGGCACCTGTACCAACGCGTTATGATGAGATAAAATGAGATTAAGCACGATAAATTGGATAAAATGAGTTTTGTTAAAAAAAATGCATGCAGAGATAAGTTGAAGATAAAGCAAGAAGGCAAGCAGCCGCATAAAAGGATACAAGAATAGAATCCGTTGATGCCAGAAAATGTTGTTATATGCTGAGCACCTTTGATTTCAAATTTCCGAACAAGTTTGTATCTATTCATTGTTTGATATCTGAAACAAAATGAAAACAAAACGATGAATTGTCTGTAACACAATGGCACGAATAAATTTTTTTCGAGGTTTGAAGGCAGTATAATTTCACAGAGAAAAGTGGCTGGTATAAGAACACTATGATTAAAAGCAAGTTCAGATCTATAGCACCAACGAATTTAAGCTCTACCTACTCAATATCATGAACAGAAAAATTCATGAAAGTCTCCGAAAATATTTTGGGTAGCAAGCAAAGATCGATTTGCATCACAGCCTATGGCCCAATTCAAAATTTGAGGGAGGTATTCTACCTGGGGATATACCCATATTTAATATTGATAGGAGAATAAGGGTTAAGGATGTCACATAATTTTTGTACCTCAATAGTTAGTAATCACGCATGGAAATTAATTAACAGTTAAGAAAGGAATAAAGCTCATTTGGCAAAGTAAAAAGTCTAGTCGCAAATACAATCATTTGTTGCCTTATTTTCATTTAGTAGAAGATTAATACAAAACAATGGTCCACCCTTCTAAAAGTCATTTCATAAAGAGAGATTTAGCTCTGTAATGAATTTAAAGACCTCTTCAGCCAATTAATATTTGGGTAACATAATAATATTTGGACAATTCACCTTTTGATTTCCTGTTTTGTTTCTTCGATGTTATACTTGTACATATAAAGGGTATTCAAGCAGGATAGAAGGATAAATTTGTCGACATAGTAAAACGATGCTTTTGTGATTTCTTTCGGAAATGGAGGATTTTCCTAAAATAGAGACAGAATAACTTTGTTCGATTCTTTCAATTTTAAAATATCCATGCATTAAACCCATCCGAATTTAATAAACTATTGTGACAAACTAACAGTTGTGAAAATGACAATGTTAACAAAACCGGATGATCCTCAGAATATTTTCACCCGAAATGCAGGGAATTTGCATGCTTCTAGATAACATATAAATGAAATTACTGTTTAGTAGTTAGTCACAGAGTGTTCGATGTCGTATAGACAGAACTGTACACGCATAAGTGAACAGAAGAGAGAGTTCACTCCAAATGTGATTAATGCATTTGTAATATCAATGCTATTAAGAATGTTATTACAGAGATTTTGGCACGAGATTTGGTTAGAAATCTTACCTTGTCCGATGTTGATCCTACTTTTTCAGACTGGAAATTATGTTTTATGTTTGAGAAGTTTAATAGGGGCGATTGGCTGTTTTGTGTCCAAATCTTGGCAGTTTTGTCATCAGATGATGTTACGACGAATGCCTTGTCATGACTGAACATGGCACTGTTCACAACGTTGTCATGGCCTAAAATATCAAAGTTGCAATCAAGATAGAAAATTATATTGTACTTGTTATAATTAGATTTTTATTCGAGTGGTAATAAATCCGAATAAAAGAGAGTAAATTTTTTTCAGAAGAACATACTTTTTACGTATAACGAGGCTCGATTTGTAAAGAAATAAGAACAGTGTAAGAGCATAAATAACTATACTAAATTTATTTTCTAACTATATTATCGTTATTCTGGATGAAGTAGCACACGCAACGTAAATATTTAATTTGATTTTAGTGTAACAGCATGCATAGCCTATTCTGAAAAACTTGAAAAAACAACAAAATGGTTTGAAAATTTACTCCCATGTTAACAAAACAGAGGAAATATTGCTATATAGTCAACTGCGTTACTAGAAATGCCATGCAAAACGGTTATTTAGTGGCCTTAGCAATAGTTTAAAGTATGTAAATGTATGTAAAGTATGTAAAAGATCAATGTTGAAATAAGAAAAATATCAAAAAATATTAGGAAAACCCGAGCCGAAAAAATAAGACCGATTCTTGAATGTTCATGGAAATAAAAACCATTAAGAAGAAATTCACAAGTATTACGCCGAAAAGCTTCCCAAGAGAACGCGCGGCACTTCCACGTAACAACAACTCTCCCAAGATGCACCGCGCGAAAGTGTTAAGAGACGTCATAAGGTAATTCGGCCTTTTTCTTTCATTGGTATACAAATGATGGAAATTAGTACAAGATATACTAAATGTGTTGCAGAGAGGTTATATTCTGCGATTGTCAGTTTTGAAAAAGTATGCCAAAAACTACCCTGGGTATTTTGCGGCTCTGGTACCCAGGTTAGCTAAATAGGCGAAGAACAAAAGCATTGGCATTGAAGTAAATTTAAAGCTGAATAAGATTATAAAATATAAATTTAACTTGATTAAATGATAAAACTAGACCAAAGGTGAGCATTGCTACCATTTAGTTTGAATTATCATAAAAATCACTTTGACAAAGAATACACCAAGAATTTATTGTGTAGTATATAAAATTCAATTCCTGTATCATATTTGAGGTGCAATCAAACATGAGACATGTCCGCTGTTTTTCCGAGTTTCATGCTTGCATCTTCACTAAAACATTTCTATTGCTCTGTACCTCTGTGTGTGTCAAAATGGACAAGGGATGCAAAAATAATTCCAGGGGCGTCGTGGCTGGGGGAGGGGAGGGGGCTCAATTATAGTATTATAGTGTTGGCTTTTGCTGACTGATTTTTTGAGCCAGTAATTGAAGGAAAGTGAAACTAGAACTGGTGCTGCAAAAGATAAATTTTTTCCATGTCAATCATAATTTTAGATAAATGCGCATGCGCTTGATTTTACTGTAAACCCTGTCGTCGGCAAATCTGCACGCTGTGCCTCCCCCCAAGAGTCACTATCAACGAGACCCCTGGAAAATTCCCGTGCTCTTTATTGGTAGGTGACAATTTTTCAGACTCACACGTAATTAACATAAGATTGCCGTGACAAGAAAAAAACCTCGACTCACCAACGAGAGTTGAAACTTTTTCATTGTATGGCATTTTGAACAAAAATGAATTCTTATTTCCAAGGGCACATGCTATCTGCCTTCCATCAACTGAGAAGAAAAAATTTACTTTAGTTATCAAAAATAATGAAAAAATGTCATCGTATTCAAGATGCAATTAAAAAGTAAAGATGTTTAGAGTTGGAACAATCTTTATTTCTGTCGCAATTTCAGTTTAATTCAAATTTATGTTTATTCAATCTAAATATTGATAATAAAAAAATTGGGGCTAAATTGGGATTAAACGAATAATCGTCTTAGATGGGAGAAGCATATAATAGAGAAAAGTAGAATAAAAACTAGTCAAGCAGTCGGCTTATCGCATGTATGAAAACATTTCTGAAACCAGGTGTACTTAGTAACAAGTAAAAAGGCATAATTGAGCCCCATTTCAGTTATTGCTTCTCAATCTAGCACTAATGCATTGAAACAAACATAAAAACGCTTTAAAGGCCACAAAGGAGGAGGGAGGGGGGGGGGAGTTAGTCCAGCAAAAAACAGCAAAGACCCTGAGAGAAGATCTTGGATGGTCTTTGACAGTCAAGCAGATCAACTAAAAAAATTAGCGTTACTCATTTATAAGCTTTATTGGTTCCTGATAATTTTTTTGTCGATAATAATTAGTTCTTCTGATATTAGTGAACAGAATCTGCACTCGACAGACTTCACTCGAAAAATACCGTTACTAACTTCGACACCGCTGCAGAGGAGCCACCCCTTTAAAGGTCTTATAGAGCTAATAAGTTAGCTCTCTCTCTAAGTGGGTTTAAAAATACGCTCTACAAAGTCACGTTAAACGGCTCTCCTTTAAACCTTACATTATTACAATATAAAGGCTTATTTTAATTTTACTTTAGAAAAGAAATAGCATTAAAAGTATTTTTGGAACTAATTACGTTCTTTAGCGTAAAATCCTTTTAACCTGACAGGTTTGAAAAAAATGTTATTCTGAAACATATCAAGCTGCAAAAAACTGTCTTTATTGAAATGAAATGAATATATACTCCACATTTACTTTGTCTGGCCATTGCTTCGCATAAGGGATTGGCAGTCCACATACAAGTGGGGTGAGAGTGGGGTGAGAATGGGGAAAGAATGGGGCAAGTGTGGGGTGAGAGCGGGGCGAGAGTAGGGCAATAGTGGGGTGAGAGTGGTATGAAGTTGGCTGACTTTTAGATAAAAATAGACAAACTTACCAGAGAATTGTAGAGAATTGATCTTTGTAGCGCTAGTGGGGAGTTTAAATTTCTGCTTGAGTTGAATAGGGGGGTCGCTCTTTGTTGGATATTGGTATGATGCCCTAGTGAAAAAGGAAATAGACACATAAAAAACAGAGGCAACACCTGGTCAAATATTGGGAGCGGGGGCAAGCCTTTTGTTTTAATAAGATGACATCACATTTTCCCACTGTTTTAGAACAAAAGACCATTGTCCTATAAAATATAAAGGGGGGGGGGGCGACCGTCACTGATAATAAAATGGAAGACGAGATTTTAGCAAGCACAAATTCGTAAAAATTATAGACTCTCTTCGATACCAAGAAAAAAGAATGCAAAATTAAGTAAAATATGATATTCAAGAAAAATATTAGGGCCATAATCCAAAGTTGTTACAAGAGAAAAGGGAATTACAGTTCCTTTGTTAAAAATATGCAAAGTGACAGGGCAAACTGAAAATAAACAAAATGTTTATAAATAAACTAAATGCGAAAACAACGCCTTTGTTTGCTGAGCCACATCCATTGTTCACATCGCAAAGACTTTGAAACATTCATTCAAGGTGAAATAATTTCAAGGGTATTAATTGGAGCGAATATTATCGATAAGAGCAAGATTTGATATACGCCCTGGTGTAGATAGAAGAGCACTTATGTTCGAACACTGATGCATTGCTTACTTCGTAGGAAACATAGATGAGATTTTCATAACATCCGCCGCCTTCTTTGCAAACAAGTCCTTTGTTTTCGAGCCATTTGTTTTAGGCTTGAACATCGCCGACCTGAAAAGGAGAGTAAAACTGAAAGTAGAAAGAAAATGAAAGGAGATCAAAAATGAAAATAAAAATGAAAGGGTTGCTAGAAGGGGCCAAAGACCAGAATTACACTATGCAGAGTGTTGACAAAGCTTTTTAATATTCAGAAGATTTATGTTAAATATAAGCATTTTTAGACTGGGATGCCAGAATATTTCATGAAATATCACTTTTGTGTATAGCGTTAGTCATTATCAAGATTAACATTCTGCTCAGGAAAAGTTCTCAGCGCACCGACAGACTTTCAATTTTCCTTCCTTCCTTCCTTCCTTCATTCATTCATTCATTCATTCATTCATTCATTCATTCATTCATTCATTCATTCATTCATTCATTCATTCATTCATCCATTCCTTCCTTCCTTCTTTCCTTCTTTCCTTCTTTCCTTCCTTCCTTCATTCCTTCTTCCCTTCCTTCCTTCCTTCCTTCCTTCCTTCCTTCCTTCCTTCCTTCCTTCCTTCCTTCCTTCCTTCCTTCCTTCCTTCCTTCCTTCCTTCCTTCCTTCTTTCCTTCATTCATCTCTTCTCTCCTTTCTTCCATCCATCCCAAATTAAAGAGAAAGTAAGACCCAAAGTTTTCATACCTCGGTTTTTCAGTATAGCCTGATGACTTCACTTTTTTCTGGAAAGTCAAAGGTTGATTCATCTTGTCTTTATCGTTTGCAGTGTTTTTTCCTTTGAATAATAATATTTGAAAACATTAGCAAACAAAGAATAAAGATGAAACTTGCTAAAGACATAAAACAGCAAGACAAGGTTGGCATTAGATTTTGCTAGGTATATTGTGAAGATAAGGGATAGTGGCCTTTCCTAAGATCGGTGAAAAGATTCTCCATAGCACCACTGGAAATTCTTTTCATGTAGTTTATACTATATTCAATATTTTCATATTGCAATATTTGCAATATTATGGTCCAATATATAGTATAGTCCAATATTTGCATATCGCAATATTTGCAATATTATGGTCCAATATATTCTATAGTCCAATATTTGCATATCGCAATATTTGCAATATTATGGTCCAATATATTTTATAGTCCAATATTTGCATATCGCAATATTTGCAATATTATGGTCCAATATATACTATAGTCCAATATTTGCATATCGCAATATTTGCAATATTATGGTCCAATATATGCTATAGTCCAATATTTGCATATTGCATTGATTATAAATATATAATTGTTGCTGAATATCAATGAATATATTTATACAAGTATACTGAATATACTTTAAACAAGTAGCTTTAGAATTATTTTATTTGAATAATAAAGAATACGAACATTTGTAATTTATGAATTTGTTTGCATCCCACAAAATTTAAACAATCATTGGTAATTACTTAAAAATAATGTACGCTTAGATAAAGCATGAACTGTAACATTGGCGTATTTTGAAAAAGCTTCTTCAAATACAAATGAAAACAAAACCAAACCCATTTACTTATCAGTGAGCTAATTTCATAGGGAAATAGACATATTTAAAAATACACTAACGTTGGTCGTTCATATGTTTAGTCAAAAACTCAAATTTTATGAGCCTACCTTTTGTGGCAGGCTTTTTAGATTCGAATACAGAGAGCAGTGGGGAGCCCTTTGCAACTGGAGCGCTGAAAAAAATTATATTGGTTTTGATTGGAAACTACTGTTTCGGTTAATCATGAATACATATAGGGCTTTATGTCCTAAGGACAGAGCTAGACACGTCTATAGAACAAAATGGCTCTAGGTTGCAACTTTGAGTGTCACAATTCTCAGACAACTGCTGTATACATAAGCTTCAAACTAATATATATTCAAATGAGTCTATAATCAATTATTCTTTAAAAATGCAGAGTTGAAATTTTCTGATTCCTTTGTAACTGCAATCTTGGCAAAAAACAGCTGAGACTTTTCAACAAGAAATGAAATCAAAAGTTTGATCTTTATGTTATCCATACTGGTAGCCTAAAATCCCCGAAGTGAAATGGAGATACGCTCAGGCGCAACTATTGTTAATACAAAATTGATTTTTTGGGAGCGAAGGGGTGATATATGCATATGTACAAACATTTATTTGTATAACATAAAATATTCTTATATGTTGGCACATTTGCATTAATTGTTTGTTGTTTTTATATTATATTTGTTGTTTGCTTTTAACTTGTATTTATGGTTTTGTTGGCGATAGGCCAATTCGGCCTAGAAGCCTTTAGTATAAAAAAGTAATACATAAGAACGGAGGAATAAATATCCAAATGACATGAACTTGTTTTATAATACTTTGAAGACTGAAAGAGTCTTTGACTTTGGCCATAAACCTTTATCCTTGTATAAGGTCCTAATTTTTATATTTATTGCATACTTAATTCTTAGACTAATTTTCTAAAAGCTATGATACATTTAAATGAAATATCGTGCAATTCAGGACAACCATTTAATTATTGTCAATGATTTACCTTGATAATACAGTGAGTTCAGGCGGTGGGCTGCTTTTTGTTTCCTTATTACTTTCTTGGCTGTCAGACCAAGCTTCGCTGTTTTCGCTCGTTTCCGATGTGTCCTGGGTAAAGAGAGCGAAAAATGCTATTTGGAAGTACTTTATAGGAGGGGGGGGGGGGGATTGGTTGTCAATTAATTCTTTACAAAAAGCTGACATGGAATTGAAGAACCAAAGCGTAGGTGCGGATGGGGGAGAAGCTATATAGTGTGTAACAAATAATGTGAGTGTATTAAGCAAGATTATGTAAAAAATGCATCTAACAGTATAAAAAAGACAACATTGACAGTTGGGATGAAAAATAGACCCAACAGGATGACTGTGAAAAATAGTAGAGAAACAGAAAATACGTAAAAAAGGCAAAATACAGAAAATGAAAGATAATTACAGATTGCATATGAAGTGTCCGCTCAGGTTGGATCGTCAAAACATGGACATTGCTTTCAAACATGCTGCCAGCGAGACAATGTATCTAAAAATGCAAGCATAAAATTGATATAAATTGTCATTATGTTTGAATAAGAAGGACCTAATTAACAGGGGATTTAATTGCGAGAATTGCGCGGGGGGGGGGGGGGGGGGGGGGGGATAAATACAGAAGAAGGTAATGTGCTTTTGAAGATAGCATAGAAAACAGAACATGACACCCGTCAGAGAAGAAACGTCGAATAATGACGGTAAGCAGCCGCTAATGGCAGGAAAGCAAAGAACAAATCAAAAGCACCATACTTCATCTCGCATTACTTCGTTCTGCAACTAAATAGGAATTTTCGGCCTTCCTTTGGTCATCATATAATTTAGTTAGCTTTGTTTACGCTTTTCGTGTTATAACCAAATATTTGGCACAAAAGGCTTGTTAGGAAATGTGCATTCTCAAAAATATAGGGTCAAAAAGTTCGAAAATGGTTAGGATATTGGCAAAAAATACATAAAGCATGAGAAAATTAATTACCTAAAATCCAATTGAGCAGAGAGAGCATTGTAAATTCCGAATTTACAAATTTAGTTCAAGTTGTTAAAAAGCTAACGGTACTTTGTGATTCAAATAAGTTTGAAACATAGATTGGAGTAGTTTCCCATCTTGCAGGAAATCAATAATCAATAGATGCTAGATAAAAGCATTCTACGGTATTTCTAGTATATGCATAGAAACCTTTAGAAAACATCTGCTTGTTGCTCAGTTGGGTCTACTTATTTCTTTAACAGAATTTTTTTTTCAGTAGAAGGAAAATAGAAAACAATAGGACTACCGTCCCCCGCCCTAGCTCTGCAAAGAAAAGTCATGCCATGCAAGATCAAATTATAGGCAAGCAGAAATCGTTTGAATTACAAAAAAGATCGAATAAGCAAAAAACAGGACTAAACAGAGATGAAAATGGATAGTAACAAATCTCATTCATATCTAGCAAAAAAATAATCATTTGTTGGAATTTGATTGCATTTTATCTATTCTTAAAAAATAACCAATAAATTCAAAGAACTAACCGAACAAGTATCCTTTGAAATAGCGAAGGCGAAGCAGCCCGCACTTGAAACACTGTACTCTACAGGGTCGAATGCATTCTGGCATATCATAGGCTCTGTTTGAGGAAGGAGAATAATGAAGCATTTCAATCAAAAGAAGAAATAACAAAAAAAAGTATTTCATATTTTACCAAAAATAATGTAAAATTAAGGCTATATTAAAGGAAACATAAGAAGAGCCATGAAGGCAGATGAAACGAATCGAAGAGTTCATTGGAAATAAACTGAGAGTCGGTCGAATGTAAAGAAAGAAGGATCGAATTCATTAGAGAATCCAAAGATTTCATCGAAACTTTGTTTAGGGAGTTAGCTTGGGTCTCTAGGGAGGGTGAGCATAATTTATCGTGTGCCCATAAGCTGCTTTACTAATCGTGAAACTCATACATCACCATATATGGGTGCTTAGTAATTTCGCGTTCTGGTATCAGATTGGTCGAAATACAGATGTCGATCAACGGACAACCAATCGAAACCATCTATGCCGGTAAACAACATCCAAGATACGAGATGATTGGAACGCTTAAGGGTGTGCCGTAATATTGCTTTTAAAAGCTACTCTGCCTGATTATTTGATGATTCGGATACAATGATTAGGTGATGAGGTGATGCAAGCTTGCTGTACAAGAAGACAAGCAAATACACAGAAACATACCCATTAAATTTAAGTGGAAAACGATATCCATTGTATTGGCGTCAAACAGTACCAGTCTCGAGGTGCAACCAGCTATTAGGAATGGTGGGTCTTTAAGGACTTCCCTAGAGAAATAAGAATTTATTAGAAAATACTAGAATCATTCATGGGAAAAATTAACTGCTGTTGATCATATGTACAACCACAATGCTTGACAAATAATTTGGAACACCCAGAAACTTTTGTTCTGTGTTTATATTTTCCATTTCTTTTGTCAAATGCTACTACTTTCACCTCTTTCGCCTCTGAACAATGTTGATAGTTAAACTCCAAAGAGTATGAGCGTCGGATAATGACCGAAAGTAAACTGAAAATTGATATCCAGTTGTGGATCGAAAGTAACGTGAGAGGAAGAAAAACGTGTTTGGTTGGTTCTTTTTTTACCATTCGGCAGCCGCTAACATTAGTTTGGAGAGTGATAAAGCGCTGCCTAACCCTAACAATATATCTAAATATGATGTACAAAATAACTTGTGAATAGTGTTAAAAAAGCATATCTGTAGAATACAACCCTTTGAAGTTGATAAAGTAAAACATTGATGGAAGAGAAAAGAATTACTTAGCAGCAATGCTCACTGGAAGAGAAAGCAAAACATTGAGACCTACACCCAAGTTCAATACGCACAGCATTGCGTAACCGAAGTTCAATCCCATAACACTTTGTACAATTACAACACGGTCTATGTAAAGCATCCGGTAACAGAAGGTCGTTCCAGCTTATTATAATTATTCTTACCTAACAACCCCATCATAATTTGAAGAGGGATCGTCATTATCAGCATCAGTTCCATTAGGGCAAATATTTTCTTTCCAGTAGGCCAGACTCAAAACAGCAAGGCTGTGCTCAGTTTCCTCTTCTTCAGCTTCACTGTCGTTATCATCATCATCATGATATTTGTTGCCATGGGCGACTGGTTTCTTTTTGGAGCTACCAGAACTGCTATCACTCTGATCTGCGGAAAGTAAAAATCGAGGTACTTCAAAAGCTATAATTGAGTTAAAAATTAATCTGGGAAAAACAACTACAAGTTTTAGTTCAAAGTGGCCTATGATAGTTACGGTGTATCTGGTTGAGTGTAGTTAATAAATATGAATAGATAAAATACCAGATAACCTTCAAGTCTCAATACACTCTTTTTTATAAGAACCAGTAAATTTAAGTTCAGGCTGACTGTTCTTAATATTTTCGAAAATCTGAGGCTGGATTATTCTTAATTTGTTCTTAAATTAAGAGGGTGTAAGCAGTGCTATTGCTAGCTTTTTCGCTCTAATGAGGTGTTCAGGCCTCATTTGCCAACAAAGTGAGTGAGACAGCCTTAATTCGCTGACAATTTGAATATTCACCGAAAAAGCACCCAGGCATCGCTAAAAATCCTCGATTTGAGAAAAAACGTTGTTCACAATTGCATTTTGCAGAAGCTCAGCTTCAGCTTGTTCTTAATTTTTTCTTAACTTTTGACCAGTTTTGAGGCTCGTGTTCTTATAAAATTGTTCTTATAAAAAAAGAGTGTATCTAAAAATGTGCGAAAGGGACAATTTTCCTTACCTACCGGATACCACCCCGTTACGTCTGGATACAATCTCCTTACGAAACTTCATAATCTAATTCATTAATTGTACCGTGTGTTGACATTGGCATAACTTTGATGTAGAGATTATTGCTCTGCACATTCAATGATCCAATGTTTTCAGCGCAAGTTTTTGACTGGCTACCATCAGTAATGAACTATTAACTATATCTTAATGTAACGGATACCATCCTTTTAGGTATTGAGTTTCAGTCCCCGTTCATGACCGACATTATTTGAGCAAAGAGTCCACGCTGACTACTGAGGTTATCTGATGCTACCCAAGTTTTTGAAGTAGGGAATGGGCTGGGAAGAGCCAATAATAATTTTACTGATGACGTAACCTGCGAGACAATACTTGAAATTCTTACCAGAGTTTGAAGAACAAGAGCTGTTTTGCCTTGCAAATTCATGCTTTGCAACTGCACTTGATATATCAACTTCATGGAAGCAGCGATGGCTTACCAAATCGAAAACACGAACCTAAAAGAACAATTGAATTTTAAACAAAACAGCGTTTGCAAGAATAGTTTTGCTTTACTGATCTACCTTTATTCGTCATATCTCTAGCTCAGAGGTTCTTAGAAACAGATCCAAACAATCAGTATTAAGACTGTGTCAAAGCTTGTAGTTTATCAATATTTTTAGGCCTATTTTTTAGAATCTGCGAGAACAAAAATTCCTTTATCCACCTTTCCATCTCCACTGCCAATAGCCAAATGTTTATACTCTGGATGCATTGCAACTGACCAAAAAGGCGAGGCTGAAATAAAATAAATATCTTATAATTTTTTAACAAAATAACAAATAGGCCGGGTTTTCATTAAATCTACTTGATGGCGTCTTTGGGAGTTGAAATTTGGTGAGAAGTGAGATGGAAAAAATGTTCATGTTGACGAGACCATGTTAAATAGCATAAAAGTGACGATAATTATAATCATAAAAGTGATGATAATTATTGTCATAAAAGTGACGAAACCAAACAGTGAAAAATCCATAATTTGAAGGCGAATTAAATTACGAGATAGGAAAATTTTCCAGCACAAGAGTAAATCTAGTTAGCTTTGACAAAAGGAAAATGCCAGATAAGTAGAAAAATAAAAATGTCGATCTTTGCATTAAAAAAACAAGATGTCTGCAAAATAAATCTTTATAGTAAAAAAGAAGACAGGCTATTAACTCACCAGGGTTTACGTTAACCTTTTCATTGAATAAATGTTTTATAAATAAAAAGACGAATACATGTTTATTGTAAATCATAATCAGTAGGTTAGGAATCGTTTCAAAGATTCACAGAAAAAGGATACCACAATACTGACCACAGATAATCGGGGACTGATAGAGAAGTGCTGCCTTTTTCGCGTTCCATATCTAGCATTTGTGAAATGGAAAAAGGATTGTTAAACAATTTTTAACGGCAAAAAATCTAAAAACGGCTATAAAAAAAATCGTTTTTAGACATGCTTGAACTTTTCGTCTGACACTCTTAGCTGGTTTTGCTGTTTTTGTATAATGTTATCAGTATCATAAAACTAGTTATCATATCACAACCAGTGGTGGACAGAAGGGAAGGGGGGGGGGGGGGGCAACGAGGCGGACGGCCACCTTATAATAATTGTAAGGAAAAAAGAACAACATCACTCAACAGAACAACAACAGAACAACAACAGAACAACAACCAAATACGATTTTCAATAAGGGTAGAATGGGCTCAATGAGTGGAGTTTCTTGCTATTTCGGCACAGCTTCCAAAAATTATTTAAGAAGAATGTGTTTAAATCGTCTAATAAATAGCGTTGATGAAACAGTCTCAATGGACGTTTCCCATGTTTTCTGATCAAATAGAGGGCGTGGGTGCAGAGCTTTGACCCCAGACTTCTATGACGTCCTCTTCACCTCCAGCAAAAAACAGTCAATTGTCCACCACTGATCATAAAAAATTGAAGGTGAAATTGCTCAAAAGTATTTTCTAAATTTTCTAAATTAACCTGTGATGTCGGAGATAATTGCAGGTAACATTTGAATGTTAATTGAACATTTTGCATATCAGTCTTTCATATCTTGCGATAAAAATAAAAGCCTTTTAAATGTTGTGATAAAAGTCTGTGTAGCAGCTTCACTTACTGTTACAGGTGAATTTATCAGAAACTTCTAAAAATTAGTAGATATACTATCTTGTGAAAACCATGTCTTAAAAAACTCTCAGACACATTAAAGTAAAAATTATGTCATAAATTCTACAGCTGCCTAAGTACTTCAAATTACTAATATGAAACTAATCTTAATGGAAATTACTGTCAAATTATACCAGCTTGTTGCCTGGTGCCAAATGGCAGAGCTGTAACTTGGTGTTTAGAACAGAATGGTATTTATGCTTTCTGTTATCATCAAAGCAACTTTCCGCTGATCACAATTGCCTGATGATCACATGAAGTGTGAAACTTAGATTAGCAACAAGAACCGTCCTGTTCAATACACCAAAGCATGAAACTTATACACTGTGTCATTGATTGATGATTATTTACTTCATGATAGGTAATAACACTAAAGAATGCTTATTGAACTGAGGCTTAATTACAGCTGCTTGAATTTGCATTAGTTTGAACACCAAAAATGGAAAAAAGAGAAATATCAGCAATGAGAAATTGTTAACAATGAAGAAAAGACATAGTCAGATTACATGACAAGCTACAAAAGAGAATACATTAAACTCACATTGAAGGTTCTGTCTTCTGATATAGTGACAAAGGTATTCAGGTCATGAGGACAAAATATTGAGCCAGTTACGTTCCCTGTGTGATTAGCTAATTTTGCAACGAGTTCAAGTGTCTAGCAAAAAAGAAAAAAAGATGTAAGATTATGTTTGTTTATGCATAAAGCATAACTAAAAAAACTCAATTGTTTTTTATAATGCTTATTAATAAAGAAGTGCTTTGTAGAGAGATAGAGCTTTCATTATCCCCTATTTTCATAGCCTTTGTATATAAATTTGAGGCATAGACCAAGTAAGGGATTATTGGGGGAAATTATATGAAAGTGGCAGACAATATCAAAAAGCTCAATTTCTAAAGTAAGTGCATATCAAGCCATGTTTTGGAAGCAAAACCTAAAAAGGTCATTGAATGAAAAACCAAAATTGAAGGTATCAAAAAGCCCTTTGCAGCATAAATTCAACCTCTTTGAATTTTTTTGTTTCTTTAATGGAATGAATCCAGTAAGATATTCTCTGATAACTTTTCTGCATTTAAGGTTTTGCTGAAACCCCAATAAAAAATTTGCAGGTGCTTTGAGCTCTGTGTCTTAAAATGCTCCAAATGAAAGAAATGAAAGAAAACCTGAACATTTATAATCCAGACTTCTTTTTCAATGCAAGCAGAAATACAGGAGTCATCATAATTAAAACAGAGATGATTGCAATGCCCTAGCTCCTTGGCAACTTTAACTCCTTCAGTGAATTGTCCTAAAAACAAATGAACATCTAAATTAACAAAATCTTTCAACAGCATGGTTTCAAGTTATGTGACACTCCAATGTTACTTCTTGAATTATCATGTTTCTATTACTACACATTCATCAAGTTTAAATACAAGAAATATTCTAAACAAATCACAAAAAGATCAATCTTGCAAATTATTTTCAAAACTCAAAACATTTCCAGTATATACTTAAGACTATGCCAGTTCTTAAGACTATCCAGAGCTCTAGGTTCTATCTAAAAAGTATATTTAGATTGTTAAAATTAGTTTCATTTTATTTTGAACAAAGGCAATAATAAAATATCCTTTAAAGATTATGGATTAAAAAACATCATTTCAAAAAAATGCAGAAATGATCTCACGATGTTGCAAATCATGTAACTAATGCTTGAAAAACGAAAAACATATTGTAAAAGTTGGAGCTGTTATATCATCAGCCTAAATCTAAAATTTATATTCAACCTGTTTTGTAGTCTATGAACACTTTTTCTGTTTGCCATAGGTAAATTGCATCATCCGAAGCAGTGCAAAGGTAAGTTGGGTTTTTCAGATGTCCAAAACAAAGTGCACTGACTTGTGTCATATGACTTCTCAAGTGCACTGGCTGCAATAAGTAAAGTAAGAGTGGTAAATAATGTAAATCTAGTAAACAAAAAACATGTTAACAAAAACATAAACAACAACTACTAACTAACAAACATGTTAACTAACTTGTTTTTGCAGACAGATCGATAGTCTACTAGCAAATAATACAAAATTAATCTACCTATATTTCTTTTTTCCTTTTAATGACTTCATATTTAGGCACGCATTGGATTTCACAAGCATGCAATAGTTTTTTACATTGTGTATTACTATATGATAATTTACAATTATAAACATTAGAAAAACACAGTAATTAGAAAAATTAAAGTAGCATACAGAAAAAGCAATATCTGGCCAAGGAAAGAATGGAATTGAGATTTATCTTGCAAAGCTCAATGCTCTTTTTATACCAGAGATAGAATAAAATGAGGCCAGAAAAAGATTTAGAGTCCACATGCATTATGAATCCTCACTGTTAGGTGAAATTTCTAATCCTCAGCACAACATACCAACAAAATTTCTTAAGAATTTTAACTTCATAACTTAAGAGACAAAGAATTCAGCCAACTCTTTAAATATTAGGACTGCAATACATTTTTCTTCACTTTGCTCAGGTTTTGCACTCAACAAAATGAAGGTGCTACATAAAAATATCTCCTAAGAAAGACACGGCACTCTATTTCACACTTCTTTGTAAAATTGCATTGTTTTATCACATAAACTAAACCAAGGACCAAGATAACGAGGGGGCCAGGGGGCCTTGGCCCCCCCAAAAAAACTTAAGTTGCATAAGTAAAATACTTCTATTCTGTAAGATATGGCTGTTGTTACACTGATTTATCAGGGCTGCCCCTCCCCCCCAAACAAAAAGTTGTATCTCGGTCTTTGAACTAAACTACCTTGAAATAAAACAAACTACTGGACATGGACATGAAGCCACATGTGGACATATGTTGTCACAATTACAAAAGCTGTGTTGTTTTTTAAAAGAGGTTCCTAGCCTTTAGACAAAAGTAATTTGAGCACCCAGCATGAGTAGAAACCAGCCAGAGCTACCATGCTTTGCTTTGTGTTAAAGCATATTAATATTTATTCATTTAATTAATGCAGTATTCTTTCTCTGTTCAAACAAAAGACAACAATTTGAAATGAAAACTAGTGGTGTTATAAGATGTCTATAAATAATATATTAAATTTTGAATAAGAAAATTTATATTTGGTTCTATGAATAATTACAAATTCAAAGTGAAATTTAGTACCAGTAATGACCCACTTGTTAAGGTGCAGGTGAATTTTCAATCATTTTAGGGAAAACTGTTATTATGTTTTGCAAAACTCAGCACAATTTCAGTTCATTCTAAAAACATCTAAAACAGTGTTTTTGGATAAATATTTAAATCATAGATCGTAAATATTATAAATTCTATTGACAACAAAATTAAATTTGACTTCTTCAAGTTCAAGTTCTTCGTTTAAACAAAGGCCTTCCCTACTACAAAAAAGTAAAACTTTACGCTACTCAAATAAACGAATCAAGGCAGACAAGTAAGGCTATAAAGCAAAATATAAAGTAATGCATATAAAATCATAAATGAGCTTAGACCAGTCTGCCGAGTAGCCAGATGCAAGCACGAGGTCAGTTCAGTGCATCTGTCTTTCCCATACATTGAAGAAGATTTTAAAGAAGGCACATAATTGATCATCTTCGAATGAAATATTTTGATGTTGAAAAAAATTAAGCATATCTTGCTTGTAATGCAAAATTCAAAAATACGTCTAAAAATTATTATTTCTACTTTTCGCGCAGGATTTGGGGTCCTGCAAAAACCGAGTACTAACCCTTTTGTCACATTCTTTTACCTTCCAGATACCAATTTCATCACTTGTGGCTGGTAAGGCAACAAATTCGTTGTTGCATGATATCTGTAAATATGCAGTCGAAACTTGAGGCGATATTTTTATAACTCCGTTGTGTTCGACGGTAGCCATCTCGAGGACTTCCTCTTGTTTTGAAGATACCCGCGTCGTTGCTTAAGATACCATTAATAACCATCGTACAGCTCGACCAATGACAAGAAAGCATACTTCACATCTCTTTATTACAGTGATTTCAAATGGTGATTTTCAACACCACCAAATTGAAATTCAGAGGTGTATGGAGAAAAATTTATATGTACTTTCCAAATGGAGGGGGAGGGGAACTTCAAAAATAGAAACAAGTCAATGACAAGGGCATCATTTGCAATGCAAGGCAATGGCAAGCAAATAAGGGGGGGGGGGCAACAGACTGGAATCCGCTTCTAGGGAACAAAAAACTAAACTCAAAGATTATTTTCGCAAAGAAGAAGGGTGCAACTGCCCCTTGTTGAAGTGCATGCTACGCCCTTGAGCAAGGCAGGCGTGAAAGTGCATTTTCTTGTGAGCTTTTCTTGTCAAATTTATTGAAGACCTCTTTTTCTTAATCAACCGTCCCGAGGAACTTTTATATTGCGGCTAAGGTCTCCTCTCGATTGAAATTGTCGCATCCTTGTCCAACCCCCCTAATCTAGTAATCTAATGTTTTGACCGCCCCCATATTGATGTTTACCATGTTTACCAATGTTATAGAAGCGCCGAAGGCAAACCCACAGGTACGCTATGAGGCAAATTTGTTTACTTCCGCCATTTTTAATAGTGGCAAAAAGGAACTTGCTCCATACTGAGCCCTTATAAATTTGGTAAAAGTAAGGATTGATTTCGTTCACTTTTCTTTATAATATCGATGTAAAAATTGGCGAGTGGTCTTATATTTATGATATTTATATTTGTTAAAATTTATGAATTGATGTTAATTTTGGAGGAATAAGCTGTCATTCGCAAATTCCAAGCATTTTTAGTCATGGTGCTTGCTGTGGTGTTTTCTGTCTCGTCGAAATTCCAGAAAATAAAGATTGATCTGTTTTAAAACGGATTCAGCAACAATGTTTAGCCACTCAACGCATAATTTTCTTAACACATTTGTACAAAGATGTGATTTAGTTACTTTTTCTTTCTTTGTTTACAGAAACTGCTATGAAATATCTCGGCCTAACTCTAGAAAAAGCTGAAAATAGGTCATAATTCAATCCTTGGATATTAATAACAGAGTCAGAAGTCATTAAAACAAGCAATTTTCTATACTGAACCCTATTGCAGCTCGCTTTTCGCCACTATTTAAAATGGCGGAAGTAAACAAATTTGCCTCACTTGGCAGTACGCAGCATGACCTGAGTACAAGCATCATGACTTGAGTACAAAGTACAAGCAGCATGACCTGAGTACAAGCAACATGACCTGAGGACAAGCAGCATGACCTCAGTACTAGCGCCTTCTATATCATTGATGTCTACGGATTTGAATGAGAACGAGGCATGCCAATTCTGAAAGAAAACAATATGGCGGTGAATCAACCTCTGACGTTGGATCAAGATCCAATGGTTAAAGTTGCCGCACTCATTCCCATTCTTAAAGAGTCTGTACGGGTAAGGGTTTTCAAGGTTAACAGATATTTGCTTTAACATAAAATTCTTTCGTTCTTTAACTTTGTTGTCAGAATTAAATGCGTTCAAGAAAAGGAGGATCACTAAACTTTATTTCTGAACAGGCACGTGTTGCACGAGAAATTGCTATCATATTCTATCCTGCTGTGGAAAATCTAAAATTTATTAATATCTTTAATGAATATTTCACAGATTATTTCTATAATCTTTAACCCCTTATTTTTAGATTTTTTATCCTGTTTTTGTAGAATGTTGTGCGGCATGCAGTCTACATCCTGCATAATACATCACCTGACGCCACAAGGTTTGTTTAAATTTTAAACATGATCAGTTCTGTCACAAATGCTTTGAAATCAAGGAACGCACTTTGAAAAAGGATTCCTTTATTTCATGAGATTTTTCAAGATCAAATTGAGGAATAAATTATGTTTTTAATGGCTACATTGGCATCGTATATCTTCATGAGGCAGCCATTCCTAACTCTTCATCATTTTTGGCTGCAGTGAGAATATAAATTGCATTGATTATTCCAACAATGGATCCTGAAAATGGCTTTGAAAAAAGCAAACATTTCACAACATACTACTAAAAGTTTTTGGATCCCTTAAAAAACTTTCAAATCAATAAATCTGCTTTAAAGTTTCATTGTGGATTACAAAAATCTACTTTGAAGTTTCTTTGTGAGTCACAAATTAAAATATCTTGTTTTAAGGCAGGATTTACATATTCATTGATTTTTGTAGGAAGAATGAGTTACCAAGCCAGATCCAGGGTTTTTTCAAAATTGTTGAAGATTTCCACAATATTTGTGATCAAGTCCAAATTTGGCTTGTAAGTACATACTGGATACTTTCATAATCACTCCTCCTGTTGTCCTTTAAAAATCACTACTTCCTCTTTTTCTTCTTCTTTTATAATCTTATTACCATTAGCTGCTCCAAGAATTTTGACACTTTACGAAATTTGGTGGACATAGCAATTCTGAAAATGTAGTGAATTTTGCTGGATGCCATATTTGTGGGAGGGGGCTCCCTGACACCTTTAAACATGGATATGGTTTTGTAATTGCCTTAATCCACCACTGAATGTCTGCAAAGACAATGAAAATTTATTTGAATGAACCTATTCCTCTGTTGTATCCTCAGCACTTAAACATTAATAAATGACCTGTTGATTCATTTAACGTGGTTTGTGAAGAGAAAAAAATCAGGTAGTTGACTTACAGACTGAACACCTTCCAACTTTCTAGGTGCCTCATTAATTTGTGCTTACTTATTTGTCATGATTTTGACATAATGAATTAAACTCATACATAACAAACATACATGACATAACAAATTAGGCCCAAAATGGTGTAAACAGAATGAATGGGCCTAATTTGAAACAGGATGAATGGGGAACACACAAATAAAAAACCTATGTTGATTTGCCTATTTTAAACCTTTTCATTTAAAGTATGTTTGAAATTCAGTTTAAAGAATGTCAAAAATATTAGTATTATATAATATAATATTAAAACAAAATATTACCAAATATCATAAATAACAATGTTTGATTTTTCGCATTTAGTTTTAGACAGCATAAACATGCTAGGTGCTTGATAATCAATCTCCTAGAACTTTCTAGGTATGTGCGGAGATGCTTGATTGAGCTTTAGCACCACTCCTTGCAAGGCCTGCATTTAATACAATTCTGATTTCTTCACAGAAACTCGCCCTTGCTTCTGCAGACCTAACAAAGTTGGCCACACAGTTTTCACCAGAGGTTGTTGGGGGGATCTCAGCTCCTCAAGATCCAAATCAAAAAATAATCAGTTACTCTGACTTCCTGTTAACAGCAAAGAAGCAAATTGCCTCAGCCAAAAGACTAGAACTTTTGCTAACAAAGCATACAGATCAAATGTCAAAAGTCTTTGGAAACTTTAACAGCCAAAGCATTGGATGAAATATTACAATTAGCGGTTTTGTAATATTTTCCACTGTATATGTATAGAGGAAGTTCTTGTTATTGATACCACTAGCTCTGTATTATTATAATCAATTTTCTCTTTGGATGTAAATACACATGTTGAAGTTTAATCAGTCTTTTTATCTAGAAATATTAGAATAAATTCAGACCTGGTGCTAGAGTAAATCTACATATCCTGCTGCAGACAGCTGCTAAAAACTGCAGTCCAAATAGAAACTAGAGGGCACATTCATATAAGAAAAAAATCACCCCTTTCCAAATTCAGAGTATGACAAGGGGTGTTGTGCTAAGGGTCTGAGGGGGTCTTAGAGGGTGTCTCCACCTTGGGAGGGGGGATGCCAGATAGTAGCATTGTGTCTGGGATAAATTAAAGTATTAGTTCAGAAGTCATATTAAAAACGTAAATAAAATTGCATCTCTTCAAGGCCTGCATGTATCAAGAATTAACTTCATATTTATTTAAAAATGTGATACTCCTTTCAACAATATCAGAAGGATTTAACGTTTTAAAGAATTTGCCCATTCTGCAAAAATAATATCATTTATAGGTTAAAGTTTAGTTTAAATACACCACTGGTACTAGCAAATAGCACGGAAATATAAAACATAGCTTTCCCACGATATTTCAATTATAGTTTCACTGTCTGAGTTATCTTGGCAAAATTCAATGTAAAAAGTTCCCTAGCCCTCGAAAGGGTACATATCGACCATTCGGAAATTTTTCGGTCGTTCAATGATCGTTCATAGAAGAGAAAACTTTTAAAAAGGTTTCTATGACAGTTGAAAGAAACTATAACAGTTCAAAGAGATTGTCGAGCAGAGCCTCTTTTAAGCAAAACCAACTACTGGGGAAAATCTTAGTTTGGGGCCCAAGCCAGTACACAGAAAAAATAGCGCCATTGTTATAATAACTTTGAATAAAATGTATATGACATAACAGAAATTTTAACATGCAAAACCATTTTATGTGTTCAAATTGAGGTCCACACTTTTGAAAAAGTTACTAATAGCAATTATAAACAACCATTGTCTTTTTGAAAAAACTTTTTAATAAAACTTCTAGTCTGATATATTTCTTGGTCAGGCTGTCTGTCACGCCTCTCTTTTTGCTTCAAAAATTCAGCAACTGCATTTCTTGGATCATAAAAGGCTGTTCCTTTACCATTTAAGGAGATGTGCATAATGCTGTTTATTGACTGTTGGCTAAGTGAAGCTCTGTTTGAGGTCTTGATATTGTTGTAATGAGAGACTGTTCTTTCAGTCCCCATGCTATGTGGGGTTAAGGTTAAAAACGATGCTAGAAATGTTTTCAAAAGACCACAGCTTGCTTGCACCATTTTTCTTAATTTCAATGCGTAAAATGTGCCATTGTCTTCAATAGCAGGATCTTCAATGGCAACTATCTTCCTCCATGACATACATGTGTCAGAGACAAAATCTTCAAACTTTTCTGGGCCAAATAGTTGACTGGCTAAATCTCTGCTTGCTGTGATGAGCTCTGTAGATGATTTGGCATCTAAAATTTTCATCAAATTTTTTAAAGTTCCATCATTTTCAAGGTTCATTCTCTCATCTAAAAAATTTATTGCTGATTGGACAATCTCTGTTCTCACTGCCATGTCATCTGTGTGTTGTTGTCACATATTTGTTCATTATGTTTCTTTTCTGTCTTGAATTAGTTGGAGAAGAAACTTCTTCAAAGTTTCCACGACATTTCTCCTCTCTCCCACCTGGTATTGGTATTTCATTCATTACTTTGAGATTCTCAACTGCAGCATCTCTTGCAGTTATAATATCCAACAAAATTAGGTGTGACTTTTGAAAAATTTTCTGGAGATTCTTAAATATTTTGCACAAATCAAACATCAAAGTTGTTAACCAAAACTGTTGACCATCATGTTTCCATTTATCTAAAAAGCCTTGAGCCATTCTTTTTTCAATTTTTTCAGCATGAATTTCACCAGAACACATCTTTGTCCACACTTGCTTTGCTGCTTCAAGATTATTTAGCACTGCCTTCAGCACATTCAAAGTGTGCTCAGCAAATCGCACTTCAAAGTGCTTAGGAAATGTCAGACATTTGGGATCTTCTTTGTGAAGGTACTTTACTCTGCGAGGTGATTGTCTGAAAAATTTGGAAACAGCAAGTACATTGGTCATCCACAATGACAATTCAGGAACTTCAGACTGTACCGACTCCAAAGCCAAATCAGAGCGATGGCATATGCACCATGCAGTGAGCAATTCTTTTCCAGTGTAATCCTTTAGAAGTTTCCAGAGTCCACTATTCTTACCAGTGTTGGCATTTTCACCGTCTGTAGTTATTCCAACAAGTTTCTCTGTATCAACTCCCACACTCTTTAAACAAGTGGTAAGTGCATCAAGCAAACCATCTGCACCCCCAAGGTCACTACTTGAAATACCCAGAAATACAGTTTTCACAGAAACTTCATTTTGTGGGAGAAATCTTGCAGTGATGAATTTGGAATCCACTTGTTGTTTGTCTGAACTGCCATCAATTTGTACTGAATAGCAGACACATTCTTTTAACAAATCTGCTACTTTTTTCATTTCATGTTCACTGATAATTTTTCTCATTTCAGCATATGTCATAGGGTCTCTGTAATGGTAGGCAGAGCCTGGTTGATTGTAAGGAACAAAATCAGCATCCCATCCATTATCTCTAAATATGTGCAACAAATTGTTGCTATGATCACCAGACAGTTTCTACTCTGCAGTCATTGTATACATCAACTGCAAGTTTTAGAAGCAATTGTAAGGTCTCAGCTTTACATTTCTTCACTATTCGTACCCAGGGATGGGCATCTGACATATCCTTCCAAGCATCATCAAGCTTTTTGAGTCGTAATGCCTCTTCATGGGCAGCAGAACATAAATGGTCAACTATCAAACGAAGCCTGTCCTTACCATCAACACGAATTCCTTGAGCCACAGGTATTCGACCATTGACGGTGAACCTTTTAACATGCATTTCAAGCTGGTTACAAACAAGGCATTTCATGATAGGCCTTTGCCTTTTGTCTTTTCTTTCATATCTAACTTCAAGACAGCTCTCAGACATAATAAGCCAGTTTAAGTCTAATTTCTTTCCTTTGTACCAGTGAGTTCCAAATTCATCTTGTTGTTTTGCATTTTCAGTTGTAACATTTGTAGTGTCACTCTTTGCCACTTTGCTGGGGGGTGGCGAGGATTCATCATGTAGTAGGCCTTCCTCTAGTACTTCTGCTGTATTTTCAACCTCAACAGTGTCGCTATCCTTCTTTCCAAACATTGAGAAAATCGACTTCTGACCCACAGCTGAGGCACATTCCTTCAAAGCTCTTTTCTTGCTTTCGAGTCGCTTTTGGTGTCCACTCTTCTCTTTTTTCTTCATTTTGAAATTACGAGATTAGATATAGGTCATTTGAGATAGGTAGATCGAAAATAAAAATATTAAAAGCACGTGCTTGAGTGGCATGTGTACCAGGCTCGCAGATTGAATTGAATTGACCAATTCCTGGTAATCGAGATCAAAAGGCGAAACTGAGGCTCTTGAGGGCAGTCAAAGCTTCGAGAGAAGAGACGGGAGAAACTTGTCCCAGTCGCAGACCCTTGCACAAAGTTGAAAGAACAATGGAAATGAAAACAACAAAACAAATCATGGTACATAATGTGAAAAGGGCCCCTAACTACTGGGGCAAAATTAGATTTTTTTGCTTCACTACTGGGCCAGATGAAGGGCCTACTGGGACAGAAACCCCACTAGTTGCAATGTTAAAAGAGGCCCTGTTGTCGAGAAAGATGTACATAGGAAAAGTTTTCCGATAACAGTCAAACTTGCGGTCAAATTAATAACCAAATTTAATTCGTGGCTTACCTACCCAAATCTGTAAACTTTGTGCAAAAAAATTGCAACATTGCCAAATAAATCAACTAAATATAAGCACATCCTTCAAAGTATGTAAAAAACAGGCTGCGATCAACAGTGGGACAAGAGGGGTTAAACTCTCTAATGATACTAATTGTTTTCCAGGTCTTTCAGCATTTAAAACTGCGCATGCGCTTATTGACATCATTTCTTAGTTGTTAACTCATTGTCAGATATTTGCAAGCTGTGCCTTCTTGAGAGTTACTACCCAAGGCCTAGAAAGTAATTAATTTTGGTAGTGATGAGTTCTGTTGAATAACTGTCAAAACAAGAGCAGCAGTTGCTTCGCATTTTATATTCAGCTTCACACTTTCTAGTCTATGAGAATATCAAGGCTCAAAATCGATTAAATTTAAGAATAATTTAAGAATACCGAGTTATACCTTTCGTCGCTTAAGAATAATTCAAGAATAATCTTACGCTCAAAATCTAAAAAAATCAAGGATACTGAGACTCAGCAAAAATTGGGCATCCTTTTAAAAAAGTGTGTAGAGCGACCATAATACTACTTGGGACTACACAGGAGTGAATTGTAGTCACAATGCTTGTTGGTATAAGAACAAAGTAGTTTGCAGGTCTCCGTAGGAGCTGAAAAAACTCTCGACAAACTGACACAGTTAGCGAGCGATTCAATTCACGACTATTAATAAAAATCATCAAATTATTTTTCTACACGACATAATGAGCTTCTTAAAAATTTACCATCGAACATGGAAGTTTACAACATAAGTGATCGCATGTTTACTTTTCAAGTGAGTATTGAAATTTCAAATCTAGCAACAGTTTTATGACATGATCTCGATGTGCTGAAATTTGACGATCGGTTACTACCAAAAACAGCGAGAAAAGAAAAAATGTACAAAGGATTTTCTTTAAACAGAATTATTGGGGAACCAAACTTAGTTAAAAACAGTGTGTTTTCTACCAATCAGGCCTCTCTAATTCTGAATTGAAATGATCCTTGGTTGGTGAGAGTAGGTTGTACTGAGGTTTCCTAAAAGGGGAAGTCTGCCGAGCAAAACAAAGGACATTGAGGAAGGCTAGGAATAATGTGTCTCTTTTGATACAAGGAGTTTCTTGTCATTGACAACGGATTTATGGTATTCTCGATAATTCCTAATGTTTTCATGAGGATATTTTTCTTTCATTTAGAAAAGTAATCTGATTTAAAAAATCTTAGAAATTTAGCCACTCATTATAAATAATGTTGAGCAAATGTGAAAAAAACAAGGAACAAGGTGAATTTGTTTCATGGCAAAGCAACAGGCTCTTCATTTCAAAATTGTTCTGTTACAGATTCAGGACACTCGATGCAACTGCACAAAAGTAATGCAAAAAGAACTTCACAGACTTGAAGCGTAGATAATAAAATATAGGAACAATATTTAAATTTACAACGAATAGTTAGAACTTGAAGAGATTACATTAAATGGTTCTAAAGTCTTCATATCATATTGCTAAGAATGGAGGATAAGTTATGTGCGAAAGCGAGGCTGGCTTTTGAAAACGACTGTCAATCTCATTCCAGACTTTTTGTATGACAAACTTGTACGGTTTTTTGATTAACCATTGCCAGGAGCTATCTTAACATTTTTCATAAAAACATAACGGGTTTTTATCATATACAAACAAAAAGTAGGCTCGTTAAACTTGATTAAAGCAAATAATTTTTTGGCACCTCTGAATTTTGCAGTAACAGGGGTGTATCCTAAAACCTTATTCTGTGCAGTTTTCAACACATTGGATTTTTTAAAAATACTTCAAACAAGCAACATAACAATCTGCATACATTATCATCCTAAAAGAAGAGAAGACCAGTTGTTACTCGCTTTCTCTCCTCACGAAAGAATATCAGTTATTGCCAGCTTACCCAGTTCTCTAGAATCAACGCTGTCTCAGTTTTATAGTTTCAATATCAGAGAAGAAATCTTTAAACTATTTCCTTTACAAGAATTCGTTAGCGAAGAATTTTCATATTGTCATTGTGTTTGAATCACAAGGCAGTTTATATAGTGAGACAGCAGACGTCCGATTTTGCTTGTTGTCAAAAATTTTGAATCATGCCCTCAAAACTTTGATCTGGAGAACGCGCTCGACATGTCACTAAGATTGACATCATATGACAGCTTCCGGTGTAAATCAAAGAAAGAATCTATTGTTGTCAACATAATTGGTTTTCCATAAATGCTCATCTTCTTCACCTTGCCTTATCATAGCCTCAGCAGGAACAAGACTTCTTGAGTTTTTCTGGACCCAGTTGAGACAAACTTATGGATAGGTCATGTGACAAAATTCACCCAATCAATACAAGCTTCCATTGTTTTCTGATATACAACATGCTTTGCTATTTCGACTTCAATGTCACTGCTGTGCTTTGGCGGGCGGAACTGGCATTGCCTGCGTATTATTTCTTGAAAAATAAATGCTTGTCCACATATAAAATAATAAACTACATGCACGGTATTTCGTTCCATTCTCAATTTTGTTTTTTCTTCATATCAAATCGACCAACTGCCTCTCCAAAATACCTTTCCATGGGTAGCTCATAACATGAATCAGCAACAGATAATTCAAAACTATCTTCATTTATTAATGCCTATATGTACCTACTTTTAAACAAATACTTTAGCAACCGCGTCCGCCCCACCGCTGGCGATAAACGGCTGCGACGGGTGGAAAGCAACGTCAAAGACAGCCTCGTCAAATTTCTTCCTATGGGCGGTGATTTCTTGAATACAAGTTTTATTTTCAATATTCCATAGTCGAATCGATCCATCGTGGCCTTAGAAAGCAAGAAGATTACTGTTAAAAACAAGAAGTGAAGGCAACGATGTGTCAGAAATATATCAATCACTTGAAAGCAGTTGGTTGGCCTCAGGATAGACTTATTCGATCAAATATTTTCACATTCGCCTTTTCTCATCATTGGCCAAAGCATTTACGGAAAATACTATAGGATTAAAAAAATATAGATAAAAACACTATCAAAATAAAACTCATAAATAGCAAAAATAGAAAAGGCAAAAAAAACAAAACAAACCATCAAATGTCAAAATTAAAATGAATAAAGGTTTAAATGATATGAAAAACATAAAGCCCACAGAAAAGGACAGGAGAAAAGAAGAGGCTTCAGGTTGAAAACTTGAGATCATTTTACAAAGCATCTGTGGAGTGGCTTAAAAGCCCCAAAACAGACTGTAAATCTCCTGCGCAGAAGTCATCATAAGCCTCTAAAAGTATCGCGATATATAACTATGTACGGTTCTGTTAGTGCAGGTATTTTGGCTTTGCTTTAGATGTTTTCATCGGGGCTGGTTAAACCTGGTGAAGCTATGGACTGTGAAACTTGGATTACCGGATATCTAATTGCAGTGGACAACACTAAACAAAGGACGAACAATCTGTCTCTACGATCAGGTCTTTATATAAAAAATTTCCCAAGGAAATCTTGCCACGACGGACAGTGTGGGTCAACTGATATCTGTATTCTAGAGGCGCAGGCAACATTGCAAACCAAATAGTAATCTTTATTTTTTAAACGCCCTATTGATTCGCAATGCTTTTGCCTTGAAGCAATTAGAATAACAATCGCAGACCAGTCAACCCTAAATCTGCAATGAAACGACACAAGGTGAAGCAAAATTCAGCCGGACTTTCCGAAAAGCAGTCACCCCCCCTCCCGGAAGAGAAATACCTTAGTTAATGTAGGAATAGATCAAAAGATTTTTTCTACACATATAACTTTACTCTGTTTTATGATATCACCAAATTCTACAATAAGATCTATATAGTACTGCTCACAGCAACTGGGGCAGGACTCCGCTTATTCGAATAAAAATTAGCCCTAAAGTCGATTGAAAACAAGGGTAGATTTGCCTCGGTAAAAGGCTTAAGAAATACTCACTTCCAGATAAGAGATATAAACCAGTGGGGTCGATTGACAAACTTGTCACAGCATCCAAGTGCGCTACCATGGTATGAATTTGTTTACCTGTGAAAACGATGACGTCATAATCACAATTTAACACTTTAACATATGAAAACCATAAACAGAAATTGTAATAAATTGTAAGGAAACGAATATATTTTGTGGATAATGCTTCAACAGAAAGCTTATTAATCCACTGAATAAAAACAGTAGAGTCAAATGAAAAATGAACATGAAAAAAGTTGTTTTGAAGAATGAACACAGACCTACCGGTATTAATATCAAAAAATCTAATATGCCTATCTTCATGTGCAGTTAAAACTATTGGAAGAGTGGGATGCGGAAGCACTTTATTTATCTGCGTAAACGGAGTTCCATCTAAAAAGAAACAAGGAAGAACATTGTCAATTTTATCAAAATATGACTACATAACCACATACGTATAGAAAAATGGATCTACGGCTGCAATATAAATTTGGAAAGGGCTTTTTTCATTTAAAATTAAGGTTCACAAACAGAATCTAAGAGGTCGATTACATATATTTTGTATATTGCATATTGCATGCACTTAGGGAGTTAAGATATTAAAATCCTTCCCAGTAGTCTGCTATTATTTCCTTCTTTTCTTCGAGGGGGAATATTATAATCGATGAATGTTGATACTTTGGACAACGTCCTAGTAGTCAAATGAAAACCATAAAACATTCTAATCTAATGCGTGACTTTAAAGTAAATCAATATTATTCAATGGAAGAGGAGTGGGATAAATTAAGCCTTGTAAATTGGCGCTACTCTTTTAAGACTTTTCGCGATGAAAAAGCATTGAAAAAGCCTTGAAAAGCATTTGGCTTAGCATTAAAAAGCTCTTTATACTGATAATGTACACACAAAACAATTTAAATCATGTAAATATATACATCGGTACTACTGACCACTGATTGGCTGTCTTCTATCTTTCCTTACAGTTCTTACGATAACGGTTGAATGAAAATAAAGATAATAAATGGCAATTATCTTGTGAAATGAAAACCGAACTGTTTCAAACAAACAAACTGAAAATCTTGTCAAACAAATTGCCAAGAAACTGAAAACTTTGCTGCTGAAAGTATATATCGAATGGCCAAAACAGTTATTAATATATTAAGCAGAAAGAGCAATGAGAAACTTACTGTAAGTTTTAGCACTGTCTAACCGCAAGGAAATCTTTGCAGTTTCTAAATCAAAACAGACACATTCTGACGAAGTGTAAGATGCAATCATCTGCCCCGAATCAGTTGTGCTGAATGCGACCGATGTCGGGTTTCCAGTCTCTGAAATTAAAAAAAGGATTTGCGATTCATTGCTGAACTGCAAAGTTAAATGGGGAATATTTTGCACTGGAATGTAGCTATAAAAACTATGGCACCTTAAAAATATCCTAGGTATTAGCAAGGAGAAAATTATTAAGCATATAGTAAAGTCATCCTTTAGTTATTTAGGCTAAAGGTTGGAGGGAAGATAGATCTTGCAAGGGTGGTTCCACACAAAAGAAGTCTGTAGTCTAGTTTCATTATGTACAGTACAACTAAATCTGGACACAATTGCAAGGCCCAATATCGTACAACCTTTAGCTTAGACTCAGTACCCAAGAACCTCCAAAAATTGGTCACTTTTTAATGTATTTTAAAGTCCCTGCCAACATTAATCCCACAGTCGAAAGCTTTTCCCCTGGAGACGTAGCCTAGCCGCGTTCCGTAACATCCGATCTTTCGTCTTCCTTTCACTGCGGCTCCAAAATTGCTGCCTTTATACTAAAGTTTCAGATCTATCCCGGTCACCTTTCCTCCCTACACTGAAAGTAAACACTCCCTACAGATCTCTGCCCTAGAATTTCCCTTGGACGCTTTTTTGAGATCCTTTCCAAGAGTTCCCCTTTGGGCTTATTACCTTAAAGATTCCAAAGTTGTTCTTATTGAGATCCCTTCTAACGAGATCTCAGCATTCGAAATTTTTCCCCTCAGGTCAAGACAAACCACATCAGCTCGCCACAAAGAAATTTGTAATCGAAAATAAACGAACCGTTTTCTGCTCTATAGGTACAAAGCAGGGGAGACTTAAGTTCCGCATTCCAAAGTCGACAGGTTCCATCAGCGGAACAAGACAGCAACCGGTCGGTCTCAGCCTGCACGGCCAAATCCCATACTGCATCTGTGTGGGCAACCAGCGTTTCACCAGCAACGCTGGGATCTGTGGGCAGAAAAAAGATAAACAGTGAACAGACCCGTTAATTAAAATCATCAATATGCGCTCTGCAATGGCAATCATTAACTAGAATCATTGACATAGCTGTTGAGACAAACGCCTAAACACATTATAGGTAGCATGCATATAAAGGACAACATCTCATCCGCCCTATTAAAGTTGAATATAATTAGCATATCATCAGCAGATATATCAAAACCGAACTGCAGAGAAAGGGGGATTTTTAACTGTACTTATTTAACCACCACAATATACATATATATATAGTTACTGATCCAATATACATCTGGTTTAATCTCCTGGAATACATGAAAAATTGAAAAAAAATGAAAACACGAAATGGATCCCTCTAACTTAAAGTCTCTCCAGCAATGTTTGGTTTAACTCCCTTCTTCTTCAAACAGAAGCTTTCTTTTGCATTCAAGTTCTTTGCAAATTTTGAGAACTCATTGGGCAAAGAAAAGTAAGTGGAACAGAAAAGGTGCTTACCGTAAGAGCCGAACAAATCTAACATTAACGGAGGCAAATTCCACCATTGGATTGTGGCATCAACGCCACCGCTGTAACAAACACTACCACTGGTGTTCAATGCTAAGCAAAGAATTGGGCCGCTGAAAAGAAAAAAGGATGAGATTAACAAATGCTTCGGTTTTTACACATAAGTGCTAATGAATGAGGATTCCCTTTAGGAGGCAGCTTTCCAACGATAAATCTAACAAGGTGAGATCAGCAACATGTTTTTTGATCAAAATAAAGGCTGGTTGCAAGACACTTTATCACATTTTCTTTTAGTATATTTTCGCAAATCCTGTTATTGCACTGTTATTTTAGTATACAGCGCAAATCCGGGATTCCGCTGTATGTCTCTATTGCTTCATGACGCTTTGCCACTCTTATATGAAATTCTAAGTTTCATTGGATTGATAGTAACATTTATACGTAGGGTCTAACTTCGTCAAATACTAGATAAGTGTATAATGAAAACTCTAAGTACGCTATAGCATGTTATTGACAATAATGAACTACTAAACTTCATCAATTCAACCAACACATTCTACATCATCAATTCTTGGTAGATGGAATATAATATGTAACATCTGTGCAACCGTTTCGGATTCAACAGTAGCGGTGCTTGGCGATACAAATGTACTGCTATGACCTGCAGTGGTGTAAAAAAGCTTTCCAAACCACAGATTGACCTCAATTATTACAAAGAAAATAAGCTATTTTTATTTACTTACCTGTGTCCTCTAAACGTATATACAGGCTCTATATCGGAAATATTTCCTCTGCAAGTAAAAAAAGAGAAATTATATCCATTTATATTGATCAGATCAAAACAAAAGTTAACTTTATCAGGGTAGTTAGAAATTTAAACAATTTTTCGTAATTGCTAAATTCCAAAAAGTTTCGAAAGCTTGGAAGTTTCTCGCGATACTTATGACCGAGAAGGTAGGTAGTGCAAAATATACCCCAGCTTTTAAAAAAAGCAACCTGCAATTTCTAATTTCAGAAATTTTAAACTTGCATAATAATATCAAAACAAAGGTTCTCCCAACAACTGCATATGATTCATTTCTGCACAAGTTGATAGCTACTTAAATGCCTCGGGTATGGAGCTCAGAAACACATTCAAACAGGAACCAGGCACACACGGGATTCTTACAAAAAGGGTGAACAAAAACTTACTTTTTCATTTGTGAATTGCGCTGCAATGACCAAAGCTTGAGTGTGTGATCTTCCGATCCAGTTATCAAGGCAGATTCATACGGATGGAAAACCAACGAGCGAACTCCATCAAAATGGCTGTAAAGAAAGAAATGAAGGAGTGAACACTAAAATATAGATATATATTCACCGATGAAGGAATAAGCAGTGTTAAAACTTTGAGCCTGGTGTTAAAACTCTGAGCAGTGTTGAAACTTTGAGCCATTAAGCGTGAAACTTGGAGACGTGCAACTAAGAACGATCTTGTTTTATATACCGAAAGTGTGTACAGTATAAAATATCGAGCACTTTATGACAGACCGGTAAACAGTAATCTTCACGATAAAATCACTTGTCACCACTTTAAAAAGAAAACAATAATTTGCACTCTCTAACACTAACTTGGCAATACAATTAACCCTAAGTAATTAACATTCTCCCTGCTTTGAGCATCGTTTAATCCAAATGAGATTAATGAACAATGTGCATGATTTTAAGTATATAAAGTTTCTTGGGCATTTTTGCTGAAACTAGAAATGATTCTCTACTTTAGTTAGATAATCTTTAGAGATGTATTGCATATTATTGTACAGACAACTGAGAAGGTCTTAGAGAACTAACGCTAACATCAAAATAGTTAAATTTGACTTTTTTCTTTTCTTCTTCAGCCTATTGACTTTCCTTTATATAATTGTTTACTTAATACTAGGCAAGCTGCATGTGACTAGCATTAAATTTCTAAAAAAATTCAGCATTGTTGTCGGTAAGGGGGGCACAAGTAGAAGAAATCGGAAAACGAAACGTAAGGGGAGACCTAAGCTGTTTGGTGTTCCAACGAACATTTGAAGGCATTTTAAGAACAGAAAATACAAGCAACTCAAAAGAACAGTGAAATTTTAAGGACTGCTTTGTGTTTTAGGCAAACTCTTCTGTAAAAACAAATAGTTTATCGGATGAAAGTCCTTCTTTTATTAACAGAGTTCGCAGTCATTAGAAACAAACCAAGAAGCATCTTATGTCTAAAATAACATTGTGACTAGAGCCTAATGCATAAGAGAATAATAAGATAAGATCAGAAGAGATAAGAGAAAAATGCAAATGACAAAGAAGCGTGTTTTAGGTCTTAACGTTAAATACTTGTTAAACAAACAAGGTATTTTTACCTTCTAAGAGTATACTTTGGTGACCAAGTTTTTCTAATGTCTTCTCTTGAATTTATCTAAATTCGGATCAAATAACATACAAGTCAACAAATAATACACTGGCCACCAGTTTGCGAATACATTATGGCGAGAAAAAAAACCGCTTCTCCCAGACGAAAATTCTCATGAACAACAAACGAACAATTAACTATGATAAGCCGACTTTAAAAAGATAGGGTATAATCAACACTTAAAGGAAACCAAATCAATAGGATATATGAACCATAACTAGTATTGATGGGTACTTTTGCAATAATCAGATTTTTTCTTTTGTGCCATAATAAAATGCCCTTCTGTTTTCAACATAGGGGAAGTGAACCCATCACTTCAAAGCCTAAGTATAAATAAAACATCTTACAAAGAAATGCGAAAACTGGCTTACAAATTTCAGCAAAACTAATAAAAGGAAACATGAAGATGTGAAAAAGAATTACTTTTTAATCTTTGTGCATAGAATTTCCTGCTCGAGGCAAACAAAGGCAATCATACAGCTACATATATTTAAACAAAATATTCCAAATATTTATGCAGAACGGAGTATCCATTCCAACATCTTATCAAATATATCTGAAACAGAAATAATTTAGAAATTATTCTTAAAACATGCAGCTATGAGGGTCAAAGTGCATGGTTCAAAGTTTAAAGTTCATAAATCAAGGTTCATAATGCAAAAAAAATAAAACTCAAAACTCACATCTACAGAAAGCGGCCCTGCTTCATTTGAAACGGTGAGGTCAGCCAAGTCACCTAATCTCAAAGCTACCTCCATTGCATCGTTTGGCGCGTCTTTCAGCTGACCTGGGGTTACAGGTCGGGCTGCATAGTTGCTACTGGGTAGAGCAACATCACCTGTGATGCAACGGATAATGGAAATTACATAAAATGAATAATTAGAGTAACACTAGCTGATCGAGAACGGCAATACACATTTCAAATTGTGTGTCACTCAGCGTTCATGCCTTTCTGGGGGCTGCTAAACGAGTTAATAAAAAAAACAGCAAGAGAAGATAAGGCAGAATTTTTCAGAAAGTAAAACTTTTTATTTGGAGTATGCGAGCTTATAATAAAAATAATGTGCTTTGAAACTGTACACTAACTGAAAAATGAATTAGACGCAGTTCTTCGACAAAGTAAATAAATTTGTTAACTTAAGAACTCTTAAGGAAAAACTTTTCTAAACTTTTCGAATTGTACATCTTTGACTTAAAAAGGCACTATATTTTGAATTAAAATTTATTTCTTTCAAAATATCAATGCTAAAGCCATTGAATAACCGAACTGTACAAAAATGCCAAAAATGGATAATAAAAAACAATGTGTTTTTTGCTTCTTCTATTTGAAGTGTCCTCCTCCAGAGATAAACCGTACCAACAAGCAAAAAGAAAAAGTGACCAAAACCGCAGATTGCACGCGGTAATATCGCACTCAAGAAGCAAGATGCAAACCACCATAACAGTGTAGAAAGGAAGTTCATACCTAGTGGGGCGATATCATCGCGAAACGGCGATGAGTTTGGAAGGCTGATATTCTGGTTAGCGGGAATAGCTGGCGTAGAAGGCGCCTGTGCAGAAGACACATCTTCTTCGCCTTCTAGTTTCGCAAGCATTGACTGCAAAGCCATTTTGTTTGGGCCTAAAAGTCAAATAAACGAAAACTTCCTGATATGCTAAAATAAGATCGTTATGTGATCAGGAATTGATGTGTTGAACTGTTAAATGAATGGGGCATTGTTTTGCATACACAATAGGAAAATGACTGGAAGAAATAGGCAGGACCTTTTTAAAAAAACAAGTACATTAGAGATAGTAATACAATCATCAACAATAAACAAACTCTTAGCTCTTGGATTTTAGGAATCGTCTCTTATAGCTAAGGTTTGCAATCCACTATTTGAAAACGAAAGCATAAGGTGCTCGGTATGTCATTTGTCTCTGGTACGGTATGCTCTGATGTGCAAGTTCAGGTAAATTGGCGGTCACGGAGCTTAAGGCTGTTAATAAAGTCGTTCATAAATATTCAACATAGCATACCGTCCATGCTAAGCCTTGTTTACCTCTCAGTACCGAATAAAATAGGGGGACCACTTACAATTTATCGATCATTTTCCATTCAGACCTGTTTTACAGCCAGAGCTCGACTTTTTCTTGTCGAAAAGATCACGATATAGCATTACTGTCCGTTTCCACAAATACAGTGTCAATACTTACAAGTAGAAAACTATAAGGAAATTACCAAAAGCTCTAATTAGGTGTGGCCCTATCTATTTGATATTATAAAAAGTCGCATCAAGTAAGCCCCAAATTGATTAGCTTATAAATATGCTAGAAAAAACTTAACAACTCTTTCATTAGAAAACCCGTTCATTCGTCGCTGAAATGTACGTTCTTTGTGAGGCAAGTTTTAAAAGCTATTCCTCAATGGCTGGATAGGCCTGTTCTAGACAGTTTATATTCTACATTGGTCGTACGTTTTTCAATGGACAGGGACATTTCTCTCTTGTGCTAAATAAATAACTAAAGGTGCGAAAACAGCCAAAAAACATTTAGCAGTCGAAGTTCGGTAAAGCGGGAAAACATTTTAAAATCAATCTTAGAAAAAAATGCATTTGCTGGGCCTCTGGTCTTATCGGGAATTACTATATTGGGAAAAGAGGGGTTTGAGAAATGTTAATCGTGAGCGAATATAAATCTGATTAATTACTTACGTTTCCCTTTCTTGCCCATGGCTTTGCGTTCGTTTTTGTATTGCTCTATTTGCTTCTGTAATTTGCCTTGATCGACATGCCACTCGTCCTGTGAAGGCACAAAACGAAATTTAATTAGTTTTCACGAAGCAAACAAAGGAGTTTGAAAAAGCCATAATGATAGTCGATAATTGCTAACACGTTGAAGAATTTGGCAAAATGAAGAATCAAGGCCTTCCGTTTCATTTTTTACCCTTTTATAGCCCCATCAGTCGAGAGGACTGATTTAGAGGGGGTCTTGTCAAACATACGATAAAATCGGATTAAAAAAAAATTAGTATAAGATAGGCTAATACCTACAATAAATAAATAAAAAAGCAAATTGCTCTTAGACCTGCTTTTAAAAATGCTTAGAGGGGGAGCTAGTTTGGCATCCAAAGACAATTTATTCCCATCCTTTGCACCCTGGAAAGATATAGCTTTCTGACCAGTGCGTGCAAGTGTTCATTCTTGGAACAAGTAAATCGGTAGTGGAAATGTGCAAGTTCGCATTCATGTCACGAGCAGAATCTTTCTTAAATAGGTTTGATAGATGAACGGGCGGAGAATAAAGACCTGATTATGCTCTGTTCATAACAGTAGCTATCTGTAGATCGGTTAGCTTGAACTCGATTCGCTTTGTATTTATGCTAGTGTCAGTTTTCCAGTACTTCTTTAACTTGGACGTACGAATTCATAGAAATAGAAGGACAGCCTCTTTTATATGTACATAATCTTTTTAGATAATGTCTCTCGGAAAAAGGTCTTAAATCTAGGACAAATTTGGATAAGTGCATAAAAGGAAAAGCTACAAAGAGGAAATTAAGTTTTAAATTTGGGAAACTTTGTATGATCGAGCTACAAAGTTTGATACTAATGAAGACGAAAACAAAATCACCAACAACAAAAAAAGTAATTAGGATCAGGGAAACTTTTTGACAAAGAGCCCTAGTGGTTTTAAAAATATAAAAAACTATCCACAAAATTCACAGAAGCAAATAAAAAAACTGGGAAATTCAAAACACAAAAGCTAGAAACTGAAAATTTGATTTTTTTGTTTTAAAAAATTTGAATAAGAGACGATTAAAACTGCGGAGTATAAAGAAGTTAGCCCAAGGAAAGAATTTAAAAACGCATATATACGTCAGAAATTCTTGCACGATTTTCTTTAACATGTCTTGGGACTCACGCTATAAAAAATGGAATGACAACCTTAACTTTAGATTGCTACGGTGAACAAAACTTGGATAAGACCACTGGAGTTTTTGGTTTGCATTGAAAACCTAAAACAGATTTTTGTGCAAAGAAGGAGCAAGCATACTACCAATGGTAGATGACAGCGCATAACCGCTGACCAAAAGGCTAGGTAACTTTAAGGAGTACACTAACATAAGGGCCTATTACACTAGCATAAAACGTGTTTCTGCTGCATTAAAACACGCATTACCTGTGTTCCACCTTGGCCACTTCTCTCATCTGGAAAATCAAGTAATAATAATCAAAATATATCAACATTATAAGGAACCTATTCCATTGAAATACTAAAGCTTTCAGGCTTCAGAAAGAAAGATTGCTGATACAGAACTACAACGGATAAATAGATTTTCTTCTAAGACCTAGGCATTTTGTTGATTTGGTCTGACTTAGACATCTTTGGCGCCAGGAAACTTTTCGGAACAGTAGAATTATCTATTCTCTTTCATTCTCGGTACTAGACCATTGGTAAATATTTTTGCCAACCAAATGGTAAAAACTGGAATATACCCTGGGTATTCTACAAAATTGCCTTTAGCCCTTTTAAAAGAAAACTGCATTCCTTCTTAAAGTCAGAGAAAGTGTCTTTTTCGCCCTTCCGACACAGGTCTTAGATGGGGATGTCTAGGTCGGAATATTTTCTATAAAAATCATCATCAGGTTGAAGCGATGACCCGACATATATTGAAGCGGTAGGTCGCAAAAGCAATCTAAAAACATTCTAGTGAAATCTAAAAGCACCAGTCCTATTCGAAAGAGACATTGGATTGTTTCAATGCCAGTACGAGAGCATTTTGCTATGTATGAAGGTGCAGACTTTTTAGAAAAGTGGAGTAGTCCATACAGTGGATGCCTGTGCTGCAGCGATAAAATTTGTCTGCTCGTTGAATGAGTTTGTTAAAGAATGTTGCAAAATACTGGCATTAGGTTGAAACTGGAACAAAATAAACTTTGGCAGAAAACGATTACTGTATTTCCTCTAAAGAACGTTCAATACAAAATGAAAAGTTTGTCAAATGAAACTTAAGTTGTATTAGTTTATACGAATAGTAAGCGTATAAACTATTCCTTACTTCTTGTTTGGTGTGTTTTCTAATGAACGCCGCTTTTCAACATGCGGCGTTCAATAGACGGCGGCATTTATCAGAGGGTGGCGTTTTTACAAATGGTTGGCTGAAGGTGCGGCGTTCAATAGAGGGCGGCGTTTATCAGAGGGCGGCGTTCATTAGCGGAAATACGGTAGTTCGTTGCTTAGAAAGCTCGTTATAAGGAGCCTGTCCGTTAAAAAATGTTTAAAGGCATTTGTGAAAGATGGTAAAAGAGTAGTGGAGCTACGCACTTGCTTCATTCTTTTGCTCTTCTTGTGCTAAAAAGTCAAATTCTTTCATTATTTCTGCTCCATCCGGGGGTAATTTTTCGATTACATCGTTTTGATTTTCTAGAAACAAAACAAATGGCTTGAAGCATGAAGGTACAAAAAGAAAAGGAAAAAATACAGCAAGAAAAACTCTTGAGAGGGAAAAAGGGAAAAGAGTAAAAGGAACAATGGCGAAGTAAACTGGAGTGCATATGGCGGAGTGTTTTTAAGAAAGAAAAAAAGGATCAAGAAAGAAGAAATGGGAAGGAAAAACTTGAAATAAGAAAGAAGAGGGCGATGATTTGTCAAGGGAGAAAAAGAGACAGGGGTGCTTAAAGGAAAGATCGATAAAGAATTAATATACAAGATGCTAGAAGTGGTTCATAAGTTGTAACAGACAGTTGAAAGGTATGGGAAAAGAGAGGCAGAGTTGATTCGAAAACAGTTCCAGGCCTACAAAAAGGAAGGACAAAGTAACAGGGCTTGGAAGGAATGCTGATAAAAAAATAGCCAGGCAATTGAAGGAGAAGATCTTGCAATTCCTCATATCAGGGTTTCATAGATTTTGAAACTATAAAATACTTCTTGATTCAAGAAGGTAAGTTACGTCCAAAGTTACAAAACGAAGCCTGCATTTGTAACACAAACGGTGGTTTTTCAAGCCTATTTTGGAGGTTTGGGCCCTCCAAACTGTTTTATCTCTGAGTACTGACATCTGCGCTACTAACATGATGATTACCTTGTTTGGTTCGTTTGATTGACAGCCTATTGTCTTCGAATTCTCTGTCATCCAACTCATCATCTGCATTGCCACCATCGTCAGCCTCCTCCTCGGCGGCATCCTGCCCTTCACGTTGAAGGAAACTGAAGCTGTCCATGACAGCATCATCGGACTCGTTGGGAACACTTTTAATAACTTGTTGCCTACAACCATAAAGGCTATAATGTAAATAACGAAACAAAAAGCTCGTTGCATGGGCAATATACTAATAAAGATTATTAGTTTGGCGGTCATCATTCTTGAGACCTAGTTATTCATTTGGCGAAATGCCACAATCTACTTAGAGGTTAGAGTTTCACCTATAGTATCTGGCAAGACTTCTGAATATTACAGGCAGCAGGGTGCTCCCGGCCCGAGTGGCAATTACCATGTGCGACAGTAGGTTACGGGAACATCAGGAGTGGCTCGTAACATACAGATATCAAATAAGATATCAAGCGAAAGGTGGGCTAGAAACAATATTTTCTACCAGGATAAGGAAATAGTTTCACCTCTTTGGACTTTAAAAGGATACTTTGCGTCAAAGGAACTGAAAAATGTAAAGCTTACTTCACAGCAAATTGTGGTGATTTCTTCACTAGCTCATCCTCAATGTCTTTATCCTTTTCACCATCTACAGAGCCTGGCTGGGTCAGCTGCTCGTTTGGTTTACTAGCTATCACCCTTGGAGCAGTGTGATTTTGCAAATGAGATTTTTGTTCCACTGTTTCAGGAGCAGTCGGTCCATTTGCTTCTTCTGAAGTCAGGCCAAGCAACATTTTTACTCTTGCTGAACGCAACTCTACCACTTTGTCAATATAGCCAATTTCTTGCAAGTATCTATAAAATGAATTCACAAAAATGAGATGGTCCAGGTAACATGGTTATGTCTCTTTAAGAAACATGGCAAGGTTACCCTAGCCTTAAAATGAAAGCAGATTCCTCCGACAAAGGCAAATATGTGACTTACAAGATGAAAATTGATAGCATTTACACCAAATGGACTTAGGCCATGTATTTTTGCAAGGGGTACTGAATCATACCAGTTCAATTATGTGAGTTTGACTGTAATAATAAAGCTTATAATAAAGTATAAAAATAAATTTTAACCAGACTGTCATATCGGGGTGGATGGCCTATAGCTGAAGATGTACATGCCCTGGTGTTTAGAACAGGACGGTTCTAGGTTTGGAATGTTTGTTTAAACTCAAAACAGTTGCCTCGCGATTGCATTAAACATGGAACTCAACTGCAAATTAGAGCCAACCATTTTGTTTTAAACAGAAGTGTGTTTTTATGTATGCATTTTTATATAGAATTGAAAGAATAATAATTCCTGAGTTGTTTCAGAAGAAAGCCTTGATAGCATAGTGGTGTTTCCACTTGGCTTCAGCTCTCAATAAAGCTTAAATGTGTTCTTGCAGATTGGGCAAAGTTTTTTAATTTCTAATGCAAATAACTATTGCAAATTGAATAGAGGTCTATTGCGTTTATCAAAAGAACTACACTGTGAGCAGGTGCAAAAGCAAGCAAAAACTCAAGAGCTGGTTCTAACTTAACACATAGCAAAAAATTCTATAGCTTTACGAAAAGTTATGTCAATTATCACTTAAGCTATTAAACTGGATTCAAAGCAAAACAATGCTCTATTTGCTAAAACACAGGGTTTTCAAGTCTAAGAACAGCTGAAATTCAATGAAAATTTTCTTCTTCCTTTGATTAAAATTTGACAAAATTGGCAATCTTATTAATTATGAAAAGACTTCTTCAAAGTGTGTAATGAAATAAAGGAGATGAGAGTGAAACTTGTTAGCATAACTTTGGAAATACTGCAAGTGAAGAGCAGAGAGCTTTAACAAACCAAAATTCCTTTATATTCAAATTTAGGTTTGTGAAATGGCCAAAAATTCTTTAAGTCAATAACTGGGAACAACATTTTACTTTTACATATAATGATTGCTTGCTTAATAAAATCAGTTGTGCAATTGATTAAGCCATAAACCATATTGGAAGGGCCACTGAAAGGGGGCAGTGGGTGAATGGCTTCAGGGCCACAAGGTCTAGAGGGCCTCATAAAGTAATGAATGTTTTTTAAAGAATAGTAGTAATCAAACATAACAAAAGTATCCTTAAAAATAGTTAAACTGTAGCCTCTTAAAATAATTAGAAGAAATGAATGCAAGAAATATTCTGAAATGCATTTTAAGCTTCTATAAAGGGTGTGGTTGCAAACATTTTTTGCTTGCAGAAAGCTTGCTATTTGTTTTGATTTTGTGGTAACACGAACAAAAACACAACTGACATCTGTCGAAATAGAGATTTCATACATGAAAATTGAAAATCGTTTCTAACTAATTCCTTTAATTCTTTTTAAACTCACTACAAAGATGATTATGAAAAAAAATTAACTTCTATATCATACTTAAGATCTAGGCACAACAAAGAACAAACAGGGAATACCCAAGCAAGTAATTAATGAAAAATTATCAAGGTAACTAAACCATAGAAAGTAATCAGAACAATAAATTAATAAATGAAATCAATTCAAATTTCTATCAAATTGCCATTTTCCTCTTCATACATTGGTACATTAGACAGCATCACTTTAAGATAAAATTTCTTGATTATTGTGCAATAGTTTCAACATAAAATTAATTGTAAAACAGTTATACTCACTGCCTCAGAATCTGCCTTCCCTGTCTGTAATTGAAATTGGTAGCTTTTGAAAGGTTTTCATTGGAGCTGCTAACTTCAGGCTCTTCTTCTGTAGTCTCATCATTAATATCAGGCAACTTGAGATCTGTTCCATATCTCAACTTGTGAAACTTTTGCCTTAATAAAATATGTTAAGAAGAAAAATATTAAAAAATGCTAAAGTGGGGGTAGAGGGAAGTTTTGAGAGATTTAAGTTCAGGAAATTGAATATACATGGTTGACTGAAAAATAAAGAAATTGTTACAAAATAGTTGAATAATGAATAGTGCAGGAGTTATACTCTTTGTCCAACACAGCTCAAATTGCAAATCATCTTATCATGACTATGGGAGAACTGAAATTAATCTCAAAGTGTGGCAAAAAGTATGGATAAAACCAATATCAAAAAGGGTGATAAACAGCCACCCTGACAAAATATTTGTGAACAGGTCTGTGCTTGGATAAAGAGTCCAAGCAATATTATATATTTAATCTGTTTAAATATATAATATCGCTTGGACTCTTTATCCAATCAGGCTGTATCAACTTATCCAAGATGCCTTGGAAAAAGATTAACATATTTGCTCAAACTATTGTGAGATGGTTGTCACCAAATGCTTTGATATGCACTGGAATCTCAAACTAAAATTGACCTATGAAAATATCAACCTCATGGAAATACAAAAATTTTTGAAATTGCTCATAAGTTAACAAATATTCAAGCAATTTTAATCATGGTTTAAACAAAATCATAAGTTTCCTTAGATACTAAATGGACTTAATTCAGCCAAACTTTTCTTCTGCTAAATACACCAGGAATAATTGCTAAGGAAAATGTTACCCTGCATTTATGTATAGAGCTTCTCAATATACTGCTTTTTAAAATGACAGAAGTGATCATTAAAAATCAAGGTAAATTTTCTAGCAAAGTAAAACAAATAATGACAATTAAATAAAAACTTGGCCAGTTACCTCTCTTGGCGCAGAGCATATTCTAACATTTTGATTCTTCGCACAAGATCCCTTTTTAGATTTTCTTGTCCTCTTCTTTCACCTTGAAGAAATGCAATTCGTGCCTAGAAATAAAAAAGCTCTTCAAATTAATTAACCTGCTCAAGGTTTTTAGCAAACATGACAATCTTTACCAACAAAACCAATACCAATAGTTATCAAATGTTTTTTGGGCTGATAACTTATCTCTTCAGATAAAAATTCAAATTGAGTGCAAAACTGTCTCTGGGAAATATTTTGAAGGAAGACAGAAATTTCATATAACATTTGCAAGCGCATGGAAACAGTATTTAAAATAAACTCTTAATGTAATTGGAAAAGTAATATATATTTATATCCCAATATTAATCAGCATATCAGCATGAAGTCATTTCTTTACATCAGCTTTAGGTAAACACTAACCATTCTGTTTAAACCAAAGCATAAAAATTGAATGCATGATTTTGATAAGATAGCAACTAGATAACAAATATGCAAGGTAATGTTGAAAAATATGCAGATCACACAACATTTGACAAGCAATACTTCACTTGGCAAAATATTGAATATCAAAGAATTGAAAAAGCAAAAAATCTTTCAAAGGTATATACATAATTTAAAAATGGCCATGAAAAAGCAAACATTTGGAGTCGTACTAAAGCTGAGTCATACATGAGTCATAATTGAAAAAAGCTTCAATGGACAGGCTTTATCATACATTACTATTATTATACATTTTCAATCAGGATATCAAAATCCTGTCAAAATATGCAAATCATGATCATGCTGATTACCATCCTAGGAGAAACTACTCTGGTGTCTATAATTTCCTCAAAAAGAACTCCTCTTGCCTGTGGCCATGTGAGCATATCAGTGAGGATAACTGTTGACTATTTTTCGGTAAAGTGCTCAGTGACATTAACAAACAGCTATGCCATATCTTTCTGTTTAGTACTGGACAATTCTAGGTAAAAGCTTTGAAATACCATAATAACTGATGCTATATGCCACTTGGATACCTCTTTAGCATTAAAACGTAAATGCATGTCTAACTTGAAATTACCTTAACAGGAATAAATATTCTAAAACTTTAAATTCAGTGAGATAAACCTATGCTTTATAATCCATGTTTGTTTGATTGATAGTGGCGAGAAAATATGCACACAGAGGGCACTGACGTCATCCATAAATAGCTATTTTCAAGTGTACAATCTTACTGCGAAAGTGCAATTTCTAAAGCAAACATAACACAGTGAATTTTCAGGTTCAAATGGGACTTTGTAAAGTTTCTGGCAAAAGAAACTGGGTAACAATATTTTAGGTAAAATATATATATATTATAATTTATTTACAAATTCAAATAAATTTAAAAAGCTGTTTCGAAGTAACATATGAGTGGCCCACTCTTTCTGAAATTTCAAGTATGAGAACATCTCAATAACAAAATACAGGTGATATATGGAAGCACTTGAAGAATTTTGGTGATGATCAAAATTTGCAGTTGATGTTGAAATTTGCTGAAATTTGCATTTAATTTGGCAAAAAAGAGAAGAAACAAGGCATAATAGAAAACCATAGAAAGCAAGAAACAAAAAACTATTTCAGAAAGAAAAATGTGAGAGTCAATCAATCCTTTGAATAAAAAGTTAAACTGTTAGGGTGACATTGTGAGATAGAACTAATAGTATAACAATCTGTTGTCTAGCCATTCTTCTTGTTAATTTGTGGTAGATTTATTTCATCTGATTGCTTTCAGAAGCAAATAAAAAAAAATTAGGAAGCAGCAAGAAAATCCAAAATATCAATTGTCTACCACACAGTTTTCATTAGAAGCAAAAATCACTTATCTAAATATTTTTACATATATTTATTGAAAAGCTCTAGACTATAATGTTTTTTAAAATTTTAAATTCTGAAGAAGCACAGCGCGAAACATTAATCAAGTTGTTTTTCTACTGATCATCTAATTATATACATATATATTTATTTATATGTACAATTATATAATAATATTAAATTATATATATATTAACTAGCAAACTAAAATCCTCAAGAAATTTAAATTTCACACCATCATTTTTATATATATATACTTGCTTCGAACACCAGTTATTGGGCATAATTGCTTAAAATAAAAATGAAATATTCAGATCCTTAAAAGGCTCTCACATGCTGACAATGTTCCCCATATGACTTATATACACATAAAGTTAAACTACAAACTATATCAAACATAATATTCATTAGATAAATTAGTTATCTACTGTGCAATAGTCCTTCTTAAAAGCTCAAATTTAATTTTATGTGTGAAAAGAGTGAATGTAAATGAAGAGTTTAAAATCTAAGCACTGACTATAAAACAGCTGCTAAATGTTGTAATAGTTAGTAAAACAAAAAAGTTTGAACATAACAAAGAAGGGAATAACAGAGTAGTTGCAACTTTAATTTCGAAATTATAAATCTGCTTAAGTTTAGGTAGACATATAAACTTCTATGATTCTATGATTGTATGTGCACAAATTTGAGACATGAAACAAACAACTTAATATGGTATAAGTATTATTTACTGGACTTAAATGTCAATTTGATGGAAACATTTGGAATATCACATTTAAAATAGCCTTGAACCTTTGAAAAGTGAGTCACTTTAAAAATAGTGGCCTTCTTCTCAAGATTTAACTCAGTCCTTTTTGATAATGTAATTGAGTTCCTTATGCTTGCATTTAAGATCATACTTTAATTTCAAATAAAGTAGCAACAGGGTATGCAGCAAATATCCACCTTTCAAATATTAATTTAGCAGATTGGGAATAAAAACACTGTATGATTGAATCAATTTACAAAACCTAAAATGTTTTTCACGACTATCGCATTTAGGAGGGTAAACACATATTTCATATGGCACCTTTAATAAATACCGATGCGGCTATTTCTAATTTCGGTTCCAGATCAGCATGGGAGCATTCACAGAATTGACTATCTGGGTTGACGTTGAATAGAAGGGAAATTAATTTTGAAAGAAAACAAAATGCGACATTGGAGCAATATCCCAATCACCAAACGAGCAGTCACCTTGAAACAAATGGGTTGGGCAACAAAAGATTAGGCCCTGACAAGACGGCTGCAAGAAGGTTTTCGAAAAATACATAAACCTTCCCTAAACTTGAAATTGTAGCATTCATGAAATAAGCAACAAAGCTAATTGTTAAACTTACTTGTAACTCTGCACGCTCCACTTCCCAGTGTGCTCTTTCCATCTCAAATCGTGTCCACTCATGTTGGATAAAATGCAAAATTCCTGGGATACTGTAAGATGGCCTTTGGTCCTGTTCAACATTTCCGTTTGTGTTTTTAGCCTGGTTAAACGCCACACCTTCTTCATTTTCCATGTTTACTGGCAATGCTATCTCTTTTTAGAACGTATTTATAACTTCCATGGAAAATTCACAAATCTACGGAAACTGTGCGGCTCTAATAATTGACAGCTTTGTTGAGAGCAGCCTGTCCTCGTCTTGAAAATAGGCCTGAGTTTACAGGTTTACGTTACTCCGCCGAACAGACTCCATTTCAGTTGAAGATATCAGTGAAATTCGGGGCTTTTCTCTGTTACATTCTGCAACTAATCATTGACTAGCTGGCCTACTTAGTAGTCGATAAGCCTTGGAAAGATATCAGATTTCTGTATCTACAACTCTTTTAGTCTTATCGATAGTCACAAGGCCTTTGCACAACAGTACAACACTTTCTGCTTCACTGAACATGTCTTCGGCTACTGCGCATACTCAATACGGATGCCGCTGGGTACGAAAGCTGAAAACCGCCCGCCGACTGCGAGGCAGCGAGACGGGGTTTTTGACAGTGGGTTTTTGAACTGTATTCGCCCCCGGATTTAATTTAGGACGGTTTTGGATGAGGGCAAGGGCTAATAGATATCTTTAGCCTGATATTAGGATAAATGTAGTTAAAAGTTTTTTTATTTTGACCACATGATCTATTGTTTAGAATTGAGTAAGATGTGGCGAACGAAATGCTTGAAGTTTGGTAACGAATTATTGTAGTTCTGTCACGACTCCTATGTACTGATGACAAGTATCTCTCTCTTTTAGTTTGAATAGTCTTTAACAAGCGAAGTCTGACAAATAAAGAAAGAAAAAGAAAGAAAAAGAAAGAAAAAGAAAGAAAAAGAAAGAAAAAGAAAGAAAAAGAAAGAAAAAGAGGATCAAAGATTTTAGAATAAAATATGGTACTTTATCCAAATAGCAACAAAACAATGAGTAAATAATTTAAGTACAAACAATGAATAAGACTTTGAAAACACGACATTTCCAGGATGTATATGTTATCGAATCATTGTCAAGTCTGTCACTTGCTCAAAATGTCATGTTTTAACATTCATTTTGGTCTTGGTAACTATTTGCTCATTGCCTAGTCTATTTGGACTGAAACCAACATCTAATTCTAAAGCTTTTTTGTTTTTCAAGTTCACTTTGACAGAAGAAACATCTTAAAATCGATGTCAACAGCATACAAATTTCCTTTCACCAATGAATGTGCTTTTTAATATGAATTTAAATGAGGTAATTTTGTAGAGTTAGCACTTTAGAACTGACATTAAATGGGGTTTATTCGTTGGAGGACGGAGCTTTTTTCATGGAACTGAACAATTTCTGCTCAATAGGAAAGCAGATATTGGCCAAAGATCTGAAGAAGATTCTGCTGAGCACTTGTCACTTATATTTTGCAACTGTGGCATTATTTTGCTTGACTTATGTATCCAAAAAATATCAGACAATGACGGATAGGGGGGGGGGGCAGGAAGGTCATGACCCAATTTTTGTCAAAACAAAAGAGTTTGTATGCATTTATACTTATATTATAATCTTTTAATGAAAATATTTTGTCACGAGTCGGGAATTCAATCTATTAAAACTAACCTTCAAGGCAATTCACAACACTAACTGGCCTACAATTAATAAACTCGAGCTGCAAACTTGTAACAGACTACTGCAAAGTAGTAACGAAACTCGTATAAGGCCATCACTAATAGCAGATACTTTTAAAGATGCCGCTGCAAAGTGCTTTAATGCCTTACCTGGACCTATAAAATTTCAGTCTAGCTTCACGACATTCTGTTTCCACTTAAAGACAGACACTTATCTATATTTCAAAAAATAATTTTTCAAAACTGTTTTTTTAAAAACAATACAAAAATTATCTTGCCTTTGGCCATTTGCATGTTCATTTTAAATTGAGCTTAAGAATAAGCAAAACTTTTCAGCTGCAATAAGATCGGAAACTGCGTTAAGGTCACTCTCATTTATGATACCGCTTCAACGAAAAGTCCGGACCAATGTCTAGAAGGTCTTGAAATATCCCGGGTTTAAGCGGTTGGTCTATGCTACTTGAAAATTGACAGAATCCCTGGAAACATGCAAAAATAATTTGGATTTTTTTGCACACTTTTCTATCTTTTACTTTACTGTAACTGTTTGAATGAAAACGATTCATCTTTGTGAATGAAAACGACTCACGGACGAATAGAGACATCTAGGATAGTTGGATCAATATATTTAGCTGACAAGAGTGCATGAAAGAAATGCAAAAAAGTATAATGTCATTAATAAATTGATGAATAAATTTTAAATGTAATGCGCTTCTAATTTTAAATGTATATCTATGATTTATTTAGAAATTCTTAAATTACAGCTTAAACTACCAGAAAAACATAAGCCTACTTTAATCAAGAAGAAAGAGTGATTCTAGAACATTCTCAAGGAAATGGCCTATACTCTCTCATGTTCCCTAAATAGACTACGTTCGATGAATGTTTGTGGGGTGTAGGACTGGGGTGGGGGTTGTTCAAAGGGGCTGAGCCCCCTTGTAAATAGCCTCTTACCTGGGCTCCTTTTTCGTTTCATGGCACATCACCACAGTGGCATGTATAATATTTCGTTATTGTTGGAGAAATGTCCATTCTATAATTTTATTGTACAATCGCTTATACAATTTTATGGTTCATGAGACCGTTTCAATTCAGACGGTAAAATGACTTATTCAAACATAACATGCACCCAAAAGTGCAAGAATTTATTTCAACATTATAGTTCGATAAATTTGTTAGTAAAAAAATCTTCTTTCATAATTTGTTTGCAAAAGCTAGATGCAGGGGTTGCCATTGCAACAAAACTTTTACTTCAAGGCTGAACCCTTGGCATTTACCAAAGTACTACATACAATTTCTGTCTATGTTTCTAACGTTTAATCAATCTTCTCAAAGTAGGCAATGAACGTATGCGGCAACAGATTAATTTTTGTATTATTCATAATTTGAAATTGCATTTGTCAGCCGTCCACTGTTCATTTCTTCTTGGAGTGGAATTCCTCGAGCTTTCCTCTTATTTCAGTGCATATCATCTCCAAACGATCTTCATTTATGTTATCACCAGGTATTTCAATATAACACGTGTTATTTTCCAGGCAAGTTGGTAGATGTTCTCTTGTTCCTAACAGGGGGATTACTTTCGACTTGTTGTCCCCCTCTTCCAGGAAATTGAGCACCAACTCACCATTAAGAGAAACTTTCACCCCATTAACGGTTATATCAACAACGGATTTATTATCTATGCAACTTTTCAACTCTTCTGAGCAGATGACTAAGATACCAGTGGACTGCGACAGATATCTCTGGAGTTTCACGTCGAATGTTTCGCCTTTTCTGCTGTCTCCACTTTTATGAACCTGTTCAAAGTCATTTACCTCAATTCTACCATCTGGTGAATCTTCGAACCAGTCCTTGATGTCCGTAGCTGTTTTACAGTGTTCATTTTTGCCAATCATTATCAATGCAGTGCGGATTGTGCTCTGGTCTTAAAGAGAAACATACGATGTGCTTGAAGTTAATAGTTTCTAGAATAAGCCCTGGCTTTGATAATAATAATAATAATGATAATAGTAATACAAGAAAGCAAATTAATTCTATCTGCAAAGAATTTCTTTTCCATAACGATTTTCTACTTTTTTTGTAGCATAAATTTTCTTAATTTATTTTCTTACTCATTCATAGTCTTCCACACCAATAAGCAACATGGAAAGGAGGCAGAAGGGGACTAGATTGATATTTGATGAATTTAAAATGCCATTCATCGTGTTTTAATTTATTTTCAAGTGGTTGGAAAACTGATGTCAATTGATTTTTCTCTACCACACAGGTGTCTTTAGATAAACATACATTGCTACGCTTGACCCGATAAAAAACTTTCCCTTTCTAAAACCTTGATTCTCCACGCCAAAATAGATTTTTGCTACTTTGGCCCCCTGTACATGATTAAAGCTACGATGCTTTAGCAAATCTTTCCGTCTTCAACAACTTCTTTAAGCAACCCATTATCTCTGCTGCATAAATAAATAAATTTTCGTTTTACCATTTTTGTAGAACCAAATGATGTAAAATTGTGCAATCGTTAATAAAGAGAGGTACTATTGACAAAGTGTTAAAATAATGAACATAATCTAAGTGAAAAAGTAGAAACAATCAATGAAAAAAATATATTGAAAGATTCAAAAAAATAACTAAAAGTAACGATGTAATGCATTTCGAGTGAAGATGGCTTTGATTTTATGATTATTACTAGCGTAAAAATTGAAGCTGACGAATTGAGTTGCTTAGTAGGAATTTTTGCTAATAAACATGTATTTAAACAGTCAGAAAGAGCGTATTATTATTCTAATCTTAGGTGCCTTATAAACGGACCCCGCACAATAAGTTTTGAGCACAATAAGTTACATTTTCCCAACACACCCCACTCTTGTTAAGACCCCCGCGCCCCGGCTTATTGATCTTTTGGTCATTGACCTTAAAGGTTGGCCAGTATTTTTTGTTGCAAATGTATCAAATTTAGTGTATCAAATCCTTCAGAGTTCGGCTACTCAATGTTCCCAAATGTATTTTTTATCCCAGGGAGAGTTTCACATTCGTATTATTTCAGTTTTCAATAATCAATCGCTTATTTTAAATGACATACCTTCCGCTTTGCCCGTCTCCCTGTCTATTGGTTGCCTATAAGTAGCATTCTATCTTTAAACTTTATGAAAATTACTGCTGACAATTAATGTTTGTCGGTCTGTTGCAAAGTGTCAGAGAAATCTTCATACTTCGGTGTGGCAGATCACGGCTTTATATCAAAAAGTAGCCAATAAAATTGCTTTATATTTCAATCTTGTTTGCCTTTAATGAAATTTTACTTCTAAAAATTTAAACTGGCCTAGATTTTTGTAACTAAATATAACTGTATTTTAATTAAGAAAATACGCACCCAGGGAAGCTCGTTAGTTTAGGAATGGTTGAATTTAATCAGGGGCGAAGCAAAAAAATTCTTGGAGGGGTGAAGAAATGATTATTGCTGACAAAAGGGCGTGTCTTACTCGTTTAGGGTATGGTCATAAGATAAACAATATGATATGCTGCTTCTTTGCGTTTCTATTAAAAATTTATAATAAGTGGCATACTTTAGAAGTTCAACTGCTACAGAATGGTTAATACGATACAACAAGATAAAACGACAATGGTTTCAAAAAGGCTATAATTATACCACAAAGTTAAAAAAAATTCTCTTTTCCTGACACATATCCTTTATGTGCCTTTGGACAAAATGCTGGGGGGGGGGTACAGAGCCCCATAACCTTCATTTCCCCTGAATTAATCATCTGACAAGAACAGGCTAGGAAAGACGGACAAACTAGCGAATTCGAATAGGATAATCCAATTGAACTCGTGTCATACACATGGAGGAGTTTTTTGACAGAACTAACGAATCACAAGTCACTTAGGGTCAGGGAACACTCTCTTGCCACTTCCAACATCCAGCTAAACATTTTCCCTATCCGGATTTGCTATACCCGTCGGAAAAACATTTTCCCATTCGTACTCTTTCATGGGCACCATGGTTCTCAAAGAATATCATGTGGAATACCATTGATTCAAAATTCAAATTTATTATCCATAAACAAAAGGAATCTACTAGCCTCTTATAATATAACCTTGAAAGTTAGAAATTTAAACCTTTTTGGTGTCTAATGCTTTCATTTCTAACTGGACAATTTCTTTTTGTTAATGCTAAATTTTCCTTCTAACAATTTTGCAATATTTTCCAAAAATGGTATCAAAAATTCTACATGTTCTTTCAAATAGTACCCGCAATTCCACACATATTTTTAAAACAGATACCAATAATTCTGTACTTTTTAGAAAAAAGGTATCCCCGAAATAGTGGCACATCTCCGTACCTCAAAACCTAAATAATGGTACCCCCAAGGATTTTCTAACCTAGCATTCAAATCATTATTCATTGTAATCAGAATGTAAGCTGTCGAAAAGTGAAAGTTTAGTTGGCCACTATGATATTTGGCAATATTATATGGCCATGAAGGTATGGATATAGGTCTCGCCTTACCCTGTGAAGAACTGTTGAGTTTCTCGCCTACCCTGTGAACTAAAGTTGCATTGTCATTAGGAAAAGTCAAGAAAAAGCAAATATCTCTAAGAGAATCATCGTACATGACAATTCACCTCCTTACACTAACGCCTAAATAACACTATATTTCTACGAAGGATGACAGAGCTCTTTAATTAATGGGAATAGTGGGAGGATAAGCAAAAAGGGTGCTTTTTTTACAATTTCAAAAACTTTCAAAATGTAACAAAACCAAAATTGCCAGTATAAAGATGCTTCTGGTCATGTCTTAAGAAGCACCTTTATACTGGCAATGTCTTAAGGTCATTGCCTCGTCCTTTGCCCTATTGTATCAAAAATTATCTATCAATAATGGCCGCTGAAGGTCAGGCAAACATAAAATGATAGATCGTTTAAATTCCAGGAAAGTTTGCAATTCTCAGCTCATTCTCACTTACGAAAACGGTATCACCTGGCATATACGAATACAAATACAACACATCGAATATATGAATATTTGATTTCTAATAATTTGTGCTGCTGTAATGAGCTAAAATGGCTGCTCCACCCAAGAGCAAACAAAAGCAAGTATAAGTAAACGCAAGCTAGCATGAGCGAGCACAAGCGAACACAACCAACAACAGTGGCAGCAAGTAACGATGTAGCGAGGAACACAGTGTCTTCGATTAGGTCATGACACGCCTTAATATTCCCGCAATGTAGGCTCCTCTCGAGTAAATATCTCAAAACATATCAAATAACAAGCTTCATAGACGTAACGATAAAAGACGATCTTTAGAAAAAGCATTCTATCGTTAAAAATTATAACACTTACGAGACGAATGCATGGAACTTTGATTTAGGCTGCGCTTATAATGTTTGTTTTATGGCTCTGGTAATATGGCTGCCGAAAATCTTCCTTGCAGCTAGTACTGTTGCAAACCAACAGCCTTTGCAGGAAATTGGTTTCTTTTATGGAAATTCTTCACTCCTTGCCGCCCAGAACCAACCTTGGCGAAACTTTGTTGCGTTAACATCCCGAGTTGATATCAAACGACACAAATTAGCTGTCAATTTTACATTAATCCTCCGCAGATGCAGCGCCTGTTCGAAGAGATTAAACGCCACGCATCTGCTGCACAGCATCCGATTTGAAAACGTCAGTTTGTCTATTTTGGTAGATTTTATAATGCAAGTTGTTGTCTGGTGACTGCATTAAACGTGGTGAATCTTAGAGTGGTAACATTTTGTTCAAAATTCTCAATACAACTACGACTAATAGGCATCTGCAAAAATTGATTGATAGTGTTCTAGTTTCAGAAACTGATAATACGAAGTTATGGTACTATCTTTCATTATAAGAAACATGTTTATGAATTTTCTAAAAACCTATGGATAAAATTTTCAAAATGAAAATAGTTGCTCGAAGTTGTGTTTTCTTATCAAATAAAGTCCTTACCTTAATTTTAGGATCACAAATTGAAATAATCCCGTTAAGATCAAGTGAAAGTCTACAAGACGCTTTAGTAAAAACTATAAACAAATTTTGAGTTTTATTTATCATTAGCATTTATTGGAGAAAGCATTCCGTTAAGGAAACTGAAGTGTAACAGACTGACTCTAATTAGTTAATTTAGCATAATTTAGCATAACTTAGCTAATATATATCTAGGTGCTATAGGCCTGGATTTTTGACATATCAGGTTTCTTTGTAAAGAGAAAAAATTTTCAGGATACTTATTGGTCGATTTAGGCAAAGTAAAATTTACAAACATCGACAAAGAAAAGCAAAGTAAAATTTACGAAAGACAAAAAACTTCATAAAGTAAAAAAGAAAATCAAGGCAAAAAAGATCAATAAACAAATGTGAAATATAAACCAAACAGAGCAAAAATGAGCAAAATAAAGCAAAACAAGACAAAGCGAAGTTAAACAAATGAAAGCAGATGCCATAAAAGATAAAAACAAAACAAACAAAGAGCAAAACTAAAGCCTGATTTACACGAGACGAATTTTTTCATGCGAAGCGAATTTTTCGCCGCGAAAAATATGCGCAGAAGAAGAGATTAGAAAATTCGTAGCGAATTCGCAGCGAATAATTTGTTGCAAAAAAGTAGAAACCATTCCTACTTTTTCGCTGCGAATTTTTTCGCCTTGTAAAATAAACCAATCAGAACAGCATTGGAAGACACCTGACTTCTGTTTTGGTTTCGGATGGCCTACGTCTTTCCGCATTCTTCTTCTCAAACACTCTCGCCTTTAAACGTCATTATTTCATTTGTTGGTAATTATTCATTTCCTGTTCCTCGTACACAATCCATGTAAGTGGATTCATAGCAGATTATTATTCAAACATTTGAAGTTCAAATTGATGAAAACTGGCTTGAAAGTTTCATCGTTCTACCAATATGTCAGAAATAAAAAGAATAGGCAAGAATTTTCTTCAAATTGCTTAACTGTTGGTTGCTTATTGGTCGCTTTTTGCTGTTTTGCTTGCTTTTTTAATAATGCAATACTCGCAGCAAAATCGCATAAAAATTTCTGCCAGTGTAAATTGAACTTCGAATTCGAGAGAAAAATTCGCAGCTAAAAAATTCGCTTCACGCGAAAAATTCGTCTCGTGTAAATCAGGCTTAAGAAAACAAAGAAATGTATAATAGAACAGATAGAATGAGAACAAAACAGCAAAATAAGGCGAAAAAAGTTACGCGGAGAAAAACGAAATAAAAATTGAATACAATGCATTCATTCAATATTTTATATTTCTAAATATTTTCGGTTTTCATGCAATTCTATAGAAGAGTTAAATCTGGTTTTCAAGAAAATTCAATTTTCCTCTTACATTCAATCATCACCCGACGTTTATGCTCTAAAGAGTATGGCTTTGAAAAAAGCATACATTTTGTAACATACTGGCTAAAAGCTTTTTTGTCTGACACTTCTCAGAGCATAAAACGTCAGAATAAGAGTCCGAAAGAACACGATGAAAAATATATACCCAGTTGTGGATCGAAATAGGCCAATCAGAAAAATGCAAGCACAAGACCGGTATAGTTGACCAATCAGTGTCGCGTGCCTAAGAAAAATTACCACTGGAGTCCAAGAGAGAAAACGAACTCCTTCTGTCTACACAATGGCGGCTTTTTCGTTTGTAGGTAGATCGATTTCAAAACTGCTAGATGGAAGGACAACCGGGCTCTGCCAATTAAAGAGTGTAGGACAAGATGTAATTTGGTAGGCAATGTTTCCGCTCTTTCGTGCCTTCTTCAAAATTCAGTTTGTACCTCACTAGATAGTGAGCTGAAAATTGAAATGCACATCTTTGACACTGAAGGTAAAATATTCTGCGTTTGTACATAGAAGCTAATTTGTACGAAAGATTGGTAATGTATTTAACGTGCCAATTTTTTGAGAAATATTTTCTAAAAGTCTTCTCTGCTAAATACAGTTTTCATTTACTTTTCTAAATTTAACTTTCAATTCATCAATCATGTCTTTGGACCATCTGAAAATGAATTAGTTTGTTTTAGCAAGATACATAACATTGTTTGCATTTATTCTATCTAATTATTTCCTCTGCAATGATAATCAACGATCCCTTACACATTAAAAAGTAATTTGTTAGTTTCCCTGTACCTGGATCACGACAAGCGATTAAACACATAGGCCGTAGAAAATAGAGAATTGTGTCTTTATATCCCAATGTCTACTGATAAAAAGTTTTTGCAGTAAATGCATATATCTAGAAAGGAAAAAGATTTCAAATCGACTCACCTAGTTCTGTGATGACAGTAGAGACCTTGCTTTCTTCAGAATTATTTAGCTTTTTGCTCCCTTTTTGCCCCATTCTACAACTAAAAAAACAAACGTGATATCGAAAAATAAAAAATAACAACAACGGGCATAGCTAAGATTGGCAGTATGTCGACCATTTATTGATAAATAAAAATGAGAAATTCACATCGTTATTATCTCGAATAATGACTCAGATCTTGATTAAATATTGTTGCAGTAGTTATTTAAATTCAAGCTGAATGTTTAATCTAAAACAAAATAATTTACATAATTGATTATTTGTTTAATAAGGTAGCGTGTAACTCAAATCAAACAAAAAATATTTTTTATGAATGTTTGGGTATTATGCAGAATTCATCGCAAAGTTTTCCAAAAACAACAATGCAATATTTAATGTAAATGTGTAGGTTTAAGACTCACATACCAAAGTTAACTTTCTAGCTTTCTGTATTGATTGTGCGATAAAATTTTAATTCCAGCAGCCTATATCTAATAGGCAACAGGCACGACAAAAAATTAACATAGAATAAAATTATTATGGTTTCTTAGTCTTTATAGTTTTATCAATCATCTTAATAATTTATGAATTTAATTATTTGTATTTAATTTTTAAAAATTTATCATGTATATTGTGTAAGCAAGTTTAACAATAAGTTTTGGCCATCAGAGTTATGATCTGCAACAATTTTCTTGGTCTACAAGCTTAGGCCTGACTATGGCACCCTGTCTTATTATATAAGCTATCGTTTGTGGAAAGGGAGAATTGAGAAAATGTTTAGTCAGAATGGAGTTTTGGTAGGATGTTCTGTCTTTTCAAATTACAATATGTCTCCTATATTTAATCTTAAGTAGATATTTTGTTATTGTTACCTTTGTATGCATCAGCAAGATTAAATGGAAAATTCAATAGTTAATAGGCGTTCTGTAGAATGACAAAAGACATCAATTCTAGAACAGCGTAGTTGACACCTGCACAATGCTAACGAACATGGGTGATATTAGCAGGATTATGGCCTTCAGCGATCAAAGATTTCTTTTTACAAAATATATTTACTTTTAAGCATTCTAGCTGTAATGCTGAAATAAAGACGAGAAAAGAAAGCTTGCCAAATACTTTTTCGTTATCAGCGATGACACTCGACAGTGACATTTTGACCTTTGAAACAAATACAATTTGCACGAAAGCATTACCTCGTTTTCTGTTTGCAACAAATTGCTTTGAAGCACGTTGTTATATATATATATATCATTAAAACAACCTTTGATAACGTTTTGGATTTATATGAACGAAGAATGTTTCGTAGAGAAATGACTCTCTTCGTGAAATCATCATATCTTGATTAAATTCTTCTTGATTTTTATAAAACTACAAACTGTAATATCGTTATTGAAATATATTTTCAAAATCGGAAAGAATCAAAACCGGGGGTAAATAGTCAAAGCAAAATATGGTATTCAGATATTGTTGTCATTGTTAGAAGACAGCTCTAGTAAAGCAGGAAGTAAAAATTGGAAAACTTGCCCGTTTACGTGCATTCAAAACCATAAAATTGCATCTAATTTACTGCAGCATAGTTCTTAAGTTATAACTTTAAAATATCTAGAAATTTGTCGGCAATTTAAGAGGAAGTAACGACCTTTGAGCTTTCTATATCGATAAGAAATTTAAATCGAGAGCAACCTTCAAACCACTAGTTTATCTTTGCTATCTTTCTATCAAAGTGCCATTGAATTTTGTTTGTGTTAACCCGAATTTGGTCAGGCCTAAGTTCTGAAGCTAACTTGTTTTGTTTTGACGTGAATGCTTTGTCATGTTCAGAAAATAGTAGCCACAATTTTCATGCAATAATTTTGAAGTCTGTCATTCAACGATTACGAGAAACACAGTCTACATGAATAATACATCTTGATTATGTGTCTAGCCAAAGATAATTTCTAGATAGATGATCTTCGCTTCGTTCAAGTTACTTTGTTCGATGGGCAAACCAAACTGACTACCTGTATAAAAGTTTGAAATGGGCTGCATTACTCACGTGATATGATTATGCTTGACTTTTCTTCTTTAAGATAATTGAAATTCCTTCACCTTTTGGTAATCTAGCAGAAGTGATGTTCCAATCCAAAAAGTTGACGGCTATGAATACAGCAAGAAGCCCTAGAAGATGTATTATTCTACCAGACAGTCATTTCACGTGAAGAAGCAGGTACTTCGCAGGTGTTTAGCGATCTTCGATCAAGATATTCTTATAAGCGAGCTTCAATTATTTCTATTGATCCTTTTCCAAACCTGAACAAAAGGATTATCTTTATGCGGGCAAGGTACAGCATATTGTGACCGCATACACTTAATTCTAGGGGCATCTGAAGAGAAAGTGTGAAAAGTGGAAAAAAGGCCGTTTAGATTCTCGAATATGTCGTTCTTTCTGACTTTCATCGCTTTAAGGTATACAAGGAACGAGATAGATTTGAAGATAGTTTTTCCATAATCGTAAAAGTCAGTGGCAGACTGCCAACTGATCTGGGACCTGTGATATGTTGGTGATGCATCCTCGTTCAATTGGGGATAACTCGGGAAAAGAATTAATTATTGCAGGATCTTTATCTTAAAATAAAGCCCAACAATTCTTTAACTGTGCTTTTGTAACTAACTTACTACATTAATACATTAATACTTACTACATTTTGTAACTAGCTTTACGAATATTGATCTAAATATGGGTATGCTAGAAAACTGTATCAAGTAATCTAGGTCAGCGACAAATGTAGATACGAGTCTTTTTTCTCTCTTTCCTTTTAACAGAGCCCTTATCTTTTTCTTTCTTAATCTTTCTTTCTTGCCAGATGATAAACGCACTCAAAATAGAGGGAGAGAGAGACTCGTAGCAAGTCCAGGTCAGGTTCAACGTGAATGATTTCGGGTCTACGTTTGGGTAGGGCTTGCACACTTTGTATCATTGTTTTTGTATCATCGAGTGTTGCACGTGAAAGAGAAGAATTAAGCAGATGCTTTAGCCAGGATGGATTGTTGAGAAAATAATCTGCGTTATTCAAAGTGTATCTCATAAACAAGTTCTTGGTTGCGGAGGCTGTTACTGTTGCCTTTGTATGATGTAACAAGGTCGAACTGAATATTTGATAGATCTAGCACACCTGCACTTTTGTCAAAAAGTTGATATCTTTATAGTATTGAGCTTCTATTAGAGACGAACACGATACTCTTAATAAATCATGTCATTGCAAGATACTGTTATTGGTATAATGAAGTATCTTGTTACTTCAAAGGCATATCACTGTCTTTTGAAAATACTCAAGATAAGATGTTCATACACCTGCACTTTTGCCAAAAAGTTGATATCTTTATAGTATTGAGCTTCTATTAGAGACGACCACGATACTCTTAATAAATCATGTCATTGCAAGATACTGTTATTGGTATAATGAAGTATCTTGTTACTTCAAAGGCATATCACTGTCTTTTGAAAATACTCAAGATAAGATGTTCATACACCTGCACTTTTGCCAAAAAGTTGATATCTTTATAGTATTGAGCTTCTATTAGAGACGACCACGATACTCTTAATAAATCATGTCATTGCAAGATACTGTTATTGGTATAATGAAGTATCTTGTTACTTCAAAGGCATATCACTGTTGATATCTTTATAGTATTGAGCTTCTATTAGAGACGACCACGATACTCTTAATAAATCATGTCATTGCAAGATACTGTTATTGGTATAATGAAGTATCTTGTTACTTCAAAGGCATATCACTGTCTTTTGAAAATACTCAAGATAAGATGTTCATACACCTGCACTTTTGCCAAAAAGTTGATATCTTTATAGTATTGAGCTTCTATTAGAGACGACACGATACTCTTCAATAAATACATGTCATTGCAGATACTGTTATTGGTATAATGAAGTACCTTGTTTCTTCAAAGGCATATCACTGTCTTTTGAAAATACTCAAGATAAGATGTTCATACACCTGCACTTTTGCCAAAAAGTTGATATCTTTATAGTATTGAGCTTCTATTAGAGACGAACATGATACTCTTAATAAATCATGTCATTGCAGGATACTGTTATTGGTATAATGAAGTACTTTGTTACTTCAAAGGAATATAACTGTCTCAAAAAGTTGAAGATAGTCAAGATAAGATGTTACTCATCATTGGCCCTCATTAGTGTGGAAGGCTTTTCTATATGACAAGGTTGGATAATTGAAAAGTACAGTGACTCCTTCCTGACAGTATTTTGAACTAGAAACGGTACTTATAAATACTGTGCTTAGAACAGTGCTACGGCTTTTTATAACTTTGGGTTGAGGCTTTTTGTACATTTTTGTACAGTGGTCTGTCGCTTTCTTCCCCCAGTGATGGCACTCTAAAGAGAGAGCTACAATTTATTAATCATTGTTGCGAGGGTCTGATAACTGTAAGCATTTGTTCTTTAGAAATGTTTAGGGTATCTGCATTGAGTCATGCTTTAAATCTTACTATTTCAACTTAGTCCGAAAAACTGTATTCAGACAGCTAGCTTTTTGTCAAATGATGTCATAAAATTCTCCGTAAAGAAATATTGTTCCATACAGTTGTAGTTTAGCGTTGATTTCAAAAACTTATACACAAAACAAATGTGCATGAAAACCATTTGGAAGTTACTTTAGACAGGGAAAAAAAGAATTTTGTCCTAATTTATTTGGCGTAGCTCTCATAGGCACCAGACCTCTCCTTCTCCGGTAAATACCACGTATCGTTCATCTAATGAATGTTATATCAAGATCTTTCACAAATCTCTATTCTTATTTTGAAACACGATTCTTCAGAAAATGACCGCCAAACCATCTCTAATAAAAAGACATTGAAATGAATATTGCTTCACAACCTACGAATAAGACCATACACGTATTTATTGGGTTGTTACAGGGGCGTACCCCACCTTTGGAAAGTTAGTCGGTAAATTTTACGGATGGTCGGTAAATGTTATGGATTATCGGTAGAGCCGTAGCTTGACTTTATAAAGTATATTGGTGTGTATACATTGACAAGCAAGAGTTGAATTTTGGTCGGTAAATTCACCCGTTACACCCCACAACTCCTAGACCTTGAAAGAGAAGTCTAAAGGTTCAGGGATAGGGACTGCCCCCAAAAATTTCAAAATTTTCTTATGTACATACACTATACAATAAATCAACTTGTTCTGTACTGTAAGATGTTAAGTTCTACGTGCTTCCCTTTGTTGAGGTATCAATGTTGCAAGTTAAGGAAAGCTTAGTTCGCTTGTGGATATCTATTCTATTTGCCCCATTCCGATCTCAAATGAAAGAAAAAGAGTTTCGCTCTTCTTTTCTTATTTAACCTCACGTGTTACTCTGTTTTATTTTGTTCAGTTTTCGTCTGTGCATGATATATGCGACGATGTTCCACAGAAGAGCCACAAATTCTATGCACGTGACTGCCGAGACACCAATCCATAACCCAAGTTGACCACCAATGTCAGACATCAAATTGTCAAACTAAAAATAGAGAAGTGTTAAATTTTTATTCATGAAAAGTCACCTTTTCACGAAAATGGGAACTTCTTTTGATTGTAAATGGTAAGCTGCGTTTAAGATTGTTTGTTGCTCGAACACGTGCTTGACTGGTCGACATTGTGATTGGTGGAAATGATATCTCACTATTTGACTGAAGGTGTTTCGGCTGATAGGTTTTTTTAAATATACAGATTAACAGCCAGATGTTTGATAGTGAGCACGTGGTCGAATGAGAAGTACTGTAAGTCTTTGAGTGTGTGCACCTTTTCAAATAAGCATCCTTCCGCTTCACCGATACGGTTTAAACACTTAAAAAAAAATTTTGAACGTAGATTAGATAATGACCTGAAAGACGTGATTTCATTTTTCGCCTTTCGTTTTGATTTTTGCCTATCTGGCATCCTTGAAATTGGAACGACTTAGAATTTTCTGCCTCCACTTTCGAATCCTTTGCACAAGACATTTCTCAAACAAGCAAACACCTAACGCTGAAGTGACTTCCCCCTTTAAGCAAACTGAAATTTATGATGGCATCGGGCGATCCTTTAACAATTTGAGGTATTTCAAGTCACTTGAGCTCAATTCCGATGTTACATTTCAACAAATTTTGGAATTCATGACTGGAATTCATGTAGCAAACGATAAAATCTTGGCGCTAACACTTTCAGTATCTTTGTAATCCAATAAGTGGCAAGAAGTGAAACTTTATTTCTTTTAACATCCACATTTATTCACAGTACCCTCAAGTCTTCTGCTCGTTTTCCAGTCTCTTTGTCTAGACAGTAAATAAATATTTTGTATTTGATATTAAAAACTGTTTGAAGTAAATTTGCCGGGGGGGTCAGAAGGAGGGGGGGGAGGGAGGAGGTTGCTCTCTGTAGAGCTAAACTGCAATATTGCCGGGAAACGTTCAATTTTTTCAGAAATATAGCATAACTTTCTATTATCCAAGTTTTCCATTTTGAGAAGACAGAATTTAAAGCTGAATGTTACGTAAGAGTCTCTGTATATATCTATTTTAGTGTTGATGTCGCCCCTACTATGACTTTTCCTATCTACGCTGCTAATGGAAAAAAATAAACATATCCAATAATAAACAAATAAAGGCACCTTGTAATATGCCTTCGTTGCCACTGTTTGCACTGTTTGGTCTCTGTATTTAATTTCAATCAGGATGATATTCTCTCTGGAAAAAAGTGACTAGGAGACTAAGCTACGACTAGAATTATAATATACAGAATATTTTGTAAAAGCTTTCCTGCTCTACATTTGAGATTTACTTAATGAAAATAATTAATCTCAAAATCTATCCTGGTTAAAAAAAAGAGGAATGTTCTACTCCCTATTGTTTTAATTTTTTTATAAATTTAAAGGAACAAACAATTTTTTACAAAACGATACCAGTTGGGAGTATGGAGATGAATAATTGCCCTGCGGCCATTACACTTATTATACAATGTATATTACAAAAAATATTAGATATAAATAAAGGAAATTTTTACACGAATGTGTTTCCCTGTTTTACCAATACTCGCTTCCATCTAATGTAGGTACCCTGGGTACAATAGATATAATTGGGAGGGAAGTGGAGATGGGAGCTTCCCCCAATTTTTTGACTCTGGTAACAAGGGTATGACGATATGACGTAGGTAGCTACTTACTTGACATATGCTGTTGTCATGTTCTTGATGGAATGGATTTTCTAAACGAGATAAACAATAGGCAGATAAATTATTATTTCAGCGTAAAAAGGGCAAGATTAAAATCGCATGGAGATGGGGCTAAAATGTTTTCTTTCGGCACTGCATCAGCCATGTCGACAAAAGTAAACTTTAGCATCAGTCTCAGGCACGCCAAACACAATTTGGATAGAGTAGGGTGGTGGATTAGCTAGGGGGATCTATACAAAGTTTCAAACTCTTATGGTAGTTTGTCTGTTATGGTAGTATCATCTTGATGCTGTAATGTTTATCTCATACATCAGCAAAATGAAGTTGGAGGAAGGGGGGAGCTACAGTTCCCCCAGCCCCTGATCCCCTTGCGTCCCTGAGTATGGACAGCATGGCGCCTAACAATGCGATAATGAATGACTTTAACTCTTTCTGTCAGTCATTGAGCACTCGTATCATTTGGATTCGTCATTCAGCATGATTTAAGGTGCAAATAACTTCAATAAATAAATTGCTCATTGTTATTGTCCAGCCCTGTTTTATTTCATAGAATTCCAAAACCATGGTAACATAGCACTTTTCTTTAGAGGGCTTTACTTACTAAAAATGGCAGAAATGTTGTTCTAGGGTATTTTGGAAAAATTTTTAAGAAAGAAGAAAGAGAGCAGGGCCCCCAATCGCAATGGCCCTTTCTTCCTTAATCGTAAGTTGATACAAAGTTGCCTTACTTATCGCTTCTTAACAAATTTCTAACATCTTCTTTCTAATAATTTCTAATAAATTTCTAAACCTCCCTAATAAACCTTTCTAAACCTAATAAATTTGAATTGATCGCAGACATTTCTCGTGGCATGTAATTTGAGACAGACTATAGTAGTTTATTTTAACCTCTGTGTCTATGGCCCCGGGGTAGTCATAGTCTTTTGCTCCTCGGGGTATCGTCCGAGTAGTATTGTAAAGTAAATTTGTAAGAAGCGTAGCTTGTATTTATGTATTGTAACTTTTTAATGGACATATATAAAAAAATTCTAATTCTAAGAATGCTAGAATAGAAGCTAAGAATGTATGAGCAATCCAAGAAAGATTTTTCAAAAATTTACCAGGAAACGTTGATCAAAAAGTGATGGACCCAAGGCCCTTTGCGGCGGGGTGTGGTGGCATAAGCCTCAAAACGTTATTTCAAAACACTCAGCCTTTCAATTAGATTAAAGTGGCTAAGAGTTATTTTCCCGGGGATGACCTCCTCAATCACTTACTTTGATCAAACCCTGTAATTGTTTATCTTTTATATTTATAATCAAAATCTCTTCTTGCTAAAGTTGTGAGATAAATCATAAGCTCCTGAATTTATCAAATGCAGTAAAACCAGTTTAAAAAGCCTGAACGGAAAAGAAATCTGCAAATTACTTACCAGAAAGCCAGTAGGGTACACGTTAGCTTGAGAAATTGACTTAGCGAAAAAGATTTCCCTTAAAAAAGAAATAATTTATCTGAAAGAAGATTTTATCCATCACTAACTTCGATTTTTGACTTTTTGATTAAAAATTTTGATGCCTTGCTTGGAAGGGAGGGAGGAAGGGAGTGGAAGGGAGGGAGGAAGGTGAAGCACAGAGCTAAAAAGGCTTTGATTTTATAATATAAGTAAAGTACAGGATTGGGAAGGTCGATACGTTGAATTTGGAAAGCTATCAACCCCTCGGTTTTTGGTATCTTTTAGTCGTTATACACAAAGAATTGATTGATTTCAAAAATCTAAACGATATTTGGCTTTTTACTGTTTCAAAGAGCAGGACATGTATGGCTCTTTTAGAAATAAAGTTGGCTCGAAATAATTACTTTTAAATATAGCAGATTGTGATATTGTATCAATGTAAAATAATATAAGTTTACAAAATAGCAAATTTTCAAGTTTCTTTAATAGCACAAAGCATAAAATTCATTGTATTACCTGCAAGGTTGTGGGCATTTACTGTTGCATTCTATTAACCCTCGTGAGAAATTTCCATGCACAAACATGATGCATTGTTCTGGAGAAGAAAGTCAGCATAGAGTTTCAGGCTTGCGCAGTTTATGTTGATAAACTTTTTCAGTAAATCTCAAGTTTTACGAGAACCTCGTCTGATTCAAGAATAGCAATTTGATTTTGAAAAATACCAAAGGTTGGTAGATAATCTTATAGAAACATCAGGATTTGTGAAAACCTAACATGAACAAAGAATTAAAAAATTGTGTCTTCATATGCACAAAACAAAATGTTCATAAATAATCTGTCAAAAACTTGCAAAAGAAAGAATGAGGTGTGACAAAATTGGATAATAATTCTGTTTTCAACTAACCCCGTGACGGTAACAAGAAATTAGCAAAATTTGGGGATGAGCCCTCTTCCCTCATCACAAGAATGCTGAGCAGTTTATGTAGGAGATAAGCAAAAGTATCCCTGCTTTGCAAAAAAACAAATGACGTTTTGCTAAGAAGAAAACTCAATCTATTGCTAAAAATCCTGATAAGAGGTACCTACTTCAACGCATAAATTATTTGACAAGAAAAAATGTTGAATGCACCTACTTTCCTCCATAGCTTTGCATGCCCTTGATTCTACGAGTTGTGAATACTGTACGTCAGTGCAGTTACAAAGTCGTATCTGGGTGTTTCCTTTGCATTTAGCCACACAGTCCTATAAAATAAAAAAAAGAGTTGAATTAGTCTTTAGCAACGAAGTTTCTACTCGATTTAAGTATTTTCAATTCAGGTTAACATAGAAAACAAATAATTATTTAAAATTTTGCTAAAATGATTTGATGTATCTTCCTTCAAACAAAAATTTGAATCTAGAAAAATTTGAGAAACAAATTTTTTTCTAAAATAAAGATGGTGAAAATCTATAGGATGTTGGGTATCCCTCAAACGAGGCTCGTTAATTGTATTTGGTTAGATCATGAAGATCTTATGTGATGTAAATATTCAAAACATAAATTTTCTTGAAGTAATAAACTTAAATTTTGTTGCTCAGTCCAGAGCTTTTAGAAACTTTTATACCTGAACAGAGTATTTCCTCGTTTCAGAGCCAGCAGCTCTGCAGCTTCCGTTGCCATGGACGTCTTCCCTTTCAACCACGCTCTGTCATTGAGGCAGTAATATTTCAGAATCATTTCATATATGTAAAAGTCCAATACAAATACTATAAAAGAACTTGAGGGGCAACATAATTTTAACGTCTTGACTAATACTGAATATATACTAAAGAAGAATAAAGCATTGAAAAACAACAAAATAACATAAACCATTACATCATAAAATTGTATGTAACAAGAATTTTTTTACAAAGAATCTCTCTCAACAGCAAGGCTAATCGAGGACACACATTAATAACAGCAGTTTTAACTCGTTGAAGTGTATATCCTGTTTAAATATTCGTCTTATCATTATTATTATTATTATTAGGAGGAAGAATTTCCTTTTTAAATGTCCTGATTTAGTTACCTAAAAGAAGTTTTTACTGAATTTGACAAAATTATGGGATGCAGGTAGGCTTTAGACTTCAACTGGAGGTTGAATGGGGTTCATTTTACAAATTTCTAAGTATAACGTTCAAAAGATTCGTCATTTGAGTCCTATGGGTACCAGAGCCATTTGAATTTGAGCTCGAGATCTCTTCAGCTTCACCTTCATTTATTTGCAATCATTTGATGTTAAATTGGATAATATGCAAGTCTCATCATGGCCAAGAGGCTACAGGGAGTCACATTCAAACAGTCCTTCTGTTGTGCGCTTGTGATCATGTCTCTTGCAAATCCATGGGAGATGCTTCAATACCCAGCCATTATTAACCGAATTGTTAACCGAATAAGCCGAATTAACCATTTCATCTATCGTTTTTTGAACTTGTTGTTTTGTTGTATTTATTTGTTCTTTATGTATTTTAAAGCTCAAGGCCTTCGAAAGAGGGCGGAGACCTATAATTATGTTCTAGCCTTGCGATTTCCTAGAGAGAATTAACTTTTTTACATATCATGATGGTCTTGAATGGAAAATAGACGGTACCTGGGTCATTTCATGAGACTTTCTTCAAATTCAAACAGTCAAAATTCAAAAGTCTCAAAAATTCAAATTGTAAAAAGTACGCAGACACAAACAGTAATACATTTAACTTGCAGCAAAGTTGCGTCGTATCATCTCGATTTACGCCGATCAAACAAATGCCAATACACTTTATGCTTTTTTGGTCAAATACCTTTTTTATGGATATGCTGGCTGACATCCCTGGGGCAATGCTGAGCGCTTTCTCAAACGGATAAAGCGGCATGTCTTGGTCTTCAATTAGGATACGGATTCCTTCTTGCAGCGTTAGACTTGGTATGTATTCACTCTTCTTCATGTCGATTGTTATCCGCAGATCTGTTTGGCAAAGCAACGATAATCGTCGTTTTACTTAAACGCTTTCCACCATATTTCAACTTCTATGTTTTCAAAGTCTCTTATGAGTTTATTCGATCATGAACACAGGGAATCAACAGCTAGCCTAAACTATCACGATTCAAATGTAATTTGGATATTCTTCAGAGACATGGAATCTGCGTTTTGTATTTGTTTTGTGACAAATAGATAAGCCAAAGCTGTATCTGTCAGAGTCATCGTAGCATTGGTCAATAAAGTAATTCATTTTATTGTTGAAGTGAGGGCGATAAATTTACCTGTTCCTCCATCGCCACTTGAAACGAGTGGCTCAATAGCAGTTCCATTATCGTATGTGTAGCCGTTGAACGTGAAACAATTGCCATATTTCCAATTCCAGGTTCTTTTCCAATACTTTGTTTCAAAGTATCTAGAGAGCAGGTAATTGAAAGAAGCTTTTATATCTGAACCAACGAACAGGAACAATAAAGCCTTATCAAGAAATTTTTCTTTATCTTGATTACGAATGGTCACATAAAAGTGACTTTCTTTCAATAGATGACATCTTGGGACATTTTGCCCGTAGTGTTGATTTATTTTATTGTTTATTTTGGATATCCCTGTGTAGCAAACCCGTTGCACTATTTTCGATGCGGAAAGCAAGTAAATGTGACAGGAAACAATAAATTTGTCTTGGATCGGAATAGCAAAAATGAATAAAGAAAAATGTTCTGAAAAGAAAAAATAAAGCTTCAATGAGACATGCAAAAACGTCCATGAGATTAAGCTATGCTCTACCTAATAAAAAAGTTGGTTCAAATTGAAAACAATTTAAATTGAGGAGATCAAGTTTTTGATCCAGATTCTTTGGTTTTAGATTTCAGTGACAACGTACGCATGGCTTTTAGATCCGAATGCATTTGCTAGCAAATAAATTATCAAAATTTCACTTATTCAAACGTACCCATGGTTGCATCGAAGTCCTGCCCAGCTGCAATAAGTGATAAAATCGTGGAACTGATATGAGTTCGTAGTGCGATAATCAAGTGACTTCGAATTTATCTCAGCAATCACGTCACCTATGACGTCATTAACTGAATCGACTTTGATATTGGACATGTTCAGTGCTGTTCCCATCTGCCTTGTGCTAGCAAAGAAATTCTTTCGGACGTCAGTCGTTGTCCTGTTCTTGTTGAATATGGAGTTTTTTTGTTCAAGCATCGATTTTACTTTGGATTTAAGCAGCATGTTGAAGTTGCAAATTGTCACACCAGGGAAGGTGAGAAACTGGTTGAAAAAATTAGAACGTGTAGAAAGTGCAAAAAGGATCATTTTTTGAGAAATGATAAAGCTATACAATTAGGGAGGCCATATGAAATAGAAAGAACACGAAGATATTATAATAAGTGCCCAGCATTTGTTTATACCTTGCAAGTACCTTTTTCTTGAGCTGATGTTGCATTAAATGAAATTGTTATTACATAAACTTTCTATATTTTAAGGATACAAATGCAAAAATTTTCATAAGATTGCGTTCTTAGTTTGCAGAATCAATGAAACATAATATCAAACCAAAAGAAAAATATTTAATGCATTCAAAAAAGTTTTGGAAGGTTTCTAAACAATGAAAGAGGCATCTAAAAGGAATCAAAACAGTAAATATTTATTGTTTGATGCTGCTTTAAGTAGAGAAAGGCATAAAGATGAAGCTAAAATTAATTTTTAGTGAAAACTGTAATATGCCTAATTTCATGGGTAGACTAAACTGTGATTAAAGCACCTATTCTATGAAAGTACCCTTTTGGGGTCACACCCTGTCAGTCTCCTTACCTCCTCGTATGATACACTTATTCCCGTGCTAACAGGACGGGACGTATACAGAACAGCTAACTTAACAACCATCCATGTAAAACTGATCATAACACCAAACCACACTGCTAGCCAAGAGAATTTGAATCGGTAATCGGAAGACGCTGCGATGCGCCCAACGCCATGCGCAGTGGTAGTCGATGCAAAATCAGAGAGTAAAGTTGTGATGCCACTGTCCTGGTCAAGATTCTCCTTCCCATTCGCTCGTGTTTGCGGATGTGGGTTATCCTGGGACAACAAACATGATATTATTCTTTAAGTGAAACGATGGTACACTGTTTTAGGAAGGGATCATGCCTGTATAAATATCATTTGTAAGGCTAGCCAAACAAAGTCTTTCGCTTCAAAATTGCACCTTTAGATAAGAAACCAGGGTTGAATTATCCAATCTGTGTCAGTACTGCTTTTGCCAGTAAAGAAACCAGTTTGAAGTTAATAGCTAGAATGATTTAATTACTGAGAGCACTGTTTAATATAAGCATCAAGCGATTTTGATAATTGCACAAGAATGTTGATCGGTGCGAATGAAACTAAGATTATATCAAATTTTGAAATGCTGTTCGATATAACGATGTTCATTCTTATCAATGATCATAAGGGGAAGGATTCGAGAAATTTAAAAAATACTAGAAATGAACCAGGCTTGTTTAGGTAATCTCAAGCCTCGAATTTTATAAACACCCTACTGAAATATAGCTTCAGTTAAATTTTCGCTCTATTATATAATCTACAGAATGTGTCGTTTTAAAAGAGGATCGGACAAAGCATTGAACTGATTGGGTAAGCGCGATTACGTTGATGGCTTATAGTGAACGAACTATACTTTTTCTTTTTGATATGAAAAGCAGTTCCAGCTGCAGAACAAAGATATTAAACAAACAAGGTAATGTTCGAAGGGCCTATGACTGTCAAAGTGCTTTATGAATAGAAAATCATTGCCTTTGTTTACTAAAAAAATTCCAGATTAAATGCTTTTATTTTAAATGGCTAAAATAGAGCATTTTCTAACCTAACAGAGTGACTTTAGCAACAACAAATATTTCAAGTTTATTTGAATTTAATGTCAAGGTAGTAAGTAACGTCTATCATGTTACCGTGCTCAGAAAATGTCAATAAAATTCCTGACTGGGAAATGCATTAAAGATATACTTCAAATCTAGTTGCTAAACATAGATTGAAAAGGTTTTTTGATTATATGATGTTAAAATACATTAAAAACATGAGATTTCACTACCGTTGTTTTAATGCTAACTTAAGATAATTTTGGAAATTCAATCAAACTTTCAAACGCTTGTTCATTTTCACCTCAGTAATAAAACAGCTTTACAGGATGATTAGAAATGTTCAATCAATCACTTTTGCTTGAAATATAACTTGTCATATCAATTTTAAACTTACCATCTGTGAATCTTTATCTGGTATTATCTCTTCACATACTGCTGCTTGGAAAGATGAAAGGCAGAAGGCCCGTAGATTAAAAACTTTGCAAGTGAATTTAATCAACAAATATAGATAAATATTCGATCCAACGTCTTATTTTGGATCCATCGGCAGGGGTCCAAGGATTTTGTTTGGCTACTGGACACGTGACTTATTTTCTGACCATGTAGGAATTCATATTAAAACTTTAAACACGTGACTTAGTGTAAAATAAGTATGCAAAAGAATAGCACTAATTATAATGATAAATTATGCATGCAGTTTATTGAAATTTTACATTCTTTGGGATAAAGGAATAGATGATGATGATAACAAAGCATGAAACATATTGGCCTTAAAGGTGAGATCTCTACAAGGGCTGCAAAAAATATAAAACAAGGGTGGGTTAGCTCACAGAATAATAATAATAATAATAATAAAAATAATCATGCGAATATTTCAACAGGATAAAAGCTTCAACAAAAATATTGCTGATTTCAATTCCTGTCCTGCTTAAAAGAAAAGAAAAGAGATGTTAAAAACTCAACTTACAATTTTATAAATTTGAATATATTAAGTTCTTGATTATTATTAAAAAGCCTAGTATTAATTGTTATTAAAAACCTCTTCTATTATTACTATTAAAAACTATAAAGCCTATTATTAAAAAACCTCTTCTGATTCTTTTTAGCGTGTTCAACAAAGTTTTTGGATTGAAAAAAGGTTCAGCTAGCTAATTTTGAAGCGTTTTCTATAACAATTTATCAATCAGGTGATATCAGTGTATGGAACGCATTTATGACATTTCAAAATTAAAACGAGCATATTAGATAGATATTACTTTTTCAGATTAGCATTCAGAAACTACCTAAAAAGGTTTTGTTCCGGTATATCAGACCTTGAGAATGAATCACTGACAGATTGGATTCGAAAACACATTTGGAGATAGTTCATTATGATCAGTTTCTGTTTGAAAACTTGATGAAAGAAAAGTTGAATGAAAGAAAACTTGAACAGATACAGTGTTAATTAGTTACTGGACAAATTCACATTGAAATCGTAAATGTCAGCGGCTATGCAGTCGCGGATGCTCTCATCAACTAGAATTGTGAATATTTCAACTGTCTGTATACATGTATAAGAGTATTTCTACAAAAAATGAAACTTTGCAAATTATTTCTACAGAAAATGGAATTTTGCAGATGCAGATGAAAGCAATAAAAAGTAAATAAAAAGATAAAGACAATTTGACGCCATGCTATTACAAGCTCCATTATTAAAGAAGATTCTGATGCATGACTTAAGGCATTTAAATGTATAGGTAAGAATATGATTGATCTCAGATTGTAACTTTATCACATAGCTCAAAATGTGGTGTTTGTCGTGGAGAACGAGGGATTTTGCAAATAAGGCTACGTTTGTATTGATGAATGTAGAGAACTGTTATTTGAAGATAAAAGAACAAAAAATGTCACACCATTTGAAAAGAACTTAGCTACAATCCCGGTCAAAAATGGTTGAGACTTTTCAAGGAAAGCTTATATTTTCACTTTCCTTTAAAAAAAACTTTTCCCCCTCCCTCAATTCAATGTTGAATGCATGATTTTAATAAAAAAATGATAGAACTACAAATCTAACATTGCTTTGAGAGGAAAGGGGAGATTCGAATTTACAGGGGCAAGGTAAAGTAGAAAATTACAAAAATTGCATTTTGTCTCACCATTTTTGTCCGGGATTATAGGTACTTTACCTGGTACATGAAGACTGTATACTTATTTTCTGTGTTCCAGAGCACAAAATGTGCTAATCAAAGTTCCTTTAGTCTTCTGATATAAATGTTAGGCGAAAGACAGCAGAGTTTTCGTATAAAATTGCACAAATAAATATACAAATTGATTTTTAGAACCTGCATAGCTGTTTTTACAAAGCCATCGGTATTTTATGGGAATTGTACAAACTGAGAGAGATAAAAGCACGTTCTTTTATTCTGTCTGACAACAACGTCAACGAGAGAATTAAAGCTTATGTAAACGCCTTTACAAATACGATGCAGAAAACCAGCTATTTTTTTGACAAGACATTTATTAGAAATTACTAAGAATAATAACAGGAACTTGATAAATAAACAAGGAAAAAAAATTGACTCATTTGATTGTTATTTAAACCAATGCAGTTATAGTACATTTAAATCACCTCTGGATGACAATGATAATGGAAATTTCAATGTTAGGTAGATAAGATATTTAGAAAGAGAGAAAATATTATAAGGTTATAAAGCTTCCTCTGGAAAATCTTCCAATGAAACAACTCTGTGTACGTACCCTTAACCCAGGGACTTATCCTTGTCATTTTAAGATAGTCCTCAAAAGGTTTAACCCAAAAAGCATTTTGCATAAACATAAACTGATTTTTCTGTAGCTTAAACCCCCAATGAAGCTGGTTGATGACATGACTTTTAATTTTTAAGCCTTCCAAAATCAAGTTTTTTTCTGGTTTCTCTAGAATAAAAGAGTTTTTAAACAAGTTTCTTATCCAAAGAAGAACAACTTATTTAAATTTTTAACTCAAAAAGTACCCAATAAGAGATTTACCCAAATACACCCTTGAAGTCTTTAACAACTGACATAAAATTAATTAACTGCAGCCTGTATTAACTGCAGCCATTAAATTAATTAAATTAATTAACTGCGACCATTAAGGTACCCTGGGTGCCAGAGCCTCAGAAAGTCAAAGAATGAAGAACGGGGACAGGAATTGCGAAGGAGAATGGAAGAGGAAAGGGGAGAGACGAGGGAGAAAGGTATGAAGGATTTCAAGTTATAGGCCTTTCTGTCATCGATTCAAAAGTTATAAAGAGGACGGCAATTTTAAACTTACGTGTTTATAATAAATACTTGCAGCTATCGAGGCCGTTCACGGTATCATAGGGCCAGGGACAAGGGCCTCTCCTTTACAAATCCAGGGACAAAGGCGTCCTGATCGCTCATTTCTTGGCTGGTGCCCTTATGGATATGTTCACATATGGTATGAGGACGTTGATATTGTCATAAAATTTGTTATTTAGGACAATTCACTAAAATAAATTTTGTGGTAAATGCACTTTTCTAATTTTCCATTTTGATGCATTGGCTCACATTTTGTGGTTTTTAATCCGATTGGAGGTTTGGAGATTTGGACTAGTATGGTTTTTAAAAAATCTAACTTTTGGCATGAAATAATTAAAAACATAAACAGCATTGCAACAATGCCTCATTCATATTTTGAGTATTACAACACCAAGTTGTTGAAATAACGGCTACTTGGCACTAACCTTACGGAGATGAGAACAAAAATTTGCAACTGTTATCAAGTGAATCTAGCATGTCCTAGCTTAAACTTCAGTCTTAGACAAGCCACACCAGGCAGCAATAAGTTTTAGGCTTTAGACATCTGCTCCTCAAAACTATTAATTCTGTTTTTGCAAAGGTTATTTGACAATCACGTGTAAAAATAAAACCAAACGCGCGAAACCTCGCTTACACCCGAATTAACCCGGCTGAACACGAGTAGACCCGCGTTGACTCGCGTGAAGTTTATCCACTGAAACAATCATCCACGGTAAATTCATATCAATGCTCTTTGACAATAGTTATTCATTTAAATCTAATCACACTATAAAGATCTAATGAAATTGTATTCATCCGATAAAAAACAACATAACAGTTTCATTTGTGCCGACTGTCTTCGTGCAACAACAGTTATTTTCTGGTAATTTGTCAAAACTGGTATTTTGCTGTTACAATTTTACAGATTTGTTTAAAATATTTTCCATCCTGACATAATTTAAGATGTAAATTATTCATTTTCTTACTGTACAGTATATTTTTATGCCAATAACAATTTATGAAATTATGTGCAAATTTCTTCATAAGAAAATGTCAATGAAGGTTAGCAAGGAGCATTTTCATCTTGGACTCGCTTCTCTTTTTTTCTACAAATGCAGTAAAGTAAGAGATTCCATATAAGGGAAAAGAACTCAACACACGTGACCGCCGATACGCCAATCCACAGGCCGAGTTGTCCTCCAACGTCCGAGACGAGATTATCAAACTGCAAAAAATGAACGCAGCAAGTTAAGCTCCTATATACAACAGAAAGGTAATTTCAAAATGCAGACGATATAGCTGAGACTAAGCATGCAAATACGAATCAGACCCTGTTAATTTCCTTGTTGAACGTGTTCAATGAAAAAGCCTGAGCAAAAGAGTATATTTAGAGCAAATATCATCCTTCCTTAAAAGTAGGCTCTCTGGATAGCAACAAGAACATCCTGTAGGGTTCTTTAGAATTTTTATTGAGGATTGATCAGGTAAAGTAAATAAAGTGTATCCAAATAACTCCGTTGAACGTCATCTTTACAGAAGTTTATTGTAGTTGGTTGAAGAAACAGGTAAAGAAGAAAGAAAGGGGTCGCGATGTCTGAAAATACTGCTACTGTTATTGTTTGTGTGGTGCAGCAGTGGCTTTAGAGGCTGCGGTGTCCGGGGCCGAAAAAATTTGCCAGTTCTTGCTCTTTTAAATTTTAGATTGTTTTCCCTAAGTGCAAGACCCTTTGCACAGGGCCTAAGACCATGCCCCCCCCACCCTGGTCAACTGCCACTAAAATCGTCATTGGCTAAAAATTTTTCCATAGCTTTTTGGGACATCTCTCAGCGAATGATCAGTAATCTGAGGCAAACTATTCCATTGCCCCCTCTCGATTGGCACGTGAAAAGGCCATTGGTTATTTTGCTTTACCCCACAAAAACTTTTTTTCGTGCAGACTCTACTTGCGAATTGGAGAAGCAAAATTTTAAGATGAGGAGAAGCATAAACGTCCCTGGAACAAAAATGAATGCTGAGTAAAAAATTTTCTAAAAAATACCGTGTAATACTGTCCTGTACTAATGGTGGTCACCGTTTGATCTGCGTAGTGAATTTGCAGGTTGATAATGTTTTTCCTGTTAAAATAAATTTGACACAGTGTTATGTAGGGAAATAATCTTTAATTTTTTTCATTTGTAGGATACAGTTGATTTTTTGGGATTTTTCTTAAACAATACCATATTCACTCTATAAGTTTCACAGTTTTCGTATACATATTTAATAAGAATATGGCTTGTGTTTTTTTAAAATGAAGCTTAATTTTTTATGTTCATGTTGAGATAAAATTTTTCTTGGTCCCCATAAACGCAGCAAAGGTGTATATTAGGACTGAAGGCTGGAAGGCAAAAGGAAGGCCAATACATTGGTGGAAGAACATAAGTATCGTTCTGTTGGAAGATGAATAGCGTTAGACTGACCAAGGAAAGTGAAAAAAGGCACAGAGAAAGGCCAAGATTTGACTGAAAAGGCATCAGACCATCAAGCTGGAGACAAGCAGCCAAGGTGTAGCGAAGATTTGGGTAAAATACAACTCGAAACAAAAGCCAGACACCAAAACAAAGAAGTTTCTCAAATGCTAAAGGTTGATAATAAGTTACTCGTTAAAACAACTTGAACCGTGAAACGAGGATAAAGAGATTATGATTATTATTATGATGATTCTTCAATCGTTTTTGAAGCATTTGCATTTTATGATTTCATACACTATTCATAACAAGCATGCACATTCAATAGGTTGTAAATTCTAGGAGCAATATGACTTTGGAATTGTCTACACCTTTCAAAATATGGTCCAAGATTAACCTTTTTATTTGTGTCTGACTTTTTCTAGCTCCACAATCTACGCCAATTTTCAATGCTCTTTTCTTTTTAGCCTCTGGTTTTCAACATTTTGATATTACAACTGCAGTAAAGTATTTTACTTACTCAACATAATCAGCTGTTAAATTCTTGGTTTTATGAATCTCCTGCGATGTAAATAAGCAATGAAAAATTACAGTATTATCTTGAAATGGGCAAAGCTACGATGAAGATACAATAACTTATATCGATATCTGCAAAAATCCGTAGCTGCAAGAGGATTTCAGTCTCCGGTTTCAGGATTAACAAAGATTAATCTTTGTTTACAAAATCAGGTCATAATCCAATTCACCAGATTTTTTAAATGAAGTTAAGCGCAATAATACGGACTCACCGAATTTCTAATTCTTGTTAAAGTTTTAAACAGTGTGCGTAAAAAACGATTCAAAAAAGCAATTCCTCGCAACATCTATGTGGGGGTCTTCTCAGTACTTGGAAAAGAAGTAAACAACATTTTTTCCTTTATACACAAAAACCTTTGCCAAGATTTTTGATGCGGTCATATCTCTGACACATTGTAATCTCTTTTGTTTTAAAATATTGCATTTTATTCTTACCAGGTAGCCCTCTGGATAGAGCTTGCTTGTAGCTATTGTCTTTGAGAAGGCAATATCACTAGAAGTAAAGATTGTTTCAATAAAATGTGCATGATAGACAAAGACAACCAAAAAAATTCAATGAACATAGATTTTAGCCATTTTTAGCAAACTTCCATCAGTCTTACAAGGCAGCAATTAACGAAATTTGGAAAACTTTTGTAATATTTTACTCCCAATACAATATCATTTCGTTCCCACCTTAGCGAAAGATTCATTCATCAAATACTTTCATGGCAAACAACAGAACTTATTTTCAGCCTTTCGAAGTTAGCTAAAGATTGCCATTTTTAGAATTTAAGCCCCCATTTTTCAGAAAATAATTTTGATATACTGATTCAAGTGAGAAAAAAGCTTAAAAAGAAACCTGCAAGATGGTGGACATCTGCTTGAACAATCGAAAATCTTGTTTGTAAAATTGGAAAGCACCTCCAATAAACAAGAGCCTAAAATAAAATTTTGCAAAATTAACACAGAGATCATGCAGCTTTAAGGCTCTTGCACAACCGACATGCTTAGCGGCAGCTGTTTTGAGAAATTGATTGGGTTTTGTATTTTAATGCAGTACTACATTAGGCCGGTTTTGGAAACAAAGTCGCAAAGGATGCCGGTTGCGAAAGAGCTTTTACGATTTACAACTCTTGAAGTTTATGCAAAACGAAGAGCTTGTATTGTAAAAATGAACGGCATTTGATCTGGCAAAAAAATCTGGCAAAAAGATTTGGCAAAGTCCAATTACACATTAAATTTCTTGATGTCTTAGCCTTAGCTTATAATACACTACAAGCCATGTTTTGTTGATCTTGAAAGGCCTAAATAGGTTGCATTTAAATAACGATCAATGTAAGTAAATTGTACCAGGAAAATTTATTTAAAATAATTAACGACGTTTCGAGTATAGCTCGTTATCCAATTTATTTTAAATAAATTTTCCTGGTACAATTTACTTACATTGATCGTTACTTAAATTCATCATATTGTACCGCACGCATTTTAGTATATTTATGGAATCTAAAAAGGTTGCCTTAGCAAAGGAAACAGTAATAGATGTAGGGATAATTTAGGTTCAAAGAGTAGTTTGTATGTTCATGAAATGTAGTTTGTTTCAAATCTTTTCATCTTGAGAATCAAAGATAGGTAAAAGGATAGAGAGGAAAGTATGATAAAGAAAGAACAGAAAAGTATTAGAAATGATGAAAAAGCTAAAAGGTGTTAGATTAAACCTATAAACATAACTAGTTATCGTGCAACAGGCAAAGTAAGTAGTGAAGCAATAAAAATCAATTTTGTAAACATCATAGGAATTTTCAAACATTGTTATTTTTATAGTAAAACTTTAAAAAAGGGTTGCCTATGATAAGGCCAATGAGTTTTCCTATGTCTTGTTTAGGGTCCCTGATGATTGGCTCTCATACTGTGATTTAATTGGGGAAGACACATGGGCTTATCTGATTGTATCGAAGCCAATTCGGTTCACTAAAGCTGGTTGAACAAGTGAAAATTTATTTAACTACACAATTTTTTTTGAGTTCTATGAAGAAATATTTATAACTCATAAAAAAATTGATCTACAAAGGTGTGAGCTTGTTGAAGCTTGTTGACTTATTTCCCCAATGAAACCCGCCAGCCAATATCAAATGGATTTTTCCTGAATAAAATTCGGGGAGAATAGAGCATACGCTTGTCAAAAACCATTGCATGGACCCAGGTCTTTGTTTTCTTTTTCTTTGTACCTTATAGAATGTATTGTGCTGAGAAAATTCCAGAATTTGTAGTTTTATCAGAAGCAAAAAGAGAGAGTTGTTCTCAAGTTTCACCAAGAGCTAGCTCTCTTTGATTTTTTATTCAATGACTGACTACTTCTAAGTAGGCTTCTAGCAAAAATTGGATTCCAATAGGAAACAAGTCACACCTGACTCTTAATATTCAAAACAGCAACCTATTCTCGAAAATGAGTAAACATTGAATGTAAAAAAAATGAATGTAATCGAAATGGATGTAATATAAAAACCCTTCTTATCAGAAAGAAAGAATATTCATGCTTTTGCAAGCACACCACATAGCAGTGGCTCCGACACAAGTTTAAAAGCAAGAGGAAGGGGAGGAGGGCAAGGGCAATTTCAAGTCCCACTCCAAAAGATCTGCATTCAAGCTCTATTGTCTTTCAACAAGTGGGAGGGAGTCATGGCCCCCAGCCCCTATATCATCTGAGGCCTTGCATTGCCTATAGATAAAACAGTTACAGTTTAACCAGGTAACTTTTATGAACTCACTTTCAGTAAGAGATTCACACTGTTTGCTTCCAAAATATGTTCTATATTGTAAACTTGTGCAATTGCACCTCCTCTTTTGTGTGCCTGCTTTGCAAATCGCTATGCAGGTCTGTAAACAGAAGGATTTTGTTTAGCTAACATCAAATATGCAGGAAGTTAAATACCTGTTACTTTGCTTAGCATTCTCTGAGACAAAAACTAATTAATGTTGATTTTATATGTAATAACAACATATATTTAGTTTAAAAGAATGTACTTTGTTTTTTGACATGCTCTCTGTTCAGTGTGCAGGGCTCAGGGTTTTTGTTACGGTAATATGACGTCTGTTTCTAATGTATACTGTGAATGTATATTTAAAGGCATTGAGTCATGATAAATAGACTGGGTATACCCGAAGTGCCATGATTTCCATGACTGCGATGCTATCGGTTGACCTTGAACTGGTCACATGAACTCACCTCGTACTGATTACCAAAACAGTTTCCATCAATAGCAAGTTGTCAACAACGATTGCCAATATCACACGAAACAGCAGCGATAGAGAAAGCCTATTTACCATGACTCAATGCCTTTAACAAAATGTATACTATGAATCTAGTAATGAGACATCCATTTCTATTGAGCAAAAACCAACACCGCCCCCCTAACGCCCATACCACTGGTTAAAGACAAAGGCTAGATAATCTCTAAAGCCCTGCTTATATTTTTCTTGAAACGGAAATTATCCAAGCCTCGACTAGGAAATTAAGAGCCCCTACAATTCAAGGCTACATCCCTGTATATAGGTTCAAAATCAAATGTTATATTCTAAGTGTTAGTTTGTAACGATGAGTATGTTGCTGTAAGGGCTGCAAAGTAAAACACCAGCATAAAGATATAAAGAATTCTAAGTAAGATCACAGTCCCGTAGGGGGAGCATGGGGTTGTGGGTACGAGGAAGTAGCAAACAGTATGGGGCTGTGATCAACCTTTGTAGAGTCAGTAAAAGAAAAAAGGCCCTCTATCTCTAAGAAGAAGCTCGGATAATTTTCTGCGCTTAATCAATAGCTCAAATAGCTAAATTTCCGCCTCCTAGTACAGGGGGAGGGGTGTGTGTGTGTGTGTGTGGGGGGGGGGGTTACCGGTAGCAGTGTAGCCAGTTTCTTCTCATCATATGACTAAAAGAGTCTAGGCTACGAAACTGATGTTATTAGTTAATAGAAAAAATTGTATTGACATCTCCCAACCATCAAGCCTAATTTAAAGAACTCTCCTTTCCGTATTAAGCAAGAGAATGAAATATTCACAAACTATTGTGGATTTTGAACAATGGATGGATTTTCCTGCAATTTGTAAACAAGTTGGAACATTTTGGTATAGGCCTTCTGTTTGAAAAGATGAAGTGCCATTAACTTATAAAACCCACTTTTACTTAAGTATCGGCAATCATTAAAGGTTTGCCAGCAACTTGAAGACTGCCCCATAACAAGCAAAACAAATAATATCGTTCGTAGTCTAGCATGGCAATCTATACACACTGATTGAGGGGTTAACTTGCTGAATGCTGCAGCTATGAACATCTCTTGAAATTAAGAACATTCTAAAGGCAATAATAGCCACCAAAAAGGAATTCTTCTCGCCTGTTGAAAATACTTTGTATTAGCTTTTGACGTATCATAGCAGCTCCCAGTCCCACTGACATCTTCTCTTTTTATCATTTCCTACACAAGAAAGTAAGTCAATTTTTTAAAAAATTACGTATGCAACAAAAGTCCTGGTGCAGACAACATTACAAGCGAAATGATAAAAATGGTGGCGAAAGTGTTATCAAAGTTTACCAGCTTCTTTGCAATATGATTCTAGAAACTGGAGAGTGGCCAAATCAGTGGACTGAATCTATTCTCATTTCGATTCCTAAGAAAAAACCAGCAGAAAATGCTCGGACCACAGAACTATCAGTCTTATTAGCAATCCTAGTAAAATCCTATTATTCATCATGCTCATAAGAATAACATCTAAAATTAAAGACATCTTGAGTGAAGCGCAAGCAGGCTTTCGCAAGAACAGGAGCACCACGGAACAAATCAATAACTAAAAATTCTTGTGTCAAAAATGAAGAAACAACAACAAAACAGTATACAATAACTTCTTTGATTTCAAGAAAGCGTTTGATAGAGTTTGGCATAACGGAATGTTTGAAACCATGATAAAGCTTAACATTGGAAAGCAAATGACAGGATTAATCCAACAACTTTACAAGAATGCAAGAACAAAGGTCCTTAGCGGCAATGATTAAAGTGCATGACTTGAAGCGACAGTTGGCGTCAGGCAGGGATGCATCCTCTCTCCAATTCTATTTAATTTATTTCTTTAAAGAAAAATGACAGATGCACTAGACGGTTTGAGCGATGGAGTCAAATGCAGAGGTTTGACTCAGGCTAAGGCACAATATACCACGCCCTTTTTGACCACGCCCAATGATAAAACGCCAGCTTCTAATTTGTGAAAATTTATTTATGGTGGAACAATTTTTACTGATTATTCATGATGGAACAAGGGATTTGGAACAATTTTCCAACAAATTTAGTTAGTTTTGTGAGCTACCAGCAGTAAGCGATGGTCAAAGAACTCACTGAAAAATTCATTTTACTGAAAATGAGCTACGCTGACATAAGGATGTTACAAGTTGATAGTAGAATAAAGAGTCCTGAAAATTAGACATTGGCAAAACGGAGCTAAGATGATTACCTTTCTCAGTCCAACGCTAACCGAATATCCAGAAGCAGCACTGAAACCGTGTTCAGTGGGTTCCGCAAAGACGTCTTGGTCCTGAATAATCACCCGCACCCCTGTTTCCATGGCAATCCCCTTCAGGTACTCATCTCTGTTGATATCAATGTTGAGAGTGAGACCTGCAAAAAAGTTTTCGCAAAGGAATTCTCTTAGGCGTTATTGTTTATTCATTTTCATAAAACTCCAGTCCATAGATATCAAAAGAAAATGGGAATCAGGGAATCAATATGCACACAAGGAAAGAAGATGCAGCTGCGAAATAAAGGGTAGATGTCAGTTAGGAACATCTTGCAACATTTTATAGGTAAAGCAGTGCTGAGAAATCTGATCTGCTTAAACCTTATCAAATTTTAAAAACTTTTTTTGATGAAACATTTTTTGACAAAATTGTTTACTTGAGATCTGTACTTTATTGATTGTTTCAGAAATCTTGAACAGAAAAGTTGAAAGCACTATTGTTTAAATCAGGGACACGAAAGAGATCAAGGTTTAGGTCGTGTGACTACTAAAGAAGAATAAGAATTGAGAAGGAAGGGGGGGGGGGGAGTTGTAGAAAGAGACGGCCTATTTGTGCACTTCTCTATCTGGTATTCCATTATAACGAGCATGCAATATAATTTTGGAAACATTGGGAGGAATGAGTTCCTCGTAATTTCATTTCAGACCGACTGTTTCGAAAATGTTGTGGAGAAGGAATGACAGTCCATAAAGTCTCCTCATTTGTTTTTATTCTGCTTACAGCTGCTCATTGGATCATTTCACTGCAAAGTGAAATATTGTTTAAAGAATGGCAAATATTACTCAACTTAGTTATTAGAACGGCCTGCTCGGAAACGAATAGAACTTGGTGATGGTGTTTGTCATACCATTGTCATGTCTTCACATATAGTAGAGAGTAGAAATTTTCAAACGTATGTTTAACAGAGTTTCTTATATTCACCCAAAATCCTTGACAGTAATAGGCTATAAGAAATTTTTGTATCCAAATTCTTGAAAACCATATCAGACAGTTAGTTATAAAGAAGCAGATCTGAAAAAGACTCTCAAATTCTAGTTGATCCCGGGTATTTTCTAGAAGGGTTTCGTATTTATATGAAATCTACCAGTGTTTCTTTTCTGCAACTGGAAAAAGTAAGTTTTACCTCCTGATGTGCCAGGAGAAGTTGACTCCAATGGAGCTATGCTGCTTCCATTTATGTTCTTCATCTTTCCATTAAATGTAAAGCAGTTGCCATATTTCCAGTTCCACGTTTTATGCCAATAGTCTCTCAAAAAGACTCTAAAATAAATCTCTCAAAAATAATGACAGGCCTAGATAGGTTCTTTTCATTAAGACATCTTGACCGAGAAAATGGAAATGGCTTGAATACTTTTCTTATAATAAAGATATTATACTAATATAATACTTTAAGACATATAATACTTTTACTTGCAAACATAAATCTTCATATTCGCAATAATGCAATTAGATATTTCCTGTATTTCAAAATATTTTCAATCTTAAATCAGAGATTTCATCAAGGATCTCTTCCTTTTTAACACCAAAAATGGTAACAAATAATCCATAAACAAAACCAATTGCACCCGTTATAACAAAGTAAGAGGTAAATGGGTGTGACCCATAAGACCACGCTCTTTATCCCTGATTTCAATGTAATACATCAGGTGCATTTTCCTTAGGAAAATCTTGAAAGTTATTACGTACTCTCATGTAGTAAATTTATTTTTTAGTGAATCAATTTTTGAAATAATTTAGTGGACCATGTCTCACAAATGTGGGAGGAGGGGGAGTTATGCCCTCATCCCAACCCTTGGCACCGCCACTGCTTCTTCCAAAGAAAAACAGTCTAGGAATTTGATGCTTACCCTTTGTTGCACACAAAGCCAGCCCAGCGGCAATAAGTAATCAAACTTGAGAATTCCTGTCCATTTTTGAGTCTATCTGCTATCGGCAGATTGTTAATGGCTGTGAGGGTGTTCTCTTGAATAGATGAAACATCGTCCATCTCGAGGTCACTTACATCCAATGAGGATTGGGAGGCGAACTGCTTTTTAAACATATTATTAATGATCGTCATGTTTGGAAATTTTACTCTTACATTCTTCATTGAAGAGGCCGGAAACACGTTCAGGTTGCATATTGTAACTCCAGGGAATGTCAGAGACTAGGGAGAGAATTGATGCATTGCTGGAATTTAATCAGGAGAAGTAAGAAGCTGTGCAAGTGTGTAAGCGTGAAAATGAAACAGATCTACGATGCACCTATTGCTAAATCTTGTGACGATTCAATGTTCATAACTTGCTGTAATAAAATGCATATGCGCAATGAATCTATGGTCCAAAGTGGCAGTTCTGGCACCTAAGACACAGTGTTATTATTTCTACTATACAAAAAGACCTTGCAGAAAGAGCCTAAATGTTTTTGTGCCTATAAGCTGCTTCTCTTTAATTAAGAATCTCATGTTTATAATCCATGATGCAAAATTCATAACTTTAAAACAGGACGTGAGAACAAAAGAATCTTCTGACATTTGAAAGGAATAAACATAATACGGCTGCTGGGGTTTCCTCTTTATCAAAGCAAGGTATAAAGAAATGGCTCACTTCTTCGAAGGAAATGCTTATACTGGTACTGACAGGTCGAGATGTATACAGCAGGACTAGTTGGATGATCATGTAAATAAACCCGATCATCACTGCCAGCCAGATGAAAAACCAAGAGATCCGGGCGTAAATGGGTCCCGATGTTACAAAACGACTTATTCCATGAGCTGTTGTTACCGAAGCAAAGTCAAACAGCATATTACGAACAGCGTTTTCAGGGGGCTTCTCATCTTTGCTTTCCTCTCCCTTTTCCTGTAAGGATATAAAAATGACAGTTACGTGAGTCATGAGTGGATGTGTATTCAACAAAATGCATTTATACTTCGATAGGCTACCGTAAAAGATCTATTAAGCCCTCAGAGGGGGGAGGGTGCTATAAATAAAGGGGGCTTATTAGAAAGGGGGGCTTATTAGAAAGGGCTTGTTAATAATCAAAAGAAAACATGTTATAAAAATCCCTTCATGTATCTTTTTTGCTACAACAATTTCCGACAAATGTTCTATAGAACTTTGCTATCAGCTTCAAAATCTTATCAGAATTAACCGATTATAATGTCTTCATCTCATCGGAATCGCCAGGTACAATTTATAATCCTGGAGCATCTTCTAAACAACTTTTATCCACTGGGATTCCTTCAAAAGGATCCTCATTAGTATCCTCTTGACTTCTAAGGCACAAATAGAAATCTTTACATGGTCTTTAAAACACGTGATCTATCATCATCACACCCATATGTGTTCTTTGCTTCTCATCAGGGACGAATGAAGGGAGATGCTTAATAGAGAGGGGGCTTAATAGAAAAAGGGGCTTTTTTCTAACTTTTACTTGATCAAAGGGGTGCGTAAAAGAGAGGGGGCCTTAAAAGAGAGGGGGGCCCGATAGAGCTTTTATGACAACACATAAAAGGACAACAAAGAAGAGGAAGAAGAGCAGGAGGAGAAACGAAACAGATAATGGGTGAATACAGAGAGGAACAAACTAAAAATAAAATGAAGAGAGGGGGACAAACTAAAAGGACGAGAAAAACAAAGAAGAAGAAAGAATTAGAAGAAGAACTAAGAGAAAGCAAAAAAAGAATTAGAAGAAGAGAAAGACGACGAGGGCGGAGAAAGTGAAGGAAAAAAAGATAAAAAAGACGGGTGAAGAATTAAGAAGACAGATGGATATTTTAGAATATTTTATCAGTTTGTTTAAAAATTTTTCTAGTATGCATCTTTTCAATTTTTACATAAATGCTGGGATTGAGGAAAGTTTGCAAATGCTTTTTTCTATGTCCTTGCTTAAAAAGAGGAAATTTTGGACATGGTTCAAATAGCGATTTTTTGATTACCGATCATCATTTTCTGTTGCAAGCTTTTACAAAATCTTTTGATCTTGAATTCAATTGTACGTCATCCATGAAACTGAGGACGAAAACTCTTTACATTGATTTATATGTCTGTTGTTAACGAGTTTTCCTGGCATTGTGCTCCTAGTTTGAAAAGCTGCCTTTAAGGCATGAAAAATTCTAGAGATTGCATAAGCGGTATCTTTTGCTGCTTTAAATTACGGGGATCAATGCAAATATTATCGCAATTTACTAACAATGAAGCAACAAATATTCATTCATGAAATCTTAACTGTTTAAAAACAAATAACAAAAACAGCGATTCGCTAGTTTTGTATTGGTCATTTCTTGTTGACACAGCTGTGTCACATGACTTTCTTTGCGGTACTTGCAAGAGTTTATCAGTAAGTTTAAATGATATGTTTCTTCATTTTATAAAAAACATCTGTTCATTATACAAATTTTGCCACTTATCATACGCTGATAGAACATGCAAGTATATTATTTTGCATAGAGCAAATCCCAGTTGGATAGTTTGAAGGTTAAATAAAACCTTTAGTTTATTTAAACGTTAACACCGTTATTGATCAGATTGGTAAAGCCTTGTTTGTTTAGAGTATGATAGAAAATTGACCTACTAGAAGTTTTGTATAGAAAATTCTATCACAAAAGTGCAAAATTTGAGCTTTTCTGTTTAATCTAGCATAAGTAAGCCAGTGTTTTCCGCCTCAGAACTTCAAAAAATTAAAGCATGACTGAGAAATCAGTGTATGAGGAATAGAAAAATCAGTTTTTTATACTTCTATGAACGCAAACACGCAAAAGTTTGCGCAAGAATAAAAAAAGATGACATTTTCTTCATTCTTTGATTCATATTGATTTTTGGTTGGTTTAAGAAAAACTTAAATCCTTGATTTTGTGTGTGGATAAGATATAACTAAACCTTTGTTTTTAGAGAAAAGCTGATCCTGTTTTGTAGGAGCTTAATTCAATACTTGTGGCAATATAATTTGTACTGTACCTGCAAATTATGGTGGAGCCAACATTAACATACCCCCCCCCCCCTCTATGCAACGAAACACCTCTCAACACTGTTTTTGGTCGGTACACTCTTAAAGGAACCTCTTTGCAACGGACTTCTGTGTGTTGCGGGCATTTACACGCTGGTAAGCGCGGTGTCCGTTATACGGAGACTCCACTGTAGCCAGACATCAACAACAAAGAGTATCATGTTATGAAAAGTCTTTATAAAAAAGCTTGATAGTTATGTATTAAAGCTATAAATATCTAATCATGCACCTGATAAAATGAGTTAATGAGACAATCTAGCTATGCAAGAAAAAACTTCTCTAAATGAATTTGCTTTCAATGTAAATTATGAATCAACCTAGCCACGTTTTAACGATATCAAACAAAAAACAATAAATGCATTTAGTCATTTAAGCTAATAAATGCAATAAACGGTTGTTTGTGCAAACAGTCAAACGTCAGGTCAAAACTATATTTACTTGAGCTTAAAGGAAAGGGTTGAAAACATTAAAACTATGTTCTTTTACTATAATTGTTTGCATAGCATTACCTGCAACTGAAAGATAAATTTCCTAAAAATTACAAAACTTAAAAATACTGTCAAAATATCTATGCTACAAGTGAATTTCAGCTTTAATAGAGAGTTTGTGTCAGAAAACCCGACACAATACTGCCTTCAAACTCAAATACCACTTTTTCAAAGACACTAAATGATTAATAAGTTCTGGTTACCCGCCAATTTGGAACGATTTTTATGAAATATTACGTTTTATTCAAATCATAATAAGGTGCTTGATTCAATTCATTCATTTAACTATTTCTATGATAATTGAACAAAGAGTGTATATATAAACAAGACTGGGCCCGCGTCAGGAATTCGAAAGCGGGGGCTGGGAGTGGGGTAAGGCTAGCAAAAGCAGGAGGTAAGGCTCCTTCCCCTTTTACTGCTTAAAACTAATTGCAAAATGTGGAGGGCATGGTCACTCCGGCCCTTCGGTGGCATTGGCCCTGCAAGATTAAAATGTTGTGAAAATTTTTTGCGCAGTTTCTAGGAACCAAGAAGAGGTTTTTTTGATGAAATGAATTGTATTTCGTTTTACGATGATGTAAGGGTGTTTTAAGAACGCAAAATAAATGTATAATTAAACAAACCAGAGCATTTTTTACCAGTATGACTACTAAGGAAAGTTCCCCAGCAGGCCTAATGCCCTTCCAAGCGAGAGCCAAAATCACAGAATTTCTCAAGTAGTTTGGGCCCCTAGCGATTTCCACTGACCCGCGTTATCGAAGTATTAAGAATTATATTTTGTCTTGTCTTTGAAATATTATAAATATCAAGTATTACATTCAAATCTAGGGCGATGGTGTGGTGGTGCAAGGGTGACGTGACGTAGGGGTGTGGGGTGTCCAGGTGTAGAGGAGCATATGATTATAAGCCCAGAAATGCTCTACCTAGTTGATTGACTGACGAGCTAGCAGAATCAAAATTACAAGGACAATATATACACAAATTTGTACATAATATATGCATATATCTGTATTAGAAATTTGTCTTTTGATACTTCCGTAGCACAGTGCTCAATACGTTAGCACGTAGAGCGTGATATATCATAGATTGAAGAAAGTAAAACTACATGGTTATCTCTACAAGCCTGTTTCGTGAGTAACTCACTCTTCAGGAGATGTATCTGTATTATATATATATAATACAGATAATACAGATACAACGATAATACAGATGTAATGAGTTGTATCTATATATATATGTATATATATAGATACAACTCATTACATCTGTATTATCTTTTTTACATCTATCTTGATTTCATATGCCCGTATAAAACAGTATATTTTATCTGTTTCGATATGTGTTTCTTCTTTTTAGTCACACTACTCAGACAACAAACTGGATCTTACACCTTGTATCATAGCAACAAAAATTCATGCACAGAAATAGAAGATGGTAGTGGGAAACAGAGGAGAGCCTATCTGAAAAGAAGGGTTGGCCCAGAACCATTGCTCATTCTTCTGAGAAAGACGCTCCCCCATTTCTCGCTCCTGTCTTCTATTTCTGGGCTCAAATTTATGTGGCTTTGGTACCCAGGGTAGCTGGATCCCTTAACAGTTTAAGATCGTGTGACATGGTCCAGTGCGAATTAGCTGAGGTTGGAATTACTCTGCTTTTTCTTAATATTTTTCAAAGCTGCGCTTGTTCTTTTTTATGATTTCAAATAAACGCCTCACCGCAGCGTAGACTCGTGTGCTTTTTTCGGTTATTTCTCTTTGGCCCTTTTTGAAAATTTTCCCCAGTAGTGAAAATTTCTTAAAAAATATTCTCAAATATTATTGTGCGCAAAAATTGCAGTTACAGTTTTCTGTAGTGGTCATGTTTGACAAATCCGAAATTTCTCTTACTTCGTTTTTAAACGTCCCTAGATTCTTACAAGTTCTTATGTTCGAGTTTAGCTACGACCAGATCATAGGTTACAAATATCTTAATAAATGTTTTCTATACATCACAGTTCTATAACATGAAATATAGAATTCAGCGTTCTTAGTTCTTCGTTCTTACGCATAAGAATGGCAATGTCTTGCATTCGTGAGTTACATAACTTTGTTGCACCTGATCTTTCTAGCAACGGGGCTTCAATGAAAGTCTTGTTCGCTTATAACCTAGTTTAGAGTTACAAAACTGCAGAATAATATTACTTATTACCTGAAATACGAAAACGAATCAAGGCTAAACACATCTGATGTGGGATTTTGTTTTACTAGCACTTTGATTTTGCAAAAATATTTTGCTACTTAATCCATCGCAAAATATATTAACAACTGTCATAGGTTTGTATTTTTATTAATAAATATTGACTTACGGCAACAATATCCTGTTTTTATTACATTTTAGTTGAATCACTGCTAGAAGCCTGTATAAACGATCTAAATGTCATCAGAAAACTTTTCTTACATCACGATTGTATAAATCTGATTTTGAAACAGGTTTCAATTTCGTGGATATAACAGGTTACAGTAGATGGCTTTATAACTTGAATTAGCAGTTTTGTCATTGCTTTGGTGACATAAATAAAAGGAGTCTTCCGTTTAAAGAGAAAACATAAAAGATTGTAGAAAATATAGGTAAAAATATTTTATTAGGGTAATTAGTCCATGTATATAAATTTGACTGCATAAACTTTTACCTACAAAAATATTCACCAGGATATGATTGAAGTTATCGCATTGCTGATAACAAATAATGCTTCTCGACCTATTGAGAGTTTTCTCAAATTCGTAGCAGTTTGATTTTGAAACAGCTTTTAGGTGAACCATTCTTGTATGACTCAAATTTTGCCATTTTCGCTTGATCCTCCGTATGTTGAAACTAATTAATTCAACACATCAAAGTATAGAACTTCGATATAATTGCAACCCGTAGCCAGCAAATTGATAAGATGCAAACCTCATTAATGGATTTGCAGGAAAAATATCTTAAAAGATAATTCAAGGAGGTATAGAACCAAATACTTACCATTTCTTGTGATATGTATCGTGCAGATTACGTGTAAATCTTCCTAAGGATCATTTAGCTCAAATCGTCCAGCCAGAAGCATTGACTTTCAAGCTATTGACACCGGCAGAACTAGACCAGGGGGGTGAATGCTTTGATACTTGAAATGAATTATTCAATTCAATTCAACAACTTCTAGTTGCGCTGGTTAACACAGAAGTGAATGCTTTATATAGTCAAATCTTTGAGCTAATACATAATTACAAAACTTAGCAAGAATAAGGCACAGCTCTCATTTGAATTATTCACGATCTGTGTAGGCCACACAACAATACAAATTTTGGGTGTCTTTGTTAAGATGCGAAGTTCCTTTTCGGCAAGTGCGTTGTGAAGGAGTACCTATATTTCAAGTAGCAAAACGATTAGATTGACAAGCAAAGTCAAGTTGAAATATGAGTGAACTTTCTGCGATATTAGGTCATCAACATATGTTAGATTCATTTATTTCAAAAGATTACCAACTCATCTTTCAAAAACAACACTAGCACTATGAATAATTCACCGGAATGGTAGTTTGATTTTTAGGCTTCTCTGAATTTTATGACACGCTCAAATAAAAGCATTCAACTTTCCCAATGGCACCATGTTTTACTGTTTTGATTCTTGGGGGTTGGGGAGGGGGAGGGTTCTCGTAGCTTGTAAATTTTTGCAGGGTTTTAGAAAAAGGCACAAAGGAAGTCTTCATCAATTGCTTTGGTGGCTGACGCTAAGCTATAGAATGTGAAGTGGAATCAATTCAACCAGTGGCAACAAGAGCACACTGCAAGCGATAAGAAAATGTGAATTAGTGACGAGACCAGGGAGTGACGCAAACAGGGCATGACTCAAACCCACCGGCAGCAGCACTGTACATTTTTGTTTACCAACTTAGCTACATGGTCACGTGACAATCTACAAAATGCATAATGACCTGCCAGCATTTTTCGTACACAGCACTAGGCTACCTACCTTGAAGCACCAGTGATATTTTGTTGTGGCTACACCCTGATTTCGTTTGACGCCTCTTGGTAAAAATCAGACCAGCTTTGCCACTTGTTAGGTCAATTGGCTTTATTTGGCTTCACAAGTGCCTTGGATAGAAGTCATTGTATTTATACCGAGAAGGTATAGTGCTGTTACCAGTTAAAATTATATGCTTCTACAAAAAGGTTCCAAACCGGCTTTAGTAGTTTGCCTTGGTCCTATTTTAATCACCTGGATTATCGAACGCCTTTTCATTGAATTGACCATACAATTTACTGTATTGAACAAATCTACAGCCGATTATACTATATCTACTCTCTTCGTAAATAGTCAAACAATATCAAACAATACTTTACTCCACAGAGACTGAAACGACTACAAATTTGTGTGACATTTTGCATTACTTTGGTACAGATACCAGAGATCCCCTTGGGGTCATTTGGGCACATGATCAAAAACTTTCCGAGACACAAGCTAATATTTCCTTTTCCATATCGCTCCCCAAGGTAAAAAAGCAGGCATTGGTTTCGCTATTTTCTCCGCTTTTGTACTTTACAATGTCGGAATTGTTTTATACATCATGTTAATGAATAAAGGCACGTGTAACAGAGGCACCCTGGGTGTAGATTTCCTAAAAATATAGTTTTGAAATTTTTGAATTAGGATCACATAGCCCGAAGAGAATCATGAAATAGTTCTAATTATTGAAAGTCAATGTTACGAACTGGCTGAGATATGGTCACACGAGTACAGCTCTTTCACCCACCTAATAAAAAATGTGCGAGGATGTTAGAGGCGCTGACTACAGCCCCCAAGGGTCCGTGGTTCGAGTCCCTGGCTCTGGCATGACCAAACCATCACCGAGAGTGAGGAGAGTCGCCAGCTCTCTGTAATTCCAGGCGTAGGAATCACGAGGTGTGGTAAAATCGAAAGGAAGGACCATGACACTACTCGATAAGCATAAGCTTCTCAGTGTCCTAAAAAACTATTTTCGGATGCCTGGTAGAAACAAATAAAAAATACAGATAATTTGGTCATTGGTTTAAACCAAACAACAATAGGAATAATAATAATAAAAATCAATCAACAAACTTCTTGGTCACATCTCACCGAATTCTTAACACATTTAGTTTAGTTTGCACTTTCAATGCTATTTCTTAATATTCTTTCAGTTTTTGTGTGGTCAGACGCAAAAAATGAAGAACTCTATTTGTTCATGTTTTCTATTTCACAGTTGGTAACACAGATCCGATAGCAACCACAAAATAACAAAAAACTATCCGAAAGCCTAACGAAATTGAACCTTTGCAAAATATCAATAGGCCAACAATTCTTGCCCTGCTGGTACCAGCTCAGTTGACAATTTTTAGTTTATTTGAACTAAACAGATCAAATTACCTATATATGTTTTATTATTTTGTTTACAATGAAAACAAATTAATATTTCAGGTGGTTTTTTAGAATTATAAACTCTGTGGAGGTGAAATTGTCAATCAAAAGATGTCAGCGATTCATTTTCATTCTGTCGACGGAGATTCTGGCCTGTTTCTTAAGTATTGGGACGTTGGCAGAAAAATGGCGGCGTTTGAAACATGCCACATGTCTTACTTGAGAACAAGCACTAAATAATTCAGACCCATCGCCACCCTGGTATAGGAAATTTGGGTTAAATTTCATTGTAGGAAAATAACAAGACCATCCTGTTCTCAGAAAGACAATTAAATTACAGTGTTATTTGAAGCAATTTATCGCCTAGCATAGGTTCTTTTTGTGTTCTGAATTACTTTGGCTGTGTTCCTTGCTGATAGCTACATGCAAGTCTTGGTACACAAGCCTAAAATTTAAAATGCCATTTCAACTCGTCTTTGAAACAATGTACCTGGTGCGTTTTTCGGAAAATTCCAAAAGTGATGGAGTGACATCACCAAGAAAGCATTCTTCAGAATTTCTAATTCTGACCCTTGCATCAAAAAGGTCCCTCCTCCATTCAAAAGGATTGCGTTCTTACCACCCAAAAGAGTTCCGTTATCTGTAAGTTTATGTTTCCAGTGTGTTTCTAGGTACGTTGGACGCATTACCCAAAGATTTGGAAGCTAGAATAAAACAGCATGTTTCTTCTAGTATTAGAAACAAAACACATCCCAAAAGAGAACAGCCACCTCGGTCTTGCAGATCTAAAAGTACAACTAAAACCTGCGATTCTGCTATCGGGCAGCATTTACTAGAAAACCCAGGTGTGCAAAAAGCTATAATGGCGACATGTTTCGGATTATTGGTAAAGCCCGATCGTCGTCCCACCTAGCAGTTTGGAATCTATCTACATAAGCACGATAAAACCGCGTTTGTGTAGAAAGAAGGAGTTCGTTCTCACCTTAGGACTCCATTGGTAACATTCTCAATAGGCAAGCGGCACTGATTGGGCAACCTCAATAGTCATGTGCTCGCGTTTCTGATTGGCCTTTTTCGATCCATAGCTGGGTATATATATTTCCTAGAGTGGAGTTTTCGATCTATGTTCTGACGTTTTAAACTCTGAAGAAAGTAAGACGAAAAACTTTAGTTTACTCAAATGTTTGCTTTTTTCATAGCTAATTCTGAGCCTTTTATCTGCAAGTACTCCACAAAAAAAACTCTCCTGTCGCCCACTGCAGTCTGCAGCTGTACGTTCAGTGTGTTTAGAACTCAAATTGGTTTTTTTGAGTGCCCAGTCGGCATGAAAACACATTATCTTTCAATCGCATTATAACTTGCTGACTGGTATCAAAGTATTTCACCTACATGAATTTGCTATTTGGCTCTGAATTGTGGTCAACTTGTTTGCTGACCGTCAATAGCACGAGCATCGCAAAATATACACCGCTGCCTTACAAAGCAAGATAATAAAAGTCAAAAGGTATATGCATGTGTTTCTTCAACCGCAAAAGGTGTAAACAGCATCTTGAAGGATGATGATGGAAGTATACTATAATCGACGTGTGATTATAATCGTGGCTTAACTGGAATGAACTAAAACAATGTCTCTAGAATCTTTTCCTTCAAAATATTTCACGGATTCCTGGCTACCTAACCTACCTACCTGGCAACCAACACTATGAAACCAGCCCCTTTGTTTCAGCGAATCCAGTCGATTCAGAGTTAGTCTCCGACAGGGTTCAATATTGGCTCCGTTTCTTTTTATGTTTACAACACATGATCTGCTTCTACATCATGTATCTAGGGTTAGCCCGCTTTTCTTTTAAGTCGTTAAAATATTATATAATGAAAATTACTAAATGTTATATTAACATATCAAAATAGATTGGGGGATGGAATGAAACTGCAAGCGCCTTACAACACTCTCCCCCGAAGAGAACAGTCACCTTGTTTTTGCAGATTAAAAATAACTAAAACATGCGATTCTGCTATCGGGCAGTAGTTACTGGAAAACCCAGATTGTGCAAAAAACTATAATAAAGAAATGTCCCGCATTATTGGCAGAGCCCGATCGTTGTTCTATCCAGAAGTTTTGGAGCCTATCTACATAAAAATGAAAAAAAAAACACTATCGTGTGACAGAAGGAGTTCGTTTTAACCTTTGAACTCCATCAGTAATATTTTCATTAGGCAAGCAGCACTGATACGCAATTTTTTGCAGTCACCTGCTATTTTTAGCCGTAACTAAGTATATATTTCCTAGCTTAGAGATTTCGATCTATATTCGTTGTTTTTCATTTTTGAGAGTTTAAAAGAAAAGCTTAAGTACGTTTAAAAATATTTGCTTTTTTCAAATCCAAATTATGTCATTTTCCACTTGACAAAAGGTTTCAACTTTTGTCTTCTATATCTTTATAAAAGGTGTTTAACTATCCGCTAAAAAACGTGTACAAATTTGAAAAGCTAGATAGAAAATGATCTGCTAGTGGCAATAACTGAGACACATTAACAACAACGGCGAGTCCATGAAAATGATGCTTCATGAACTTAACTTTAATTATACATACCTATTCTCAGGCTAAACTGTATTGATACATTCCTGTCCTTAACGATTAATTTATTTACAATATTCCTAGAATTTCTCAATAATCAAGATGGAAATAGAAATAGGAATATCAAAGTGTTTAATTGTTTTTTACTCAATTTGATTGAAAACCAAATAAACATTCTCAATGCCAATTTTCATGTTTGAAACCACAATATAGGCCTACTATTAAACGCAGACACGTAGATACCGGGTATGTGGGAGAGGGGGATGTCAAACACTGATTCTTTGAAATTCATTGAATTAGTCAAAAATTTGAAAGTATTCGGAAAATCTAAGTCGTGATTCCAATACTTATTTACGCAAGAGAATAACATAACATAACATAAATTCAGAATTCAGAGAGGAAATGACCGAGCCGTAAAATGCAGAACATTTTTTCAAATTAGAAGGTTAAGGTTTTGTTAGTAAATAACAACTGGCTTGTCGTCAGGCAGAAATTTCATACCCTTCACCCTTCCAAAAATATCCCGAGTAAGAAAGACCGATAAATGGAAGCTTTTAGAAAATTCCTTGAAAATAACGAGAAAAAATCACCCGATCTATCATTTGGTAATTTGGTAACGAGCTGTCTAAAGCCTAATCTCTTCAGAGACATTTTTGACCGCGCGCTCGAAGCGCTCAAACCTACGCATGCGCGAATTGGGAATGATCACGGTCGCTGCGGTCAGTTTTATGTTCGTTCGCACTCGTTTGAGAGTAGGTCTCGTTTCTACTCCCAGCCGCTCACGCAAGAGTTCAGCCAATGAAATCTAGTGATTGAGCGCTTAAAGCGCGCTCAGAAATCTCTCTGGTGAGATTAGACTTGAGACTAAAGACGGAAATCGCAATAAACAAAAGACAGAGAAATCAAAGCATCTAACCGAAACAAACAAACAAACGGAAAAGGTCTTTCAAAGTAAAAACTGAACGACTTATTTGAAATGGTTATTTGATAGGATGTATAATTTCTTAAAATTAACAACATGTTAAGTCTTACTTAAATGTTAATGAATTTTATATTTTCAAAGGTAATTTCGACTCTCGTGATCGACAACATTTCTCAAGAAAAAAAGGCAATAAAACATTTAAAGCTACAAGAAATAAAATTTTTCATGCTTGTTTGGAGTTTATTGTTGTAGTTAACTTCCATTTCAAAAAGGCTGTCATACAAAAAAACAAAGGTCTTTGAAAATTAACAGTATTTCGACAATTTTTGCTAGGTATTCTAATTAATTATATAATCTAGGCATGTTAAGAAAGATCAGCTATTTTCAAACTTTCATTATAGCGTTATAATTTTAAAACAATTTATAGCACGTGAGGAGATATCCTACAAACAATATATTTTGCACGTTATATTCAAGTTTAGGCCAATTTAAGCATTTTCAAACGAAAAAAAGTCGAGTTATTGATAAATAATTGAAATCCTGCTATAAAAGTTCAATGGACAGAGTTCAAAGGTATTGTTGTCAAAACTAAAAGGACGGAGCTCAAAGGTCAAGTAGCTGAAATAAATTTTTCACGCCATTAGCCTACAAAACTTACGAGCAAATCAAAATTGTGACATGAAAATTCTAATTCTGAAAAGTCGAGTTATTTGATTCCTCTTACCAAGTGATTTTTTTAAATATAGGAATTTTAAAAAATAACTATTATTCAACGAATTGCCGTAATTAAACTACAGATGTCATTGAATTACCGTACTTGAATCTTGCTTGGAGACCTGAAAGAAAGGTTAGCAAAGTTAACATGGACATGATGTGCTACGCGATTAAAACTACAGATCAATCGTAAAATGTGTTGCAAATATCATTTGAATCTCTACTTCACGCACTAATTCAGAAGTAGAATTGTCTCTTCACACATGCTATAAAGTTTAAGCCTTTTAAACAATCTGACCTTTAATGTCAAGAATTTAAAGACGAGCAGAAAAAGTGCAAATTGAAAAACTTGTACCCTATGTTGCAATGATTATGGCAGCAAGCTCAAAAAATGTGAAATGGCAAAAATTTTCATACAGTCTTCTTCTGAGCGAATTAACCGCATCCACTCTCATAGAGCGATGGATGCGAGTAAAAAACTCGGCTGCAAAAGTGTCGTCCCCAATTATTTTGTGTGAATGCAAAGCAAAATATGGTGTAAATGAAACATTTTTGAATAGGAATAAGTAACAGTGTAGAAGGGGGCCCAAGTGACGAAGCTGTAGAGTGAACTAGACTTACCAGAGATCCCGGCCTTGCCCACACATGCACATACCCGTCATAAGTCGAAGTGATGATACAATCTTCTTTAAAAACCAAACCACACAGTCTATCTTGAGATATTTTCTTTGATACTAATGGTTCTAAAATCGGAACATCCTCAAATCTTGGGCAAACAGTCGTGCCCAGTGCTGGCTCATCTTCATCACCATTAGGAGTGTAATTAGATACAGAGTTTTGGTGCTTTGAGGAAACTGAGTTAAAAGAATGCTTTTTCAAAGACAATTTATGCTCACTAGAAGAGCTTTTATGCGATAACTTCGACTCAGATAATGTCCGCTTGTTTTCACTACTTGGTTGAGAATCGTTCTGTTGCCACGAAGGTGAGTTTTTCGCATAAGTCCAATGTTGTTGGTGCTTGTGAATGAAGGTACTAGTCCGCAAGCTGCGAGTCCGAATCCTCTGCGGCCGCAACACATCATCCGATAAATCCCATAATAGCAACAGCGTATCGTCCCCAACAGAACCAAATCTGTAGGAAACAGCTTGCTTCGGGCTGTCAACAGAATGGTCCCGTATAGTACTAGTCCTATGTCTTGCTCCAGATTTTGCAATTTCTTCTTCGTCACTGTCATCAATCCTCCCCCCACCTACATTTGTCGTATATGGATCAAAGGTCACGGCATTTACCCATGACCTGTGACCTTGACCTCTTACAATAACTCTCTGTTCAAGAAAGGACCAAACGGTCACATGATCATCTTCTCCACCAGTAACAATATACTTTCCGTCTGGACTCCACGCTGCAGTTAGCAATCCGCCAAAATAACTACGCATTATGCCAACTAGTTCTTTTCTTTCATAATCAAAAACACGCAAATAACCATCTTCACTAGCAATTGCAATATGTTTGCAGTCTGGCGAAAATACCATGTCATTGATGGCCCCCCGACCGACTATCCACTTGCAGATTGGGTTACTCAATGTCTTGTTCTTACAGTTTTCGATTACAAAGCCTTTTCCTCGTTTCAAAACAGTATAAACTGGCTCCGCAACGCACTGATATTCCTTATTATAAACATAAATCATCCCTGTACTATGCGAAGCTAAAAACATGGAATCAGTTCCTGGAATCCATCTAATGCACGTGACTATTCCCTTATCAATGAGTCTCTGTCGAAGAAAGAAACACATCTTAGTACCTGTACATAAGGTGGTCCAGTCCATACCGGACAGCTGGCTAAACTAGTACAGATACAAACTCTTACCATTGGTGAGTGTTCATAATGAACACAAAATGAAGTAAATTGACAGAAGCAACTATGGGGAGGGGCATTCAAAAATACAGTAAAGTGTCACAATAAAGGATCTTCTTTTAACTTGAATTTTTTAACAGTTTTTGTTTGTTGTCTATAGGGAAATGTAAAGTAGAACATTAAAAAAATTGCATTTGGTCCCAAAAAATTCTGTCCCAAAAAGCTAGTGGATTCTTGCGAACAGCTATAGAAGTAAATATCATTTAAATGCAAGCAAAAATCGTTTATAAAAGATAGTGATGTGGTTCCTGTTTTCTGATTGTGGGGAAAAAATCAGAAGTCCCAATATCTTCTCATACAAAAAAAATAATTCTTTTAAATGTTTCAAAAAACTATTACCAAAATGTTTTAACCACATTTCAAGACGTCTGATATAAATGAATTCTAAAAACCTATGAAGTTAATGAGTACATGTTGAATGGCAAAGCAGAAGACCTGATAAAAATAGAATGCAACAAGGGACCAGCCATATTTGCATAATTTGCAAAGACTGGCTACAAAAAGAATTCATTCTGTGAATGATGGATTACAGTTGATGCTTCTCAGTTCAATTAAACATTTGTCACAGCGAATGCAGACAATAAATGATATACAGTTTTTTGCATATTTGGTTAGTTATGAAGAATTCATTAGAGAATCTTCAAATTTGATAGAGCAAAAGAAAAGTTAAATTTTTAAGGTGCTGTTTCTTTTTTGAGACGGTAAACAAAATGATGACAAACCTTGTGAAGTTAACATAATTATGATACAGGAAATAAAATGATATTGCTAATCAAAGCCACAAGTGATATTTTCTCACCTGAAGTTGATCCAACAAAACGATTGACTTCAAGCAGAATAAAATCTTACAAAAATGATGCATTGATGTTAGTAGACATTAATCAAACTTTAGGTCTTTTAGTTCCAAATTCAAAGTAGTTGCCACTGTTTTAGAAACAGCTGAATTTCACCTTTGCTGGGTGAAAATGTTGATAATAGCACGGCAATGAAGTTGAGCTTCTGTCTGCAGAAGACAGTTTGGCATAGCCGGTGGTAACAAATTAATATTTGGATGGGTTGCTTTAGGATAATATTTAGGTTTTGAAAATGTTGTAAAAACTGGTTAATTGTCAAAAAGGGTTGAGTTGCAGTTTTACTGGTGAAAATGCAAGGTATGTCTCTCCAGCTTGGAACAAATCTGGCAGGTTCCTCTTTCAATCACAAAAGAAAGAAGTGATTTAATTGGTAAAATGGTGTAAAAACAATACATGAAATTTGCTTTTCAAATTTTGCTACATAAAACATGTGGCTTATGTTCAAAGACAACCAGTTTTGCATTTTTCAGTCCACTTCTTGTGCATTATTGAAAAGCTATTTGAACTCTGGTAAAAAGCACAACTTCTTAAAATTTTGATTAATTCCTATCCACTTTGTTTGACAAAAAAGAGTTATAACACATTTTTTGGCAGGCAGGTAGCTGATAATGAAAATAAAAAAAGCAGTACCTCTTCATTAAAACATTTTATACATTCATGCTTCATTGGGTCCATCAACTGAATTTGTCCACCAGTAAAGCCAATCAAGATTTCAAGCATATCAGGCCTCCTTGTCATAAGATTTATATCATGGCATGATGGTTGTGGTCCTTTGTATGGTCGTCTGTCTATGGGATGGCAAGGGTCTGGAGCCTAAAATTAAAATAGGGTTAATTATATGCATTCTGTTTCTTTCCCTTAACAATAGCACAACAAGCTTTCAATACAGAGTTGTATTGGGAGCAGAAATTTCCATGGGAAGCAGAAACATAGAATGGAAAAAAGGTACTTTTCCTCCTCAGAGTATAGAGGTCGGGAAACAACCAAATGTAAGCATCAAGAAGAACCTTGAGAAGAAAGAAGACATTAGATTGGTTCATTATTCTATACCAATCAGTGGTGGCAGCTAGTCTCTCACCTAGTTGATGAGTTCTAGAGAGAAAAAAAATTTTCTGCTACAAAAGGTGGGATCCTCTTTTATGCAGACAGATTCACAAACACCCAAATGAAAGGACGGCCATGCTTGCCCAGCCAACAATTTTAAAACTGTCATCATTGTATGAATGGTTATTTGGTTACCAAAAAATTTTACTTAAACATTAATTTTAGCCAATATGTTGTAAATGTTCGCTTTTTTCAAAGCCATTTCCAAGTTCTGTATCACCAAAAAATTGTTCACATTTTTCAAGCATAGGTACACAAAACAGGAGATTGAGGATCTCAACCAACTGGTGAAGTTTAGAGGAACAAGCCGCAATAAGAACATATCATTAGAAAGTTGTAAAATGCTTGCTTTTTTCAAAGCCATTTTAAACATTAAAGGCTGACAGACCTTTCAGAATCTTACATTTACAAAAATATATGAATGTTCCTTTCATTTATTTTAAGCAAAAGTCAAAAGAAGCTTTTATCAATTTGATTAATCGTCTCGCATTGAAAGCTGCCTACAAAAAGATCGTGACAAATCAGTTTTCTAGTAGTGAGGTCTTAGCATTTTGGAGAACCATAAATTAGTCTCCTTTGCATAGGTGCTGGCACCATTAAAATGGCAACTGCTTTTACCTTAACAAGAAGTCAGTATTGGGTATCTGTACAGTGACAGAAATACTCAAAGCTATTTTCCAGTTCAAACTGAAAATTTTTGCCAAATGACATCTTTTGCAAAACAGGGGCATAAACTAACACAAAACGAAATTGATGCCAGCCCTCTTATTATATTGCTGTATGCTTTGTGGCAAAAATAATATTGAAATGGTATGGTGAGTATGAAATACAACACCACCCAGGAAGCAATTTTCACTTAAATGTGTAATCATTTGAAACTAAACAGATAGCACCTGTCATGCAAGGAATGGAGGAAGAAAACTGGGATGACAATAGCTACAAGCCTAACTTTTAAAATCAAAAGTGACCAGCAACCTAAGCTTAATAGCCCCACCCCTTGCAACAAATATTCTTAAATATACTTTATTACATTTCAATCAAAAATCCTGATTTTAACAAAGCAACTTTTGACAAATTATTATTATTTACCAATGCAAATGTTTCTCCTTCACAAGAAAAAGTATGAAGTTTGGGGAAAAAAATCACAGAGAAAGAAATAACAGACTTGTCCTGTTTAAAAACAGGAATGTGGGATATAAAATTTATTAAAAACTACAACCAATGCAAAAATACAATTTTTGGGATTGGTCACAACTGAAATTACCACTGAATATCAAATCCAATGCGAATAATGAAGGATACTTTAGGCACTTAGTATTTGACACACATTAATCCTTGGAACATTATCTGGGCAGTTAAATGATTTTAAAAAAAGGTTTGGAACAATATCTTGCAATCATTTGGCAATAAAGTCTACATGTGTGTTGTACATAAAATTTATAAATGAATGGCAAGAAGCTCATTTTGGGTATTCAATCTTTCTTGGTGTGCATTATAGATCATTGTAACTGTTCATTTTCATCTGATATCACTTTACACAAAAGTACCTTAAGACAAGATTATATGGTTTTTTAAACATTACAGACGCTTTTTGATTATTATTATCAATTTTAGAGCCATTTCTCATGCAAGATAATTCAGATGAGCACAGGGTCACTCGCGATGGATTTTTCTTACCATAAGGCCTGTGCATTTATAATTTTTTTTGCATTTATATTTTTATTTGCTATCTTGCATTTGAAGGTAGTTTTAATATACTGAGAAGCCATGCTTATAGAGTAATATCATGGTCCTTCCTCTTGATGTGACCACCCCTTGTGATTCCAACACCCAGAATTACAGACAGCTGACAATTCTCCTCAGTCTGAATGGGTGAGCAAAACATAAAATCTAGAAACCACCTTTCCCACTCTATTAACTTTTCTTTATAAATTTTATCGACAGATTAAACTGAAATAAAGGAAACCTAAAAAGCAAATTTAGTTAAGATCAGTAGGGGTGAGGGTAGATATATTGTCAAACTAAAGAAATAGAACAGGTTTTAAAATAAACTTTCAAACAACTGTGCTAAGTTTTATGCAAGATTTTTTTATTATATCAATACATTACAATTCAAACATTATCTGAAATAAATCAATATGTGTCTCAAAATCAGCATTTTTTCTTTATGCTTATATTTATTTTTATATCCATATATTTCACCTGGACATGTCTATATTTGCATTACGACTATTTACACAAAACTTTGTTTGATTTGAAAGATGTCTTTTTACACTGAAATTGGATTTTTGTATCAAATTTGTATCATTCAGAATACATTATGCTGTAATAAGTGACCATGGGTTTTGCCTGCAACTTAAAAATGGTGACTGAGGGTTGATAAACCCCATAATGTGATTCGTAAAATTGATAAACTCTATGATTTCATGCAACCCAATACTCCGAGTAGCCATTAAGGAACTTCTTGAAACATCAATCTTCAAAATATTTTTAATATATATATATATACTAATTATTTTCTAAGTTATTCATAAAAGAGGGTGTTACCTATTCACAATTTGAAAATTTGGGGTTTCTCATAGCATATTTAATATTCAAAATAGACTGCAACCCATACATAGCTTAACCAAATTAAGAAAGCTCAATTTGTGAGATTTTTTCTATATATATATATATAAATATAGTTTATCTTTTGATGAGATCAACATCAGCAACACAAACAAGTGCTAGATTGAGAAGAGGATGCTCGCATTTTTCTTAGTTATTTATTTTCTGTAGTGACTGAGATTGTTGCATTTTGTGATGTTTACAGTTTGGTTCCTCTATGAAAAATTTCTATATTTCATAAAACAAATCTCTCCACAGCAATTTGAAAAGAATTTTAGAGAATCAGAATCTAGGATATTCTTCTTTAATTTAAGTGTTAAGCACATATTTATAGAAAGTTAACTTTATTTCATAAATATCTGCATTAAATTCTTGAAAGCATTATGATGACATAATGTTCAGCAAGATAAGACTGGGAACGCCTTTTTACTGTATTTGTATTTGGTATTGAATATTTCAAGTGATCATATTAAACTAAAACAATGCATCCTTATTTCAGTCACAAACAGCAATTCATTTATAAATTCGCCTGTTTGCAAGAAATTTTTTACACCACATAACAGATTTGTATCGATGCTAAAAAAATTTGTTTTTCAAAAGCCCTGCATGCTGCTAATCTATAGGATCCCTGTCCCTGTCCAAAGTTGATACAAAAAATAATGTAATTCAATTAAGTATGCATATTTTAAATCAAATATAAGAGGAAAAATGATAGTTCATATAACCTTGTCGAATTTATTAAGAAATAGAAAAGGCAACTAAAATATGCAAAACTACGTAAAAATGTCTACAATATTTGTAGATTCTCCCACATCCAAAACATAGACGGAAACACCCACCAAATGCACAAACAAGATTATTAAACCATCTGCAAATGGTAGGATAGCTGAAACATAAAAATTGGGACCTTAAAATGCTGTGTAACTTTGTTATATATAGTCTTCGTAAATCTTCAGAATGCATTGTGCTGTTAGGTGGTCTGGTTTATGGCGGAAAGAGTTGGTAGCTGGTACAACTTGTATCTAACACCTTGAAATATCTCGATAATTTGAGATCAGCTTACCTTTTTGATGCCCCTAAAGTTAGAGAAATACATGTCCCTTCCGATGTTGAAGGCAATTTTGTCCTCACATTCAGTTCCATCCTTGACGGTAACGAATGACAACCTGACCGGAACGTTATTGGGAGGGCCGCTTGACGGTCTGAGGGGCCTAGAGTAATCCGAGAGTTGAAGCAGTTTGTAACATCCCTCCTTAGTACAGAACTGTGTTTTCACTTCATTTTGTAGGTTCTTTGCAGCAGCCATGATCCTCCAAACACATTTTGCTAGAATTTTAACGGTAAGTGAGATCTGAAATCGCCAGTTAACTAACAATTAACATGATGGGCCTAACTCCTTGTGGAAGCATACTTTATTTTGTGTCACGAACAAATGAACATGGGTGTTCGTATGTGACGACCCAAAGTAGCTATAAAAGACAATCGTTTACAAAAGGCTTCGGTTTATCGACCAATTGAAATTGTCAATCAGATAAGATTTTCTATTTCTGTCTTCTGTGCAACAGCAGAAATACATAACAATTATCACATTTGACAAAGAGATGTTCTGGAACTAAGACGAAAATTTGCACTATTTCAATATAACGAAGCAACGTTTAAAATGTAAAGGATGACCTGGACATAAAAAATTATTACTGTACTTCCAAGAAATATTATTGCGAATTTATCAAAACAGAAGCTGAAATGGTGCTTTTTTAATTATTTTCTATTAATGGCTGACAGTTAGATAACTTTGTACGTCCTTTTTCGATTATGAGGTTTCTAAAACCTTTGAAAACCGTTTGGAATTTTTTATTGTAGAAGATAAGGCAAGAATGGAATGTTGGCAAAATTTAGGTAGAGTCGCCAAGAATGCTAATAGAAAGAACATTGATGATGTAAAATAAGTTAAGGGGAAAGGAAGCGTGAAACACATGGCTAAATGATCAGAAATTTGGAATTGAGAATATCAGTGACGATGTTTGAATCTTACAAAGCCGTTACAAAGTTGAGATTATTAATGCTGTTTCTTTATTTTTTTGAGGAACCTTAAAAGAAACCCTTTGGTGATTATTGTCTGGAAAAAATCTAAAGATTGATGTATTTGATCTCAATATACAGTAAAACCTGCTTATAAGATCTCTGGAATAAATGGAACATAAAAAAATTTGTTCCTTTATCTCTACGTAGATGAAAACGAAGTTTGATTTTCTTACAGTGCATTTTACGTAAAACCAATCTGCCCTCTAGGCGAATAGGCGATATAAACAATGAGATTCTGGTTCCAATTACTAAACGTTGTCTCTGCATGAATTTCAAAACAGTAAAATTGAAATGTAAAAATGCAATAGGGGACAGACTGCCGTTGATATACCATGCAGACATATTCTGGCTTGAGCGATACACCCAGCCAGGCGTATTACGTAGCATATACCGGAGCAAGCATATACCGGATTCCCTTCGATTACTGGAGTATTTCTTAGCGAAATTTTTTATGTATTAGACAAGGGGACGGTGATATATACAGCATTTTCTTATATTCTTCGTCGATTAATTCAATTTGAGCCTGGAAAAAGCTTTTTTCAAAAGCATCGTAATACATGAAGTCTACAATGTCCATACACCTGTAAAACAAAAAAAACAATTTTTGATTTGCTCAAAGTGCCACATCTGAAAAATGTCAACTTGTCATGTCTTTTGTAAAAATTAAGAAGTATTATCATAAGAAAAATAAAATAACATTTAGTGTTAGTTAAGCAGAAATGTTTTCCAAACAGTCTGTCTTTTTAATTTTTGTTTTAAAAATAAATTTTTAACAGATGCATGATTAAAGTTGTACAAATTCTTAAACAATTCAATGGCCGAGAGGCATATTAAAGTTCTTGCTGATTTAGTTTATACAGCTTTTAATGAGGTTTTTTCAAAGATAATACCAAAGATGGATGACTTTGCAATAAATAATTTTGCTCTACCATCGACCACCTCTTCTCTGAACAACTCCCCTAAAGCATGAATACAGGTGATATGTTAGCTATGTTAGCTGAGTCAGAATAGCCTCAAGGGAAAGAAGCAACATCACTGAAAATGTGCAAGCAATTGTTTTACTTTATTAAGTAGTCAAATTATATTCTTTCATATTTTAGAAATCCTTGCTATTTACCTTCTTACTTACCTTTATCAAGAAAAAATTGCTCTTAAATTCTTGAACTGAAAATTTGAGAGTATTAATATCATATCATATTAATAAAACCTTTTACTCCTTTTGTCAGTACCAGCCTGTGCAGTTCATAAATGCTAAGTTTGCTAGCATTTACAAAGTCAAATAATTTCAATAAGTCCTGTATTTTAATTTTTTCTATTACCAGAAAAGAATATTTGCTGAAAAAAGCAGCTAACGACATTATATTCTGTAAGTTCATATAAATGGATAGATTTTTTTATTCTTAAACCTGCTACTCATGTCTGTGCGATCCCCAAAGTATACAGATCTGTCATATTTTTCGTTGCAATCTTGAATCAAATGCCTGCTTATGACAAAGCCAAATTATCATTGACGCATTTATCCTAAAGGATGTAGATGCGACAAGGATCCATTCTAGGCACTCTTTTTCTTATCATCTCTTATCAGATTTCTGCATACTTTAACAAAAACGTTCAGCACAAGAAAACATTTTCTTTATCACCACCTAAGTTCATTAATCCTTCTAGAAATTCCAATAATTCTATTTTTTGATGCCCTGTTTCCCACTTTAGATCGCTCCTTGGACTAAATACCTCAAACTAACATGCAATTTTCCTTCGTGGCAGCTAGCCGAAGATCGTCTAAAAGACGTTTCTCATCAATTTAGACTAAACAGTATATTTTAAGTATGTTTTTACTTGTTGAAACAGCAAGTTGATATTTTGCGCAACACGATCGTTTGATTTTCAAACATATTCTCAAACAAATGCTCGATTGAAAACATAAAAAATGTGATTGCTTTGTAAGCTTTTGACTACGACAATATTTTGTAAGAAACCGTCTTAGCGTGTAAGAAACCAAGCGCTAACATGAAGAAAAATTATTAAGACATAGCAATGGTCACCCTTTAGGTTGGTTGGAGATGATTCTTACAACTGTTAGACACCTCTTTCCTGTTAGAATTGATATGGAAATTTCCGATTCCGTCTTTTATCGATTCCGTATAGGCAGAGATGCACGCGCTTTTGGTGTATAGAACAGAACAGATATAAGCCACTACTAAAGGTATCACGCTTGATGCGATCGTATTCAGTATCTCCAAGGTAGCATCCTCAGATATAAGGACAATAGAGTGGCAACAGTGATGACGTCATAAAAATATAGTTTCAGAACTTTTCAATTTTGACTTTAAAACCCGACTCATTTTCTCGATTCTAATTTTAATTCTGTAAATATTTCAGCTTTTATCTGTGTAAATTTTTAACCTTTACGTTTGTAAACTTTACTTTGTAACATACAGGTCTTTGGTTGATAACAGTCATTTACTTACTGAACAAATTAACCAGTATAAATATGAAATATTATTATCATTATTATTAAGCATTGTAAAATACCTCTGAATGTATAAAATCAGACAAATGTGTTTCGAATTGGCTGAGATATGACCACATGAGCACAGGCTCTTGCCTCATCAAAGCTCTTGTAATTTGGTCTTGGTTCATAACTTTATGAACCAGGGCAGAATAACAGTAATGTGTTAGCTAACCTGAAATTTTTCATTGGCCATATCTCGCCCAATTTGAACATATCTAGCTAATTTTGCACCTTGAGATGTATTTAATGCCGTTTGTTCAGATTATGTGGTCAAATTTAAGAAACTCTAGAAAAAATATTTGATGTCGTCACACTTGGTACTCTCTAGGTCCCATGAAAGATAATCCAAAACGAGAACAAACGACTATCTATAAGTTAGACTGTCATTTTCAAGACTTTAATGCAATTTACAATTCAAAATGCAAATTAATTAATACAAAACCAAAAATTATTAAGAAAAACAACTCTTTTAAAATTTTGCACATTCAAATTGAAAAAAGTTCAATTATCAATAATAAATAAAGCAATATGATTATATCTGCACTCCAAAAAATTCTACATATTTTTGCTAAACTTTGCAATAATTGTATTTCACAAATTACCAAATAATCTACAACTACCCCCATCCACAATTATTTTCCAAGACTACCTATCGCAAGACAAATCTTCAAAGCCAATTAACACAGGAGCGTTTTGAATAAATTCTTCTCCATACCCAGCGAGCTATGCCAATTTCCTACAAGAATTTTCGCAGAAGAATTTTGCAATCTGGAACTATCTTAAAGCCTTAAACAATGCGATTCTGTGAAAGTAAATATTCGTAACTTTGGTGTCAAGCAAAGATTCCCGAAATTGCGTTTGAGTTCAACAATAGTGCAATTTATTCTTTTCTTGGCTCCAATTCTCATATAGTTTTTTTCTGTTCCAAAATTGGCATACACATATATCACATTTCTAACTTAACCCATTTATAAAGTTGTGGGATATAAAGCAAAACATTCCAAGGGGATCAAAGTTTGGCCTACGTTTCCAAAACGGTCCATTTTGGCTAAACTAGCTGAGTTACGTATGAATGGAGTCCGGAAGAAACATTACCAGGTACACAAGGGCTCAGAGCAAAATTTTTGAAAAAATAGTTGCTCTTCGGGGAAAGTTTCATTGGTATGACTTACCTTGAATCCTATTCTGGCACTATCTATGGATTATCATCAGAATATTTAGTTAACGAAAGCCCTCTACCTCGATTTTCAGGGTTTAGGTAACAAGCCACCATTACAACATACAGCAAACAATGCCTAGATAATATGGGACACTATGGCAGTTACATTGAAATCAAAGGTTTCTGTGGGATCAGTTCTTTAATAGTAATTTAGTGGGGGTGGGGGGGGGGGGTGTTTTTGAAATGGGATGCCTTCAGCCTGATATCTAAGGTTTTCAGTATGTCTAAAATCCTCTTGCCTTCAAATAGTGATGTCTTGAGGAATTTTTAAATTTCGTGGTAGAATAGCGAACACACTCTAGTCTAGTACTTCCTATTATTGTAAAGGAATTTCAGTAATAAATACAAAATAAGTGGAGCTTTAATAGCAAAGTACTCTTGATGTTGTTGCGCGAATGAAATGTGTTTGTTAATCTGAGACGGATTCCCTCTAATTACCTTTAAGTCTAATTGCTACCTAGAAATCTTAGCGGTAGAATAGGTGCTGATCGAAGTACCACTTATATAAATCTCACTCAACCTGCCAGAGGTGTTTTGTGCTAAGCATATTCTTTATTCATGTATGAGCCTACCTACCTATTCTATTACACTTTTAATTATCAATTTTTAAAGACCTTGTTCAGTCTATTAAATATGAAGTCTGAATATTCGAATTTGCAGCATAGATGAGCTCAAGGTAGTCAGATTTTTGTGAGACCAAACTGATAAATAAAAAATTTGTACATGATTTTCAAATTTTCCAGCAAAAGTGCCTTGTCCACATAATGCCTACAACCACACAATTATTCAACTTTGAGGCATTTTCTAATAATGGCTAAGCACAATGATCTTTGATTTACTATGGCTAATGGCAAGTAAACTTTATGATCTATGACCTGCCTCTTGTCAACTATGTTACCCTAAAATCTAGCTGAGCTTTTCTCAAATTCTAGATATTAGATATATCTAATGATATTTCACTTGAAATACCTAGTTCAATTCTTCTTTTATTTCTGTCTTTCTAGGAACTTTGAATTTTACCCGGTCTCCATCATGAATAATTGTTGGCGTGTACAGATTCTCCAACTGTCCTGGCAAGGTACGTTCAATGTTGTCCTTTGATGCGCTGCATCCTGATTTGACGTCACAGAACTCCTGAACTGAAAACTCATTCCGGTTTTCTCCTTCACTGCGTCTTGGAAAAAAGCACGTGAAGCAGTGCTTTAGAGAGCCTCTATCACCTTCTGGACCAATGAAACCAATGGCAACAGTAAAGAAACCCAATGCAAATATTATAGAGAATCCGATTGTGCAAAACATAAATATGCCAAATTGACAGAAAAACATTATCTGAGAGCCAAGCATAAATGCAGACGCTCCCAGTGTTGTGCAAGCTCCGGACAACACCGATACACCAACGGTCCTCAGCATGTCCCGCAATCGATCAACGCGTCTTGTCTTCTTCGAGCGGACATACCCATCCGCTAGATGTACACAATAGTCGACAGCAAGGCCAACGACTAGGGTGAGATTCAGTGATTCCATAACACCCAGTTTCCAGCCAAGAAGTGGTATTAGTCCGACAACAGCATTTGTAATCAATGATATTGTAAGGGCTGCCAACAATCCAATTATCCAGTTGCAGGTTGTGAATATAAGGACAGGCAGAGCTAGAGCCAATCCAATGATAATACCTTGCACTGCACCAACAAGTAGGACCTGCAAGTAAATTAATACTTTCATAATTCTTTAGTTTGCCAAAAATACGGTACCCATTTACGGATCGAGATCAGCCAATAGGCAAGATTATGCCATTTATTTTAACCAATCACCGCCAAGTAGATCCCTGCCACTGACATTAATACTATAGTCCAATTATTGGTATAAATCTATTCACTGTATAATAACTACCATCGAGGCTTTGTGGTAAAAGCTTTATTTCAGATGAGTAGCGATTCAGCTTATCCATGCAAACATGCTACACGAAACAGGGAGCATGAATTCTCTCAAATAAAAAGAAGGTTCAAATAGCCACTGGGTCAGCATACTGTAATAGCTGCAATCCTAATTTTAAGAATGCAACATTGAATGTTGCTTTATCTTCACTTTGGGCAGTCCAAGTGGACCAGCTTGAATTTGATTTTTACCAATGAATTGATAAAACGTACCCATTGCACCTTCAACCAGTGCCAATTATTCCATTCTGGTGTGCATTGAAACATATTTTTGCAGTGACGTGGCATGTCGGCCGTCTAAAATAAAATAACGAATTATGAAGAAATTAAGATTCTATTGGCAAATGAATCGCCCCCCCCCCCCCTTCTTACGGTCGAAAGACATGTGCAGTGATTGTTGAGTTAGATGAACTTTGACTGTTGGTGAACCTTGTACTTATTTAGTTGGATGAAAAATTGTTACGTGGTCGGTAGAATCATCCGACAGCATCAAGGTTGGGAACAAATCATCTTCACCTAAATGTCTTCGTTGGTAAAATTAACTTTAGAAGGTCATCCACCCTCCGTCTCTGAAGTCAATTTACGCCATTGAATATAGGATTTTTGTATATTTTGTATCTTTATTCCTGTTGGCAATCGGGGGCAATCAAACTTCGGCCACTGTTCAGGAATGATGGTCGTGAGTAAAAATGATAATTTTTAAATTTAGGCCTGAGCAGACAATGTCACTTCATGAAAAAAGTAAACATAACTAAAAACAATACGCTATAAGTCTCTATGCAAACCTGTTCATTGACAAATTTTTCCCAATTATCGTAAACTATATTTCCTTCTTGATATTTCATAGTTGCTCCAGTTAAAGATGTGTTTACAACAACGGCAGCATACCGCAAACGATTTCCAAATCGTCCTCCTGCAAGAGAAGAACAGAGAATCGCACTGTATCAAAATGATAGCAAATTCAACCAATCAATAAGCATGAAACCTCAAATACGCTTGCTGATTGGTCAATAGTTGATTGACAGATTGATCACGTCACCTGGATATCTGTTGATTGCTTTTAGGCCTTTTTAGTATCTATTGAAGGTCTTTTTAGGCTTACAGCATTCAACCTTCCAAAAATTATCGAAAACATTTGTACGCCCACATTAATTGACAAGGCAAAATTGAAAGAATTTGTGGTACCATGAGGTCCAATGGACCCTGACCCCACCTTTTCCCACCATTATTTGAATCCTTCTCTTTACAAAAAATGTGCCTTTTTAGAAAGAAAAGCAATAATAAACAAATGGCGGTTAAAAAAGATGAAGAAATTTTTAATTTTTGGCTGGGCGTGGCATATCAAAGCCTTCTTGTCTATGTAAATTTTCGCATCCATCCTGATTGGAACAAAAGGTTTTGGGACTATCACTGTTGTAGGCCTAAGCTACCTTCTGATCCCAAAATGAAGCTTATATATATAAACAATGTACTTGCCTTGCGCCATTGCAGTCAATTTCGATCTTGGGTTTGCTAGGTAGGGCATGGCTGTTGGATCCAAAGACCCTCCAATCCAATTGCCGTAAACGAAATAATTGTAACCTGGGTTTGGATTTCCACCGTTTGAAAGCCAGTAACCAAGGCCAACTTCGAAGAAACGCTTGTATTCACCACTAAGCATCGTCTCGTTGTAAACGATAGGCCTTGTCTGCATAATAATTTTCGCTTTTCGTTCGTCTATCGGTAGAGAAATGTTTGCTTCGTTTGAAAACTTGCGTGCTTTGGTTTCAGACTGGAAGGAAATGATGTTTTATTGTATTATAACTTATAGAAATTTGTAGATAGGTTAAAGCCATAATTCCTCCAAAAACGTTGATTCATAGATATTGTTTACATAAATGTTTGTTTACAATTGTTTACATATTGTTGACAGTTGAAAAAACTGTTTAAAAGTGAAAGTATACAGAAAAGCTTATTCTGCCACATATTCGAACGAATCTTGAAGAATGATTGAATAAAAGTCGAAAGCCAAAAAAGCAATCATATTTTCTTATATTGATTTTAAATTTTCACAGGCTATAAACATTCAGAAAATCTCTACTTTTGCCACCAGATTACCAATTCATGATAAGTACCTCAAAAATGTAATTTGTATTTTAATCAAAAGAAAACTTTATTGTATTAAAAGATGAAGGCGTTGATGCATTATAGATGTGTTGCGGTCTAGCTGCCAAAACCTTGTCTTGTTTTTAGAGACGTTTGTTAATGAAATCACCATCTCAAAGCTGCAATGAATGAAATGCAGATGACGTTTATAGAAAGAAGAAAGGGGTGGAGGTAAGCAACCACAGAGATCTTCAAAAAAATTTTCTCTTTGGCAGTTTTGAAATTAATAGTCTCATACACATATGCTCGAGATATGAAAACTATTCAATAGCAAAAATTTAATTTATACGATTATTATCATAAGATTATTTCACCAGCTCTTATTCATTGATTTCAGTGCTAATGATATGCTCAGATTAGCCATAATCTGTGGTCAATTCTGTTTTTGCTGTAACATCCACAAGATTTTTATATGCACGAATCACGGAGTAAAGAAGCATTTTGAGTTGATGGTTATGATTATCAGTGTGTTGCCATCTGGAGCGAATTTTGATTAAAATGGTGTGATAGCACAGACCCACTCTGCTAAAGGTGTGATCAAAGCCACAATCTCACAAACAAAAACTCTTTTTTCGACATTTGCACATGTTTATATTGGCTGAAACGAATCTAAATATCAAGGATATGTATTATTGCTAGTGAGAAAGAAGCGACTTAGCTGTTAGCGGTACTGAGTTTTTTTCAGCTGACAAGGCACATGTTTTGCGAATTATGCTTAGGAACAAAGCAACACGTCGACGAGAATCCAATTTAGTGAAATAGAATTTTAGAATGAATTAGATTTGATAAATACTATTATTTTGCCCAGGCATACAGGGCTTCATCAGGGTAAATGTAACGAAAGATTAGATAAATTAGAAACGTGCGATGATGATGCCGGATTGGTGGGTGTGGAATGGTATAAATGCAGCAGGCGGGGAAAAAGGGGACGATGGAGGTGGGGGAGGCAGGAGTGATTGGTGATGTGTGGGAATGTTGGTGGTGCTGTAGAGGTTGGTGATAATAGGATGATTATAGTAACTATCAAAATCTATGTGTTTACTTTGGAATCTTTCTATATATTGACTACATTGGATTTTCTTCATTGTGTTGCCTTGCTCCTGACTATTTTTCGTATTATTACTCAACATAAGAAAATCCGGAGGACAGCATATCCTGCGTTTCTTCTATCTTACTTATCTTTTGCTACCACTGATCGATAATTCTCAGAGGTTACATCGTCTGTACTTCATGATGCCTTGGGTGAAAACTTCAAACAGTTAAGCACTCATTAACGTTGCATTGGTTCTAGTTACCTTTAGAAATGATTGCATCTTCTCCATGAAGCATGAGACTTCAAGCTCACCAGTTGCGACACTTCTCCGTATTTTCAGCTTCTCTGCCTCTTCAGGAGTGAGAGACTTTAGGCGTTTGCAGAACTCCTACAAAACAAAACTTGAAGTAACGACGCTGCCATGAAAGACATCCTTATAAAAAATGGCACTTACGAAGCGTTGGCCCTCAATATTGGTCGTAAGCCCATCATGGCTTGCACGATTCAAGGGTTCTTAACACAGAAATGCTAGGACAAAGCCATAATTTTCAAAGAGATAGGGGGCTCTTGAAATTTCTTTTAACAATATTTGCAGATACCCTCAATTTTAGGTCATAAACGGGATAACTAGCTATTCAAATAGACCGTTTCTTGAGTGCAGACTAAAATAAAAAAATTGCCTATTTTCAAAAAGCTTATATTTGACGGAGCTAGTTCCTTACCTCCAAACTTTCAAAAGATGATTATTTGAGAACATACCAGTTTCTATAGAATCATGTTTTCTTAGATCAAGACCTATTTGACAAGGATTGACTATTTTTTGGCAAGCTCTGATCACCCCTGTTAAGGGTAACAAAGCGGTGATAAGGGACATTTCATTTAGATTTCCCACTTGATCTGCCCATTACTATTGATACTTAAAGAGTCTGTATCACGAAATGTGCATCCACTTACCAGCACAGAAAGCTGACAATTTGGCGCATTTAGATCGAAATCTTCGTCAAATATCGTCTCTCCTCTGCATTTGTAATCTGTAAAGTGACACTTGCGTCTGTCTTGCAACCCCAATCCCCAGATCAAATACACGCGAATCACGTTACTCCCTTCCCCAGATTCTTTGAAATTATTCATCCGTATGTGACGTATGTCATGCCAATTGGTCCCAGGCTTCCATACTTGTACCTTGAAGAGTGAACAGAATAGCCTATACACTCCTTTTTCAATAAGAAACAAATGTTAAAGTCGAGTGCTTCAGCTTCGTAATGTTTTCGGAAATTTCAATACTCAATGTTTTTTAAGAATTTTTAATTTTGATGTCATTAATTAAAACATTTAGGTTTCTACTGTTTGCCTTTAATGCAAGGAAGCCTTTTTGGAGAGGGCTTTTGCAGCTGCGATCAGTGGACTCATCAAGGTTTCTATTGTCTTAAAACGCTTACGACAATCATGTCAAGAGATTGATTTCCATTCTAATACTGCAAAAAGATGACGGAAGTAGATTTTGTGTCTGAAGTCTTATGTCAACCAGGTAATCACATTCATAAATTAATGATAGATACTTGTGTTCCAGGTTTTCTGAATATCTTATGAATATTTTCTGAATATTTTCTACTTAATTTTTTTCTCTTCAGTACTCTTTCTTAAAGCGACAATGTCTGCCAAAGTCTTGGAACACTAACGTCAGTTTTAAAAGTCAAAATCAATCATTTCCTTCTCCCCAACGGAAAAATATTGGTTTACTTTGAAACGGGTTAGGATTTCGGAAAGCACCTTCTTTTGCGTGTCTTTTATGACATTTCTCTTGATTATCAACATTGTTTTAGAGGGAAGGGGGCAGAAGTAGTAATTTTTTTCCGATAAAGCAATGAAAGATATAAAATGCAATGCAAATTGCTGGGTGTTCCAAGTTCTTTTGGCAGGCATTGGAGCCTCTTATAAAATATGAATATAGTGACAGAGAAACGTAACCCAAATACAGGAATTTCAGAGAGTTTGGATTGAGAAGCAAATGTCTTACCTGCTCTTCATCTGGTCTTAGTTGTACAGCAAATGACATGAAGACGACGCTGGTAACCACGAAGAAGGCCAAAACAATCCAGCGCACAATGGGATGCAGGATGACGTAATCCACATATGGACCTTCAAACCAATTGACTACGATCTTAAATAACTCACCAATGGGCTTGGCTTGATGAATTTTGTTTTCTTTTGAAGCTGAGATGTTTCTTGGTCCTCGTCTTCAGAACTCAAGTTTTCTTGCTTCTCTTTTCTGCAATTTACTTTGCAATCTTGCCAGAAGTAATGGTATGTTACCACGACACTCGGGAAGAATATACAGATAGATATGTAGTTGACAAGTACCAAGATACCTTAAAAGTAAAAATTGAGTGTCACTGGGTGTTGCAAGCATAACTAAAGCATCTTCAGAGGTACAGCTGGTACAGTAAACTCCCGTTAACTCGAACAAGGGGCCAATGAAATGGTTCGAGATAGCGAAGGTTCGAGTTATTGGGAGCTTACTGTACTAAATTCTATAGTAATTTTCTGTGGTAACCACCGGAAATCTGTATGTACAACGATGAATTTCAATCAAATATAAAGTAAACTCTCAAATTGAAAGAGACTTTTAGAACAATAGTTCGTTATGTTGCAGGGAATTGCTAGTTGTCTGCAGGTGGTTCTACAAGTCTGCCTTTGCAGGAACAACTTTGAGTCATTAATCTTTTTCCATTGTTCAGAGGTCTCAGTGCATGGAGCTTTTCTTTAAACAAGGAATTTTAACTTGAAAACAACTCTTATATTATCATAGCAAATATAACGTCTAAAGATCTCCTAGCAAATATTATGTCTAAAGATTTCTTTACATCCTTAGATGTATAACATAGGATTACAGCTTTTACAGTGCAGGTAACTAGCATAGCACTGATTAATATCATACAAACGTGAACAGCCAAGTTTAAGGCATTGATTAGCAGGAAGATTTAAAGATTCAGGTAAATCGGAACTAGATTGAACATCTATGTGGGTGCAACCAACTTTAAGAATGCTTAACTCTCGTTGTAATTTATTTTTTTCTATAAATGGCTTCATCACAGTCCCTTTATGATGGTTAGTGTGAACGGATGGAAACATGACTTGATCGCAAATTGAGTTTTTACGAACATATAGTATGAACTTTAGAGAAGAGTTTGAGAACAAACAACTCGTTCATCTTTCCCATCAATAAAGACAGCAATCGAATCATAACAAACATAGACAGAAAGACAATATTGTTGCTTTCTGGCATACACAGGAGAAAAGAAACACTTTTTAATGAACTTGCTGTTATGTTATGTTAGCAGCTATCTATGATAAAGCTTGGCAACCTTCCTATACAGTACCTGTCTTTATTGCACCAAACCTATTGCCAATTAGGTAGTATAAAGCAATTTTCAAGCAAAAATCTAGTACGAAGAAAATGCAATTGCCGCAAGTTTTATATAGATTTCATAGAATTTTAAATTTTACTTTAACGAAGTTAATTACTATTTTTGCTCGTTTTATGGATAAGGCGAAGCTTAAAGGTTTCAACGAAGGCCGCCGTCTGTTCTTTTAAGCTTATCTTGTGTAATCATATTGTTCATAAAATGAAGGATCGTTTTATTACCTAAACACTTAATTCTGCTGTCAATCAGATTTGTTATTCGATTTTTCCACCTGTCCAGATAAAGACTGGATGCAAAAAGATTGGCAATTAAGATTTATTGACTGGAATTCGTGACATACAAGTTTTGTAATATGAAATTAGGTAAAGAAATGCTAAACTGGTGCTAGTTTCAGAACAATTTGAGTATTTAGCAGACACTTTTAGAAGTTGAGATCGTTCTGTCGTAGGAAGATGCTAGTTGTCTGCAAGGTGCTTCTACAAGGCTCCCTTTGTAGGAAAAAGTTGGAGCCATCAATCTTTTCCATCGTTTGGAGGAAAATTGTCCTTTAAAAAGGAGGTAAAGGAAAATTCTATTCAGAACCTTTTTATATGTAGTGACTACACGGGGTGAGATGGCTGCCACAAGGGCAATGCAATTCTTGATAACAGACATGTGACAATATAACTGTGATTAGTATAATCGTGCTAACATATTCATTTTCTAAGGCAGTTTTTGATTTAATATAGCATAAGTTAGGCCCTTTCATTAGCTGGTAATTTCGGTTATTAGATGCAAAGTATGTAATCTTATCAGGGGCGGATTTAGCGCGGGGGCGGGGGATGAAGGAAGGATGATACCCCCAATTTTTCTGTGTCCTTAGTTAAATGTTGCTTCCATTCGCTAGAAATCATTTTTGGCAGTCAATAGAAATAAAAAATGCTAAAATTTCACTTTGTTTATCTTCTTTATCTTAGAGTCAAATACTGAATTTTGGAAATGGGCGTTTTCATCATTTTTTCAGTGACCCGAAGGGTGTTGCTCCAAAATCCAATTTTTGTCTAAGCCCCCTTCCAATTTTTGTCACTTAAATCCGTCCCTGATCGTTATTGACCTATACAGTACAAACAATGCTTCATTAAATTGCGAATTATCGAGCCATGGCAAATTAACCTACTGCTAAAGAATATCAATATTTGCGATTCATTTCAAAGAAAAACCATTGAAAGTAGTTTCGACACACGAACGAATGGGGCAGTGAGGATGGTAAAGGGGTCTTGAATTGATAACTTATCTCAAAAACCCTTATCTATTGAATCGTCAAACCTTTGACTGACATCGACATATTCAATAAAAATTGAAACCTGCATCAAGTTTCAGAAATAATTAATAGAATTGCAGTTGACCAACAGCACGGATGACAGCTGTGGAATTTCTTCTGTTTCTATTGATTGTTTAAAGCAACAGATCAATTGAATAATTTTGAGGCTACGGTCACACACAAGAAAGGAATATCAGTAAAATTCTAGGTCAAAGAAGAAAAGAAGCTTGTTAGAAGACTAAACAGAAACTTGTCTAATTGCCATTATATTTTAAAATAGTTTATGGTAATTATTTAAATGAATCTTGTTGTTTTGCTTGCATATTTTCTATGCCTATCAAATGTTCACTTGAAAAGAAGTCTCTTTTAAAATTTTGTGATAATGCTGCGGTAAGCCACAAATCTATTCTAGGAAGCACCTACCTGAAAAAACTCCAAAAGAAGACACTGCAAGAAGCGGTGATGCTGCACTTGCGAGAAAAGCAGCCATTGTTGTCAATGACGTCACAAACATAGCACTTGCAGCGCATCGAAATGTTTCTGTTAGATGGATGATGAGATTCGGGTATTTGCGCTGTTCCATCAATTTCCATGTGTTGAAAAACACAAATACATCGTCCGCACCAATGCCGAGAATGATGAACACAGATAAAACATGGAATATGCCAATGTAACGAAAATCAAGTAGGACGCGGTAGACGAGGTTGGCGCCGAAGAAATTTGTGAGAATGCCCAAAAGAGCCCAGCTTGTAATCCACAATGAGCCGGTATTTACCCAAATAAAGCAAAAAATGAACAGAAAGCTGCCAGCAGCTAACAGTAAATCATAAATTACTTGTTTGTCGATAGCATCAAAAAACAGAGCCAAGTTGTTATAATACAGATCCATACTACCAACGCCATCTTTGTACATATTTTTAAGCGTATCAGCAAATGCCTTTTGGGTGTATTTGTTAAGTTCCTCTGTCTGCTCATCCTTTCTATCTTCTGCATGCCTGTAACCTTTCAAGGGAAATCCGTTGAATATCACTGAGCGAACACAACCAGCACGAACAATGTCGTTGTTAATAACAGAATGTATATCAAGGCTGAATGCAACTAAGGCCCGTGTGATACTTATGTTGTTAGCAACTCTCAGCACTTTTTCAATATTTCTAAATTCTGGATCAAATAAATCTGGGTTCAATTTTCTATATGTTCCATCAAAGAGTCTAATGATCGATAAAGGCAAGCTGCAGTTTCCTGTGACATAATTCAGGTTACAAATCTTCTTTTGAAATATTTCATCATTATACAATCTTTTCTCTGTATTATCAATATCCTTAAGATTCTTTGCAGTAAGTACATTCTTTTCCTTGAGGCTAAAAAACAGCTCGATCGGTGAATATCTCAAAGATCGTTCAGGTTGGCCAAGTATTGTTGTCGGAAGAAGGTTAATTCTTGTATCTTGGCTGACAAAATTGAATGCATCAGCTCTTAATTTAGTGGCATCTTTTTCCAAATTTAACGGCACCTTTCCAAAATCATAAGGCAGGATGTCGTACCCAATGAGATAGAGTATAGCAGTTGCCAAAACCGTGCTTAGTTGGATGCTCAGTGTGATTCCTGTAAAGAACAAAAAATTAGATGATAATTTTCAACTAATGTTTGATTCCAGTAAAAAATGAACTGCATACTGAGAAAGATAAGGGAAAATATTTGATTGGATATTGAGATACGCTAGCATGACCATTGTTGATTACTTCTTTCTCATGTTGATTCATTTAGAATTTTTTCTAATAGAACAGCGTATCTTCGAAGCATGGAAGCATCAACAATTGTTATATACAAATAAGCTTTGATTCTGTCACAAAAAAGTCGGAAATACAAAATTGGAAAAATGGCTTTTTATTGTAAATATGTTGCTTGAAACTCCAATAGGGTAAAATATATGATATTAACAAAAATAAAAACATAAATTTTGTGTTCAAATCATTGAAAATGAAGATCATAATGACAGCATATGGTCATTATTCGATGTTTCATACTCAAGGGAATTGCGTGTTAAGATCTTCAAAAATAGTTCATACAGAACCATCAATATAGTTCTTGTTTAATATGTAATTTTGATTTCAAGCAGTACTAATGATTTACTGTTATGCATGTTATGCTTAATAAAAGCACATAATTTTTCGTATTAATTTAGAAATTCACAAGAAAGACTGTATACCGGTGTCTAACTATCAGTACGGGATAAGTAATACACGTTTATCATCGTCTCTTTGTTTGCCCCGAAATGTAGCGGTGTTCTTTTTCTGTATTTTTCGGAATTTTACTATACTTTTCGGCAGCATGTTAACAGCAGACGTTCTTTTAAATTCATTTCGTAGGGGTCACTCAAATAATTGCATATTTATTAACACTTGTCAAAGTTCTCACACATGGCTGAAGAGGACCTCGGCGGCAGAAAAAGACAATGAAACAATTTTTGTTTATTGATCAAGAATTCCTTTGAAGTCCGTCGAGCAGCCTGCTATCGTGACCTTTTCTTTATTTACACAAGTAAATATTGACCATATAGTGTAGGCCTCAGCTATATAGAGTGAGTCTGGTGCCCAGGGTAAAGCCTTAGGTTGGGCAAAATATTAAGATAGCCAGAAAAGATGACAACGCAGCGTACTTAAGCACTGTATGTCTGATACATTTCAGAGTTTAAACGTCGGAAAATGATAAAAGGTAAGTAAAAATACAAATCCAAGCGTGGGTCAAGAAAACTGTGAGGAAACAGTTGAGTGTTTGATTCGTTCGTTGTATTTCACCAATCAGCGGTGAAATGTCTCCTTTTCCTACATCCATGACTACGTTGTCGCCCGTTGGATCCACTACGAAGGTGCATTAAAAAATAGTCATCCAGCTGGCTTCATTCTACTAAACTTTTTGCAACCATGCAATCGTTGTTGATACCAGCAAAAAGAAGCAAACACCAACAAATATTATTGTATTTACAAGATTCTTCTTACTACGATTGCATGACATCCTGGTGGGCTAATTGGCTTCATTTGAATCATCAACGACCTATTCACACATGGTAATTGTTCAAGGTTGCAGGTGGAGGTGCTCTCGATGACATCGCAGTCATTATTAAATTTGGTATCGGTAAACATGTGGGAAGATTGAAGTGCTGAGGTTTGGTATCCATGGATACAATGTAAAGATGACATGAATAGAAATAATTTCATCAAGAGGAATAATATAACACCTAGCAACCACAAATGGTTTATTTCAAGTATTTACAATAATCTGAGTCACTAAGCTTGAATCAAAAGTCACAGGATGTGAGATTTTTGAGAAGACGAGCAAATGAGTCTCCTAATAGAATGAGCCATTCCCTAACATTTCTTTTAGGCCAGAAATCATTTTTCTTGAAACAGGCCTTCACAGACGAAGAAAAAATTGTAATTGCCTAAGCAGGAATAAAAACTTATTGCAAAGCAATTTAGGATTTTGCCTGAAAATCCATTGATTTAGCCACTTTCAAAGAATGAAACAGCCGATATTTTAAACAGGTGTTTTTTCACATAAGAAGAAACAACCACTTGGAAGACACATTTGCTTTTATAATTTTTGGGTGCATTATTGATGACAACGTGCGTGGTTGCGCTGTTGGAACGATGTACGGAAGAAGATTTTAATAATTGCTTTGCAGCTTAGCAGCACCAGTATCAAATCAAGCTTTGCAGCTTAGCATTGTGAACACTGAACATGCAGGGTTTAGTACTTTCAAAGATGTAGATAACTTGTACACAATAAACGTTTAAAATTTAAGAGCAATTATGAGAGGCTGTCATTGCATAGTTTGACTCATAAGATTGAGATAATTACGAAATTTTGATTGATTTCCAGCAATTATATTAAAACTTTGAAATTAATTATCTTACAAATTAATTACTTAATAATTCCCTAATGTTTTCAGAAACTACACGTAGCACTTTTAAACAGGATACTGAAACCATTTTTGCTATTGACTTCTTTCAAGGTTGATTTACGTATTCCAAGTTGCTGTAGTATTTGCTAGCATCCACAGGCACCGCGGAGCATTGAGAAAGGTGGGGGTCTACAAAAAGTGTGGAGCCTAAAATCGGATAGAAAGAGGCTTTACTGGTGACTCACTTTTTGATATTTCGCACTTAGGCCCCCTTCCAAGCTCCACTGCTCCGTGGTGGCTCCTTAAATTATGCTCAATTACAAACATGTAACTCAAATGGATTGCATAAAATTCGTCTTAGCTCCGTTTTAGGCTATATAACCATTCGTTATGTCAGGATTTGATGGCTTTGTTGTATTATGATTTCATTTCATTGTTTGGAATTCTCTATCTACACTTGTTATTTCAACTAGCCTGCAAACTGGCCTATCAAGTTCAGAGTTTTGTCTTGGAAGCCAGAAATAATTTTGTTTACCTAAGTCAATTATGAAAGAGAAAGAGTCACCTGTTCCGAATTCTAATCTTATTATTCCCAATTTCACAAGCTACCGAATCGTCTTCAGAGAATGCAGATCAGCTCGGAATTAAGTAGAGATGGAATATAAATTTTCAGAGAATGTCTGTTACTCTCCTATGATAGTTAATTAATTTTGAGAAAGAGGGAAACGTTCAACAGTAATTTGAAGACGATTGTATTGGCTCGATTCTTAGCATGAAAAGCTTATGATATGACAAAATCTTTCAACTCAAATCCATCCGTATTAAGAAAGCCTTACAGAGAATAAGACATAATTCTACAGGGCCTAAATTTAAGCAGATTTCCACTGAAATGAAACATTTGAAACCCGGAGGAGGCACACAAGCTGGGCCTTATAGCTGCTTTTTCTTTTAGACCTTCCTTAAGCTCTCAGTAGTTTACGTAGGTGGAAGAATTATACAAAATCTAAAGCTTCTAACTTTAGCTTATCTATCACTTATGTACAATGAAAGTTTAATGTCCATGACTGCTGAAATCTCACAAAGTACGCATGGAGAAGCAGAATTAAATCTTTTGACGAATGTGCGCTAATGGGCTGTATTTTGTATTTGTTAGAGGCAGCAATAAAAACTTGCGCTTAGCAAACATTGCTAGCTTAATCAAACTGAGATAAATTTCGAGGCTGAAAAATTGAATTATGTCAGTAACTGCAAGTTTACAAGTACCAGAAATGTGACGTTTTTGGAGCAGAATTGAAGGTCAATGTAATCCCAAGTATCAAGTTATATCCATTGGTATACAATAAAGATATCACAGATAAACCCAAAGATAAAGAAAGATTAGCACGAGTCAATTCGTAAACCTATAATAATTACTGATGTGTATCTGTATATCTCAAAAGGCATTAAGGTTAATACATTAAAATAGCTTCTGACCTTTCAAATGCAAATCAGATTCGATGATATAAGCGATTTTATAATCCTATGAACAGATGTTTGGGCAAAGAGAGGTTTTCATCTGCCTATCACATCTCGCATTCAATAGTAAAGAAACCATAACTTTTGTCTTTTCGATATAAATGACATCATTAAAAACACGATTGTACTATACAGAAATATTTTGTTCATTGATAAATAAATTCGCGTAAAATGAAAGTTCGATTGTAAAAAGCATGAAAGCAAGGATGGCACTATGGGGTGTCATGGGGGAAAGCTCCCCCCAAAAGTTCCCAATGACACCCCGTCGGCCGCCCAATATATGAAAAGAAAAAAATGTTGGCACTTTGAAACTGAGGAATTTACCTTTTTTGAAAGAACCATTAAATTGAAGTTCTTTCAGTAAAACTTTACGCTTTTTGACTTTCAGAAAAACTATTACAACCATTAGAACTACGAGGCTGTATTGTTCTTAATTTGTTCTTAAATCATAAGGGTGTAAGCAGTGCAATTGCTAAATATTGTCCTTAAGGAGAGTGTTCAGGCACCATTTTCTAACAAACTTTGAAAAATTCAGCGTCAAAGCACCGCTAGATGGAAAAAACTCTGTTTAGAATTACATTTAAAAGTACCAGAGCCACAGTTGATTCTTGATCTCTTGACCAATTTGAATCAATTAAAAAGAACAAATTTGGAGGTTCGTGTTTCTATATAATTGTTATTGTGTAAAAAGGTTCTATCAAAAACTGTTGCCCAGCACCATGATTTGTTAGGAATCTGAGAGGCATCAAATAGCTAGGGCCGCGGAAAGGGGAGCAAGTACTTCAGGGCTCTATAGAGCCTTATAAAGCAATGAATTCAATTTTCAAGAATGGAATTAATCAAACATAACAAAAATAGGCCCAAGAATAGTGAAACATTTCAAACAACTGGAAGAAAATGACTCCAAGAAATGTTCTGAAATGTATTTTAAGCGAAACTAGAGGGTGTGGTCGCAGAATTTCCTGCTCGCTTCGCTCGCGAGGAAGCCTCTTCGGATGTCTTATATAGAAAGAAGATATCGAAGATATCGAAAGAAAACAATTTTGTTGAGAAGATATCGAAAAGGCAAGATCTTTATGTTTTTAGCAGAAACCAAGCAATAAATGGCTCAAAATTGCTCAGGCAGTAAACGGTGTACTGTACAAGGGTATTTGATGAAAATTCTTCTAAAAATGTAGAACTCAAAATTGTTTGTTATCATTTATCTAATTTAAGCCATGCTAAAGCAACAAGATTTTCAAGCTTTTGGCATTGGTTATTCAGAGAATAATGTGCAATAGTAGAATCAAAAGAGGATGCGTTTTGGCTCTTTCCTTTTATATATTTTGCAGTTGAAAAACAACAACCAACACGGAAAATTTATATTGCATACCACTTAACTGACAAGCATTACAATGCATTTCGCTTGATACAAACCTGACAAAAAAGCAACTAGCAAGACCAAATGGAAGACAAAATATGATGTCTTTGTATTCAAAAGAGTTTAAGTTCGAATAGACCACCGAGTTGTTAACAGAGCATATAGGGAAAGGAGATCGATTTGGCACACCATCCTTCTAAACAATTTTCAAGCATAGATTTTACTGTTTGTTTGTTTAAAAAATGTCTGATGTTGAAGTTTGGATAAATCTGTATTCAGACTTAGAATTTACCGGATTTTATTTCCCTATAGAATTAGATACCCAAATTGTTCCTTGTTTAGTCTCCCAAATGAGTCGAAAGCAACAAGTTGTTGAAATGATTTGATGCCTCTTGATACCTAAACTAGGAGACTTAATTGCTTGGAAGAGTTTGCCTAACGCTAGCAAAGCTTGATTCATCTTAAGCGGGCATAGAGTTTCGATGAGTAGAAGACGCAGGTTAAGAATGGCAAGCAAAACTATTTCAGCTGTTAACTTTGAATCAGAGATAGGCATACCCTGAAAAAGGTATTCAAAACCCTTATTTGAATGTAAAGTGTGTTTAACCATTCACAACCCAGACTACGGGTGCGTCAATGGACACTTGAAATCGAATTCAACTTATAAAAACGTGCTTCAACAAGGAGATGCAAATAAAATGCCCGGTCATGCAAACTTTGGACTGGTCAAAAAGGAATTCACGTGCCTTTGTAAACTGCTCTTAAATTGAATTGTCAATGTTACAAGGTTCTTTGTCAACTTAGTTGATTGTACTTGATAACAACATAGTTAATAGTAGCTGGATTTAGAATTTAATGAAAAGCGTCTGAGCTTGAGTTTACTTTCATTTCTACAATAATTTTGAAAATAAAAGGTAAAGTTTAAAATTTTCTGCTTATAACAAATCAATTGTCAAAATGGTTGCAAAATGTTTTGAAAATGCTCAAAACGGTTTCAAAACGCTGACTTGCTATTTTTTTTCAATTGAAAAGGATTTTGATTCGTCCACTTATGAGAAAAATTTCACAGCGGTGAACCTTTTAAACCAAAATTGGTGAATAGTGAAATTTATCCTCTTTGCTTTGCATAGCAAATAATTTAAAGATAAAAAACTTGAAAGGTTTGTAAGAAATTATCCCATCTTCCGTGCAAGAAGACAATTTTTCTTTTCTTTCTAAAGACGGAGCATTCGACAAATAAAGTGAAACACAGTAGATCTAATTATATTAACTAAAGGGCTAGACGTTAGTTTGTCCACCAAATTTAAGATAACGATGATACATAATTATAAAAAACGTACTTTCGAGACAACCACCTATGAATTATCCAACAAAAGCTGTTCTTCATCAATTCAAGCTAGTTGTATAAAATTCCATAAGAATATGAAGAATCGATCAACAAGTATAAAATTATTTTTTCAAATTATAAACAAACATACCGAATGCCAATTTTGGTCTTTCAACGTAGAAACGGCATAGTTTCTCCGGTATTGTCAATTCTTCGATTCCACTCGGCCCCTCCGTGGCTTTCGTTACCAGAAACGTTTCACGCTTTTCTTCAGCCCTTCGAATTCTCATCTTGTTTGGATTTCAGCAACTCAAAGTGGCCTCCATATCACTTGCTTCTCCTTCAGTTCAGACAACTGCTGGTGTTTTTCATCGAGCGTTTCTTGAACAATGAAAGCCTTGTCCACAAGCAGGTGCAACATTGCAGTCTTTGGTCGGCGGGTATTTGCAATTGTAAAACCCGGACTAGCAAACTAGTAGAACCGACAAAGAAAGGTAGGAGTAATTCAATTTTTCAATTTTAGAATATCAATATTAACGATTCTACATATAATGTTTCATAAAATAATGGTGAAAAAAGTGAGATTTTCCAAAGGGAGGACGCAGATTACTGTTTGAGCAGGTAAAGGAACCAAATCATAATTGAATAAACAACCCGTAAAGTAAATATAGTTTTGATCAAGAAATTGAGGTAGATCTCGATTCCATGTGCTCAATCAAAAATGTAAACGAGGCTCTGTAAATTTACTGTTTGTTAGATAATTGGGAGCAACCAGCTGAAATCGCTTCATAAATATCACAAAACACTGGCAATTAAACAGAATCCAATTTAACTACCTCGTTTCCCTTTTTAGGAAAATTTGTTAGCCTACTGTTAACGAAGCTATACCTTCATTTTATTGCATACTGCGTCCGTAAGTTAAATTCAGCAGAATAAAAAAGGCGTTAAATGATAAAAACTCTCAAAGTTAATAATTCTAATGAGTTTGCATTTATACTTGATGTGGCTGACATAGGTTAGGAGCAAAAGAAGATTTCTGACACTGATGATGTCAATCCGGTTGTAAATCTTTGGACCGACATATTTCCCCTTAAAATTGATAAGTTTGCCTTTGTGAAGTTTGAGTCTCGGAATTGTAATGTCCTTTGACCGATAAGGAACCCAAAGGGTTAATGCGGCGAAGAGATAAGCTTAATAACACTGCTGTAAAAAGTACGTCACCACTTGAAATAGGTTCATACATACGGGCAAGTTTGAAAGAAAGTCAATTCTCTGAATATCCAGTTAAAAAAGAAAACTAAAATAACAAGATTTCATCTGGCAAGGGAAACATTATTAAGCTAGAACATCTTCAATTAATCTTAGACAAGGAGGGAGAGGGTGTGATCTCCTTGTGGATTCAAATTGTGATTTCAAAGAGTAACCTGGTTTCGCCTTGGATAGTAACGTTGAACAATTTTTAAGTATTTGTGAGCATTTCACTCATAACTAGAATATCTTCTTCTATTATTGATAATTTTGCCACAGTATCGAACATTACAAAATCTGAGATACTCCGATTTCTATGAATGAACATAAAATGGTCTAAGATGATCAAAACCCAACGAATGAAAATCTTTGGTGTAGAAATGTGTTTTAAAGGATGTTGCAAGTATGAGCTGGGGACAAGCACTTGGTCAAGCTCATGATATCATAGTGCATGTTAGTTACTGGTCCACACTTCGCTCATCATATATCACCGAGAAACATGCTCTTATCCAAAAGATGCGTGTCTCAGAAAAGTGCTGCCCCTAGACGAATGCAGATCTAAAGTCTAGAACTTATCAAGTCTAGGAATAGGCTAAAACAGGCGGTGTGCAAACGCAAGTCAGCCCTCTTAATGTGCTTATATTGACAAGTACGAAACAAAGTCAATCGTCTTAACACAAAACTTAAAAGACAGTACTTTACAATGAAGGTTTTAAAGTTCTAAGGCAATTTAAAAAAATCTTTGGAAGACACTTAATCAGCTACTGAATAAATGATCCAAACCTACGAATATGAATATTTCAAAAGATGGAAATAAGAATATTTCCGACAAGGGAGGGATTTTGCATTCAATGAATAGTTTCGTCAGTTCAATCGGTAAAGATGTGTTCCTTACCGATTCCATTAAAACAAAACCAAATACCTAGGACTTCCACTAGACATCTGCTTTGACTGGAAGGATCACGTTAGGGCTGTGTCTTCTAAAGTTTCCTGGGTAATTGGTCTTAATCAGTGGAAAACAGTCGGGCTGTGCTGGCACGCCCGAAAAAAGTCGTTTGCAAAAGCTACAAAACAGGGCTGCAAGGATGGTTACAAATAGCAGTTTCGATACATCCAGTCAACCACTGATTAAAAAGCTTGGGTGTAAAATAGTGGCGGCTCCAACCTAGGATAAGTGGGGCGGGGGGAAAAAGGTTTGTCAGGGACCACGCCCTTTTGGATCACGCCCTTTCCCCCTGTTTGAAACATTTTCCTCCGGTGGAAACACCTCTTGTCTCCCAAGAAATGTCATTTAAATGTGGATACCCCCCCCCCCCCCCGACGATCTAGATAACGTACATACCCCCGCCCCACCCCCGACATTTTATCATAAGGTTTGCGAAAATCTCAAGGACCTTCTTTCTAAAAAAGTGACTAGTCCACCCATCTCCCCCCCCCCCGTGGCTCCACCACTGGTATAAAACAATAAACGATCTAATTGAAACTGAATCCAAAACAATGGTCTTAGAAAGCATAAAATCTTAACGCTGAGATGGGAAAGGGCAAGTTATTTAACATATAAGGTAGCCTAGTTAGGGAGAAAATTGCTTTTCAAGCCAAGCCCCTCAACATAGTGCGCGCAAAGGCTGAAAATGAGAAATACAGAGATAAGACTCATACTGTTGGCTGCTTGAAAAAAAACAGAGTGTTAAAGCATCATCTTTTGTTTATGATTTTTATCATGCAATACACTACCCTATCGCTACAAAAGCCTATGCTTGCATTTTTTACCACCTTACTTACTTGATAAAGTAGATTTAAGGACATTGAGAAAAGCTATGCTTATCAAGCAGTGTCCTAGTCCTTTCTCTCGATATGTTCCAAGTTTTTTAAGCCTGCAGTTATAGTGTGCTGACGACTTCCCTCACTCAAATTGAAAATTTTGTCATATCTGTGACTCAAACCACAAACTCTTGGATTTGTAGTCCGCAACCCTAACCACCTAATTACCATCTTTGAACCATAAAAGACTACAAAGCCTTTGGCAACTTTTAAAAGCAGATAGAAATTCGATTTGAAGGTATCCATCATTTTAATAGCAAACCTTTGAGGCATCCAAGACTTCTCTGAAGCCAAATAATGTAGGGCTTTTGGCCCAAATTTCGTTATAAAACTTCCTAAAAAAGTTATTGAATTTGCCCAGCAAAGTCAACTATGTTTTATTCATGGCAATGAAAATTTTTGCAGACAACATATAAATATTCTCCCGGACGAAACTTAAAGATTCTTAAGTTTTTTGAACCAATGATAATATCGGAACATATCTAAAGTGGAAACGAAATCGACAGAAAGAAATTTTTAGTTCTCTTTCTGAAATTGGTTACGTATAACAGTTTGTCGAGTCAGGAGGCATAATTTCAAGACTTTGTTGAAATATACGTATTTGTTCATGCCAGTGTCCAAAAGTACTTTTATAACTCTTCTTCACTTATTATATTATTAAAATATTACAAAACAAGCTTGTAAAAAGCTGCTCAAATATGCACAAAGGGTGCGATATATTCCTCACTGACCAAAATAATATAAAAAAACATCAATCTTTCTACCATAAATTAAATCAAGTTATTTTCTAGCTAATTTCTCATCAAATGACTAGACTGTACCCTGGCTTTTAAAGATTTTGAGTAAAATATTTGGTTGACCACAATCAAACGAAACAATGGAAGCCTGGTGTGACTAAAACTTGAAATCAAGAGATCTGTTTCTAGATCCAAATGTAATATTTATTGTAGCTCAAGAAAATTAATTTCCAACCTCCATTCGTTTAGCTATTTAGTAATTTTTTTTAATCCGGATCCATACCAAAGCGCAAATAACTTTGCTACGAACTGGATCTTTATCATGGTTTATACTATATGTCTTCTAAGACCAAAAGCACCGCAAAGAATAGCCCAAATAAAAATATTAAGGATTTGATCAAGCATTAATTATTGAATAGAAACTCACGTTTTTAGCATCCCTATTCTTTGACGAATTTTTGCTTTGACAGCTTATCTCCAACCATGATTCAAAATATAACAGTATCTTACTTGGAACCCGAAAAACACAGAATATGTTATCTCAAGGTTGTATCTTGCTGTGTCCTTATTTACAAAAAGTAGCACCTATTCAAATTCAAAACAAGATTTTTGGAAAAGCAATATGATTATAATTAGTGGGCAGGATTCGTGGATGAGTCGAATTCGCTGCCAAATGATACGTAGCTTTTGATACTATGCATATATTGGCTACCATTAATTATTTATGGTCTCTTTTTAAGGCAAATTATAATGACCTAGATTTGAATGATATAACGATTTACTGAATTCACAATAGTAGAAATAATTTTCATGGATAGAAGACTAAGTGGAAATGAATGCCTGGTTGTTTATAAATAAAAAACAAATGTATCTCTCATATTTTGCTTTTTTCTGCATATAACTTTGGGGGTGCAGTGGTGGGGGTGCAGTGGTCAGGGGGAGAGTGGGCTATTGCCGGCCTTACGTAGCCTTGTTGTTGGAAAATCAGAAAGTTTACATTTTCTAGATTTATTGCAGTATTTTGGAGAAAATTTCTTCGGAAAGTAGACAGATGGGACTTGTTCAAGGAAAAGGTTACTCGAGGGGGAAGGGAAGGGGGCTTAAAAGGTCAAATTGCCATACAAAGCTCATTTCGTAGCTTTTTCTCGATTTTCAATTTCATTGCAATTTTGCTTTTTATTCTTTCTAAGATATCAAACAAAAGTATAATTCAAATCACAGAAAAAATTTCAGGCTGCAATACATAGGCGCAGACTTAAGGGGGCTCAGCCCCTCCTAGGAAATAGGGCATTGACTAATTTTTCACATTCTTGGTTTCACGCATAAAAATCATCTAATGAGATTTGATCAAGATCAGTGATAACGATATTGAAAAATGTAAAAGAGTAAAGGAAAATCACCTTAGAAACCCCAGCTAGGCCTCTTTCTACCCTCTGCCGTCGGCAGTCTCCATTAGCAATTGTAAATAATTTTTCAGCCCACCTAGAAAAAATATGAGTCTGCGCCTATGCCACAATGTTTGAATTTTTATTGTATTCAGCAGTCTTTTTGTCACTGACTCTTTCTTAGCTTTTTTCATTCACTGCTGAAACTGCTATCGATTTTAGACTTAAATAGTAGATTTTTTAGTATCTCGATTAAGCCCCCAAGAGGCTTATTAAATTCGCAAGAGTTTGATGTTAGGATGGGGCTTCATTTAAAAGAAGGGGTGATTAATAAAATTTTATCTTCAGGGTAATGGCTAATTCAAGGGGGGGGGGCTGATACGAGGGATAAGGGGCGCCAAAACTGTTTGCTTGTAATATTTGGCTAGGAACATCAAAAATGATCGTGCACGGGTAGAACACTTCGCTGTAACTTGCTGTGAACAATCTAATAAAACGTATGATTCTACAATCGAAGCACGTTGCGTTGCCATGACCCAATCAACATTTGTGTCGTATGTTTTCGTGTTAACTATGAACGTGGCTTCATGTTTATCACGCCAACTAACGAAGATTTTACGCATGCCAAAAATTTTTTCTACTAGTTTGTACTCGGAACGCCAAAAAGCCTTAATGTACGCCAAAGATCTTCGGGCCAAAGGAAATGGAATGCACCCTGGCAATCAATACAGCAGCAAGGTCACCCTTTTTTCTTTATTCAACGCACGAACCTCCCCTCCCAGATTTTTTCTGAAAATCAAAAATAAATGTTTTTCTGAGCATCGTCGAACTGTCTATTCTGAGCGGTGTAGTAATCTGTTAAATTTTAGTCTGGGAGATGCATCTTTAGCCATTCTAGAAGGATTGATTTCAAATATTTTCTTGCGCGTCGGACCCAACCATGGTCGGTCCTCCTTTGTCACTAAACGTGATCCTTAGCCCAACCCCAGATTCAATTTTGTGGCGCCGCCTCTGTCCGATTCAATAGTGCGATTCAATGCCCGAAACTTTCAAGTCTTTGAAAGAACTACTACTTAATAACTACTAAAGAATAACAAATTTGAACCATGTTTGTATATCATACATCATATATGCGATGACACTAGGCAGGTAAAATCGCCCATAAGCAGAGGTGAAATGAACTAAGGTTGCCTTTAGTTAAAAAACTAAGGAGCCCGAAACAAAAATTTGCTCTACGTTATTTTACTCTGAAGATTGTTTTCTGGATGTAATAAACGAGTAGCCTGTATGAAACATCAGTGTAACTGAATAAAATGTCTTTTGCTTAGTATTTTATGTTTTGCCTACCGTATTTCCTCGAAAATAGGCCGACTCTCGAAAATAAGCCAATTCAAAATAGCTTGATATTTTACCGAACCACGATCGAGAAGGTCAAATGTTTGGATTACATAACTTTTCCATTCATATTCGCATTCTTAGTCAAAATTTATTCATGAAATTTTGGATTCAAGTTGCAAAAATCGATTTCCCTTTTAGAAACACATGCTTTTATATAACCACGATATATAGATAGGGCGCAAAAATTGACTTGGCCACCCCATGGAAAACATAGCCACCCCGCCACTGATCAAAGTACTTCGTCGAGTTGCCAAATAAAGACAAAAACAAATAATACTGGATATCTCCCTAACACCACATGTACAAAATGATTGTTGCTTACGGTTGATTAAAGTTTTTCATAAATTGTTGATTGTCTATTACATAGAAAATTTATCAGCCTGTTTTACCAGTGGTGAAGTGGCATAGGATGTTGGGATACAAACTCGTCCCGGAGACCGCACTTCAAAGTCGGAAATTTTAGAGAAATTGGAAAATCTAATTCGCCATTCTAATGCTTATGTACGTCAGAAAATTATGCAAACTAACAGTTTCAGAAAGCAGGTTCTGGTTTTTAGTATATCATGTTCAAAAATTTTCTGCAGTTTTAAAATTTCGAGCAAAAAAACTTCAGCGAAATTTCTTTCACACATTTATTTTCACATTTCAGACGAATAAATTTTCGGCCAAGTGTTCGATAGCCAGGTTATTGATTCCCAAATATTTTAAATATTTCTGTTGAACTTATGAGAATTTTATAACAAATTCCGAGAACTGAAAAAGTGATAATGCTGAGAAACTTTTATTACCGAACTTTCAGTGATAGTCAGGACATGTAGCCAGACAATCTGACATTCACCTGGCTCAAAAAAGTCACCTGGCAAATTATGAAAGCCTGTACGCCCTTCTACAAGAATTTGACGAGAATATATACATTGATGTCAGGCTATATGTCCTGTCTAGTACGGTGACTTTTGATAATAGATGAGAACGATGAAAAAATTTCCTTGATCTGATATTTGTGATATTTCCATTAGCATAGAAGCAGAACTGTTTTCAAAAATCTTAGAGACCTATTCATTTTTCAAGATTGTTTCGTTTTGTTTTGTAATGGGAATACAAATTCAGAAGTCACTTGATTTATGTTGCTTAGTCAATTTACATTGCGCATGCTCAGTTGATAAGAAAATTTTGGTGTGACAAACCTTCGGACAGCTCTAAACTCCGTACAAGCAAATTTTCGAACAAATTTTTGTCTCAGAAAGTTTGTCAAGGTTGAAAATTACCGTTCATCCCTTCCCTCTTTCTCCGCGGAGAGAGGATCAGAACGAGGTCAGATCATAAGGCCTCCACTCTTCACTTTCGAAAATGGCGTTTAAATTGACCGTAACAAACGTTTTAAAAGGAATAACAACACAGATAACAAACAAACATAGTTTTGTTGCATGTTTTATAACAAGTAAAAAATTCTTGGCAAAAGCAACAATCACTACTTTCAGCTATAACCGGTATGTATTTGGAAAAATCGGAAATAAACTTAATCGGTTCGGTGTGATGTATATGGTTTAGTGTATTTTACGAATGAAGGCTTTTTATTCCAGAATATGAGACTGGAGCTGTGTCACCCGGACTTGGTGCATTTACAATAAAAGACGAGTGTCTGTCATTGCAACTGCGAGTGCGAGTGCGAGTACAAGTGCGAGTGATTGCAACTCCTAACCAGTGGCGTAGCTAGCCAAATAGCAATGGTCATGCCCTCCCCTCAAATTTAAAAAAAATATGGGTGTGGCCAAATTTTACCACGCCCAATTTTTTAGTTGATCAATGAGTTCCTTTCGAAAATTTTAATTTTAAGGCTTGTGACTTATAAAAAAAAATTTGATTAACTTTTGGAATGAGCTTTTCTTATTTCATAGCAATCACCTTGTTACACCATGAAATGACCTTTATCTTATAGCTGTGACACTGTTTTGGTTTGTTGGTAATTTATACAGACAGAGTTCTGACAATTTCCAAACAGAACTGTACAAAAGACATTAAAAAACATTAGTTTAGTATAGTAGATAAATTTAGCTTAAATCAAAAATTAACTTATTCTCCTTTTTTTTCAATTTTGCAGGCTGAAATACATTTGTAAATTTTAGAGATAAGCTAAAATTTGTAAATGAAACAATAAATCACATGAAACTGAATGGGAGCTTTTTGGTCATCTTTTTCACAAATAGACTTATTATCAATCTATTGAAGGTATTTTAAAGCCATCACGATTAACTAACAACCCCAATAGAACTGATAGATGAATAAAACAAATTGGCAAATGAATATGCAATGTAAATATTGATATGAAATATAGGAAGCTGAAATAATGGATAGGCCTAGTTGCAAAATGTTTTCTGCAAAGTTAGACTTAATAGAAAAATACCTTGATGTTTCTATAAGTTTAGCTAATAAGTTTAAGTTTAGCTTAACAAAAACATTGATGTTTCCACATATACTTGTGGTAAATATCCACATGATTGGATTGTCCTACTAAATCTAGCAAACAAGGGTTGTAAATGAAATAATTTGATCTTGTAAATTTTCAAATACATCAAAAGTTGTGATAATGAAATAAAACTGTTTAACTAACAAGATCAGTAACATGCTTGACTTGTCTCTGGTCATTTTATTTCAACAGCTATAAGTAGTAAAAAGGTACTTTCAATTACAAGTGAAGTCAGTAGAGCTTTGGGTTTGACTTAAATTGTGTGTAAAAACAGTGTTATTGCATGTAATAAAATTGAAGAATAACTTTAAGCAAGTTTTGGCATTCCCTATCCATTAACTACAATCTTATTGTCCTAATCATAATATGGTAACAATGCTTTTAAGGGCTTAACAGTTTCTGAATATGCTGCTAAATGTCTGGAAAGTTTAAGCTCTCAAATCTGTTGGTTTGGAAAATAACACTGCTATCTCCTCCATCCATCTCCAGTGAACAGCACCAAGATTTGACATTCATTAAATTAAGAAGATTCTCTGCAAATGTTCAACTAGTAACAATTGAATACTGAAAAGGCTGAGAGTTCGGTTTGGTTGCATAAAATGATCCTGTTCGCTGATTTTATGTCCAAAAATGGCCTTTCGTGCCTGTCACTTTCTCCACACAGTGCAACACCATGAAGGCTGAAAAACCCTGTCATTGCCATAAATGTTCTGGAGATTAACATGAGTCGTGGCTGCTTGGCAATAAGCTATTCCTTGCATTTTACTTACAGAGAATTACCTCCCAGCTCGTGGATCTAGACATAGCAGCGCCACCATTGATGCCTCGCATTCGCGTTCACAAAATAACACAGGACGGTTCTGATGATTATAATGATGGTCATGCCCTCTCGAAATGGCATGACTAGCCTTTGTTCTCTCCTGCGTCACTCCTATTGTTAGGCATGACCAAACATAGGGAACAGCGTCATGCTCATAGTTATGGGCATGACTAAATTGGAAACCCTCTGTTTTAGTCATGCCCGACAATAGAAGAGCGCCTTCGGAGGGCTCCATATTCTTGCGTGGAACCATAGGGCTCCAAAGGCGAATGGCCTGAGCTATTTCATCAGGAGAATACGACTATATTCTTACGAAAATATAATTTTTTGAAAAATATTATCTCTGGAAATAGATGGTCATGCCCGGCATGACAAGCATGACCGCTAGCTACGCCACTGCTCCTAACTGCTATTTCATAAAAAAATCCCCAATCAATGCTCGTCATAAACAACGCAACATTTCAGTTACACGTGTTCGTTTTCATTACACTGATTGAGACTGGTTTGAATTAAATTTGATGGAACTTGTTGAATCATTTTGTTTTGATGGAAATAATTTGAAGGGATGAAGCTGGCTATATTTTGTTATTGCTAGCGTAGAGCTAGGCGAATGTCTTTTTTGTACGGCTGTTACAACATGGCCACTTGCTGAATGTATGGCTGTAAATATACTGGCCGAGAAGCCGCTGTGTCTTGAAAAAACTTCTATCTATCATCGCGACAACGCACCGAAACGGCTTTGGCGGCGCTTTGGAACTTAATTTTGATTGACAATCCCTATACTGGGGCTTGACCGTATACTGGGGCACCTTATACTGGGGGAAACGTTACCAACGTTGCTCATTGTTGTTGCTTTTTGGTTGTGGTGGCATGTCTCATTTACAGTATTACATGGCACATCCATCTATCCCATGTAGGGGTGTGTTAATTTAAACAGGCTTATTGATCTTAAAGCTTCAAATGACTTGACCTGGATTGCACTGTGGTTTACGAGTGTAAGTTAACCTTAACTACACAAGCACTGTGGTTACAGTAAAATCCAATTTTCTCCGGATTTACAATTCCTCTACATACAGGTATGAAAAAGCTTTTTTGTACCCAAGGATCAAATGGCCGTGTATCATTGTATCAATATTTAGTACCGTGTATCAAATGGCTAAAAAATTTGCACACGGCCAGGACTGTTGTCAAGTAAGCAAAGGGTATCTCAAAATTTTTGTATTTGCTCTGGTCCATCTATTTTAGCCAAATATATCTATGAGAGGGAAGAAAAATTGTTTGCTAATTTTTGATAGGGTATAGTTTGAAGGGGAGGAAGAATTCAAAAAGTCTGACACACACTTTGGTAGCTTGGGATCTGCATTTCCTGCTGATATAAGTTAAATTTTGATACCTCAAATGCAAGGGTACAAAATAGCTTTTGAAGGTGGTATACTCTTTTAAGCAATAAATTTGCCTGGAAAGTATCATTTTACAATATTTGCCAACTATTTTGATATGGTTGGAATCACCACATTCTTATGCATTGATTGATGTATAGTTTAATCCAATTCCATGAAGAGTTTGGCTTTTAGGGAAAGAAAACCAAATATTGTGTCAAAATTGTTTACCATAACCTTAACTACACAAGGAGTTTATTATTGCTCAAGATTTAAGGCTTTAAAACTTGCACATATACCCCCAGTTTCAAGCAAGTTCAAATATACAGTCTCACAGTCTCAATTTTCTTTACTGGCCTCTCATGAAAATCTAGCTTTTTGCAGACAATAACAAAGAAAGTATAGGCAGATCCAGAATATTAAGAGATATGCTCGAGCATAAATTAGATTATGTGAATTCCTGAAAGGTCTTATTTTCTTTTATTAAAAACTTTTTATGTTTCTTGTTATCAATGAGCTAGTCCTCTCTTGACCAGGCTAGTGTTTCCAGAGAACTGGATGGAATTATCAGCAATGGTCTTTACATGAGCATGGGTCATGATTTCAAGATATCGAATCAAAATATTTAGATATAAAATGATTCCAGGGCTATTCTATGGTAATCTATAAGGTGTGCTACTTAAAAATATTTCTTTTGGGGCCCCCTTTTTCATTCCTAATGTACCTGAGGTATTCCTTGGATCCACTCTTGAAAAAAAGTGGATTGTATTTTCCATAATTTTGGATGGCATAGCCTCTAAACAATATGTTTTTGCTCCACTTCAACAAATAAATTTAAACTGTTTGGTCTACATAGTAGTTTTATGAGCAGAAGTAACCTTACATGATAATCAATTCTGTGTACCAAATTCTGTTGATTTAACAAACTATCTTTTATCTTTATGTTACAGTAACACTAAAAATAATGCTGTATAGATGGTTTATTTCAAATTCCTGCATTATTTCTGGATAAAGAGATTTTATCCAGAAATAAAACTTTATCCAGAATTTTTTGTATTTTGCAGTTTAAAATAAAAGTGTCAACATGCATACATCAATCAAAAAATTGTGTTGAAAATTGTGTTGTGAGCAGGCGTATTATAAATAAGTGAAGAATTGCAACAATTTATCTCATTGTATCTCCACCTGAAAAGTCATGGAACCCTAAACCAAAATATAATATGGGATTAGACAATGATTAGCAATGAGTATGAAAATGTTCACCTGGTGCAATTCTTGCCTTCAAATCCTTTATAAATTCTAAAACTGTATATGGCCATAAAACTTACAATAAAATAATAAACAGTGTGAGAATTTAGTTCTGAAACTGAAGTATGGTGATGAATTTTAAAATGAGCTCAAAAATTGGTGTCCAGTTTTTTAAAAAATTTCTAAGATGAAATTGACGGATTTGAACTGTGAGGATTTGAAGGATTCTGCAAACACTGCAATTTGCAGAAAGAAAAGAATTCAATTTTTTTTCATGTACCTCCTTTATACCATAAAGACTGAGATGAATTGCTTTTGTGAATATATTCATTTTCCCCATGATTTCAAATCTGGAGTTTTACAAAAAGATGCTTGGCCGTTTTGCCAGAATCAAATTCAACTGTCTCCTGGTTGTTGACAATTTAATTAGATCAGCAAACAAAGCAAGGAAAACCAATTCCTACTTGAAGTATTTCTTATACCCACCTATCATTCATGTATCAGTTAGTTAATTAACTTTGTCGGCTGTAGTTGGCAAAATTTCCATGTCATCGGTTCAAGTAATATACTTTTTGTTTTTTTAGTGTTTTTTTTCAGTTTAAAATAACATGCCATCTTGTTCAACAAATAAACCAATGTGTAAATGACAATCTTGATGTTCTGTATTATAACGGAATTGACAGGATGTTCATAGCAGTCTTTTGTGCTATGGAAAATGTTTCTTTTTTGCATTTCAAAGAATTTGTTGAAAAGCCCTAACTCTGAAGTATGGATTGCAGCACGTAACTCAGAAACTCAAAACTTTTGCTGCAAAGGGCAGAAACAAGTGTATCCATTTCCCTTCTGTTTTAAAACTGGTCTTGCTTCCTGAAGTTCTTCAAACTAAGCCACAATGCCTGCCAAAAGTACTTGGAACACCCACCAATTTACGCTGCATTTGATATCTTTCATTCCTTTCATAAAAAAAACTTGCTACTTCCGCCCCTTCCCCCTAAAACAATGTTGATGATTTAGAGAAATATCATAAAAGAAGGGAAAAAGAAAGTGATTCCTAAAACCCTAACCTGTTTGATAGTAAACCAACATTGTTCCGTGGGGGAGAGGGGGATGATTGGTTTTGACCTTGGAAATTGATGTCAGTGTTCCAAGACTTTTGGCAGGCATTGCATCTTTAAATTGCTCATATTATAACGTGTATTTGCACTGGGATTGAAATTATGTTCTATTCAAGTACATTATCTTTGAAACATTCTCGTTTCCAAAGCAATCGAAAACAATTTACAATTATGCTGAAGCTATATTTAAAGCGACCACACAGACTTCAATATACTTAACCAGATGCCAGTTTTAGATAAAGGAAATTTTTCTTGTGGCAGGTGGTTAACCTCCTTCCAAAGTCGCGTGCACACGAAAATTGTCGCTTAAATCGATTATAATGTGTAGGCCCAAGTAATTATTTGATAAGTATTAAATTAAGCCATCGTTTATTGTAGGTATTTAATTTCCAGTATTTGTTACTTATCATTATCGTTTTTTCTTGCCAGCGCTCCTAGTTTTGCTGACCCAGATGGGGCAAACAAGGAAAGACAGCCTGTATCCCAACAGTTGAACCTCCCAAGTAGTTATCTTGGCTCGTTTCCATATTTATCAGAAGCAGAGCTTGAAGGTATCCTGTTTTAATTTATCCGTTTTAATATCCGGTAGTGATATGCATGAACAGGAATTGTCATCCAGCGTTTTAAGGGGGGAGGGTGGCCCTTAAACATGTTTGTAGTTTGTATAGAACTGGGGACCCGGTTTTTCAGTGAAAGATTCTATTTCTCTTTCCATGAATCAAGAAAGAGCGATCAATAAATGGTTTTTTCTATTCATGTTTTTTCTATTCTGGATCCCGATTGTTCTGACTCTGTGCCGCCTCTTTGATCGTTTTGCTCGCGGTATGAGGCAGGAAACATAAACCAGCAGAAGGAGAAAACCCTTGAGGATGGCTTGCAGGAAGGAGATTTGTGTTACAGAGGCTTTCTGTTTGCAGTTGATGCCAACAGACTTAGACCCCGTTTACACTCAGCCGAATAAAATTTATCCGCAAAAAAGTTGTTCGGATTGATTTGCGTTTACATTGTGCCGCACAAATTTGTGCTTGATTGGGAAAGGCTTATTGTATTTTGCGAAAATTTTCGCATAATGCGAAAATGCGAAATTTCGCAAAATACAAGTTTCGAGGTGGTATTTTGTAAAATGCGAAAACTGATTCTAAAAACTTTATTTGCCCAGATCAACGACCGAAAACAAGCAATTCATATTCAGGGCGACTCTGTTCATGCAAATAGCCTAGTTCATGTACCATTTAACGTTAGATAACTCATGGACACATTTTGGAAAATGGTTCAAAAACCAACCACACCAAGGCCATGAACGGCCAAATTGTGAATTGCCCATTCCAGCGAAAGACGATAACAGTAAGCATCCCGGTGCTTGCTAATTGGTAATTGGTAAATACCCAACGTTCTGCGTGTTCTGTGTTGTTTTAGGAGTAATTTACGCCTTTATCCACAAGGCCTATTTTCCTGCTTCCTTCCCGGTGAAACCCGCGTGGCTGGAAAAGGACGGGGGTGATGTCAAAAGATTTTCGCAAAATACAAAATGGCTGGGGGTTTTTGTATTTTGCGAAAACTCGCCAAACATTGTCGAAATGTTAGTTTTTATTTGAGAAAATGTACGGAAAGGCTTTGGATTGTATTTAAAATTTTGTTTTTTGAGTAGGCATCAAAAGATTCGATCAAATTAAAGAATTTTCGCAAAATACAAAATGGCTAGGGGCTTTTGTATTTTGCGAAAACTCGCCCAACATTGTCGAAATGCTAGTTTTTATTTGAATAAATGTACGGTAATGCTTTAGAAAGAGGCTTTGGGTTTTTTTGATAGTGTAGCAGGAACCTATAACAAAAAGGTGCATGCATTTTCTTTGGCGCCAGACAATGACTCACTTCTTAAAAGAAATTAGCAGGACGCCCATTATTTGTGTCATCAACGTGTGAAGACTTCCCTCTTCTCATTCATAATGACATTTTTCTTTTGTTCTACTTCCTGGGTGCCTATTTGTGCCAATCTGGTGACATTCCATGTGATTGAATTTTATCGGTTGGGCGAGTTTTCGCAAAATACAAAAACCCCCAGCCACTTTCGAATCTTTTGATGCCTACTCAATTGACAAGATTTTAAATACAGTCCAAAGCCTTTCCGTACATTTTCTCAAATAAAAACTAACATTTCGACAATGTCTGGCGAGTTTTCGCAAAATACAAAAACCCCCAGCCATTTTGTATTTTGCGAAAATTTTTTAATTTGATCGAATCTTTTGATGCCTACTCAATTGACAAGATTTTAAATACAGTCCAAAGCCTTTCCGTACATTTTCTCAAATAAAAACTAACATTTCGACAATGTTTGGCGAGTTTTCGCAAAATACAAAAACAACCAGCCATTTTGTATTTTGCGAAAATCTTTTGACATCACCCCCGTCCTTTTCCAGCCACGCGGGTTTCACCGGGAAGGAAACAGGAAAATAGGCCTTGTGGATAAAGGCGTAAATTACTCCTAAAACAACACAGAACAC